ACTCCAATTTCAAATCAGTTATGTTCGGCGAAATAAGTCAGCAATCTCAATCGAGTGCAAATTTCTAGCGTCTAGTTATTCTAGTCTACATAACTCCATTTGATTTGGTGCAATGTGTCTAGCCTCGTCCTTCTAGTCTTTCAATACAACTGGGGCTGAATTGCATTATGGTACACGATTCGTGTACCAATGTTAAAAAAATTATTTTATCTTAAATATCGGATATCAGAAGCTCATCTTTTCCCGGTAAGTTTACATCATCAATATTGATTTAAATTGACCAATAATTCGTGTTTTCGATGTCGAAGATTTTGGAGGATTTTGAGTTACGGACTTAGGTCCTTTAACAATTACCTGACAGGAAAATCTGAACACATAGAAAAACATAACACAGAACATCAAAAGTAGTTTTTCTGACAATAATTAATGTTCATGTAATTATCATTAGATGCAATTATGGATGACTAAATGCCACATACAAAAGTTTAGCACTTACCTACAGTACATGCATATTTGCTTTAATTCATAACATAAAAATAATTAGCTATGACGTAGACGTAGATATTTCAGTTTTTATCATTTCTACAACATTTAATTGAGAACCTTATAAACTATACTACATAACTAAATATTATATAGAGCAAATAAAAGGGAAAAAAAATAAAAACCAGCGGCTGCCAGACATTTTGAAAAATGGACTGTCGGAAATGCTGTCTGACAGTATTCAGTCAGGCACCGATCGTCGAGACAAATAGATCTGACCAAATACGTTCCATTGACTAATCACTAGTTTATCTGACCAGAGAACAAAATGTCAAACGAACGGACTTGCGAACCTCAACGAAGTCACCTTGTGAGCGCCAAAGTAGCAAGTCCTTGTGGGGGGTATTGGGCACCTCCCTAAGAAAATTTTGAAAAATAGACTGTTGGAAATGCTGTCTGACAGTATTCAGGCACCAACTGTAGAGATAAATAGAGCTGATCAGATGCCATCTCTCGCCTGATCATTTGTCTATCCGACCAAATACTTTTTTTTATTTTCTAAAATTATGACCTTTTCGAGTGTCAACAAGCTAGAAAAAGTGATATTTGGTACAATCAGGGGCGAAAGGAACCAAGATCTTTTGGAGATAAAACTATATTTAAAATTTCAACAAAAATCAGTTAAATATTGTGACCTGAAGAGTGTTCAGAAACAAATTTTGGATGGACGGACGGACATGGGCGACGACAATATATGTCCATACACCCTGTGCAATATACTGTTACTAATTATATTAGCTAAATGGAAATAACATAGTCCACTAGTAGTATCACTTGCCCAGTGGTCTAAATACAAAAAGTGCAACAAAAATTTGAACTCCTCAAATGAGAAGCAGGAGGTCTAGAAAGAATGTGCATGGTTTGACTCTTGCACAACAATTGGCATGGAGCAATGGTTAGGACCTGAATTTCAGATGCTGATCGATACTGGGTAGAAGATACAAGGGCTGGCTGAAAAGTTTCAAGCCCGAAAAGGATAGATCAATTGGGTTAAAACAAACCTTTGCCACCAACAAGTACAATCATTGATTGAATCATAGACATAAGAACTGGAACTGTAGTCTTATTATTGTCTTCGTATCAGACCATCTTGTGAACCTACCCATTGAAATCACCAGAAATGGACAAATCTGACTATAGGGCAGTCATCAAGTACCTGCAACTGAAAGGACTAACCCGAACACAGATACATGCCGACATGGGCTGCAGAATTCAAGCGTGGCAGAGTGAGCCTTGACGAGGACCCATATCCTGGAAGGCAATCAACAGCAAGTGATGGCTAATCGACGATTGACCATTCGAAATATTGCCAGTGTTGTGGGCATCTTTGATGAGAGGGTTGAGCACATTATCCCCGACAAGTTAGGAATCTGCGGAGATGAAAAGTGTCAGATTCCTGATGTCCTGTGACAATCTGCGCTGTTTTGAAGCAGATCCTGATCATTTTTTGACCCGATTTAGCCCTGTAAGGACTTCCATCTTTCTAAAGATAGGTTGCCAGGCAATGAAACAGAGAGAGAGAGAAATGGGGTTTAACGTCCACTCGACACAAACTAGGTCATTTCGGGATTAACATATGTTTTTTTTAAATTTTATTTCAATAATTCGCTTGCACTAGGGGTCTTTAGCAGTGGGAGGAAACCGGAGGACCCAGAGAAAACCCACGAGGTTGGACAAGGCAACAAAACAAACGCCCACAGCAGCTAAATCGTCTGAGCAGTCGACAAGGGTTGTCGCATATTTATTCCTTTGTAGGTAATTGGGGGCCTTTACAAAACAGTTTCATACAGATCAGATTATAATTTTTGTAGTTTCAGGGTTCACAAGGTTTTACAAAGTGAAACAAGGGCCTTAACTTTGGAAGTAGTTTACAGAAATTGTTGAAATTTGACAGGCTTTTTCATTTTACTAATTTAAATAATGCACATAAATTTCATACTGATCGGATGATCACTTTTGTCATTCAAACGTTCACAGGGTTCACAAAGTAAAACAGGGGCCATAACTCTAGACGTAATAAACATAAATTATTGAAATTAAATAGGCTTCTTCATCTCACTAATATAAACCACATATATCAATTTTAAAACAATCAGATAATAACTGTGGACGACAGACAGACCGACGGCAATATACGACCACATTTCCATGTAGACGTATAAAAATGAACAAGCCAACAGTGAGGCAGATGTCCCCCGCCGAAATCCCAAAATAAATAGATGACACATATTAATTAATCGCACATTTATTTTTTTTTTTCAAAAGTATCAAGCAATCAAACTGATTATCAACTATACACTAAGTTTCATCACTCTCTATCAGATAGAATCAAAGTTATCTTGTCCCAAATTTCCTAGCTCTGCTTAGCTTTAGCTCAAAATGTTGATCATTGAACTCAGTCAAGACATTCACATCAAGTTTAAACATTCTACCTTAATTAAAAGCAGAGTTGTTATCTTCCAAAGTCTTGACCAATCAAATTGCTTATCGCTCCTTAGCCTAAGCAGAAAATTCTCATCATCGAACTTAGTCAAGATAATGATATAATGAATCTATACTCAGAGTTTCATCACTCTCACTTAATTAAAACAAAAGTCATCATGCCCCAAAGCATCAACCAATCAGATTGCTCATCTCTGCTTACCGTCAGCAGACAATGCTAATCATTTAACTCTATCAAGGCATTCACCTAATGAACGCCTACACCAAGTTTAAACATTCTACCTCAATTAGAAGGAGAATTATTGTGTTTCAAAGTATCAACCAATAAAATTGCTTATTGCTCTGCTTACCCTGAGCAGAAAATGCTCACTATCGAACTTAGTCAAGGTATTGATGTGATAAAACTATACACCATGTGTCCTAACTCTCACTTAATTAGAACTAATGTTATCGTGTCCCAAAGCATCAACCAATCAAATTGCTTATCTCTGCTTACCCTAAGCAGAAAATTCTCATCTTCGAACTCCATCAAGGCATTAACCTAATAAACACCTACGCGAAGTGTGAACATTATAGCTCACTTAGAATGAGAGTTATTGTGTTCCAAAGTCTTGACCAATCAAATTGCTTATCGCTCTGCTTACCCTGAGCAGAAAATGTTCATTATCAAACTTATTCAAGGTATTGATGTAATAAACTATACGCCAAATTTCATCACTCACTTAATTAGAACTAAAGTTATCGTGTCCCAAAGCATCAACCCATCAAATTGCTTATCTCTGCTTACCCTAAGCCGAAAATGCTCATCTTCGAACTCCATCAAGGCATTGACCTAATAAACACCCACACCACGTTTGAACGTTCTAGCTCAAATAGAAGGAGAGTTATTGTGTCCCAAATAGTGTGACAGACAGATGGACAGACAGACAAGACAAGACAGACAGACGTACGAACCCATTTTAATAGTCCCCTGCTTTCTTCAAAAGGCGGGGGACAAAAAGGAACTAGTCGGTCATCATTTTCCTAGGAATGATGACGTCATGTCAGCTGTGAACGACTTTTTTAGGGTGGCTGAAGAAAATTTCTTCCCGCCTTCCAGGCCTTGCATCACAGTTGGTAAAAGTGTGTACACCTCGAAGGGGACTGTAGAAAAATAAATGAAAACCATCAACTTTGTACAGGTCTTTCACAGATAAGCTTAAAACTTTTCAGCCAGCCCTCATAACCTCTGGTTCAACTTTATGGTATAAAGTGATGGCAATATGTTTTATAAAATCAACATGAAGCCCAGTGCTCATATAGTTTTTGGGTTCGAAAGATTATGTTTAACAATATACATGTATTAACCTAGATTTAAAAAAACCTGGTACAGTGCCTTTAAATTATTCCTATAAAAAAAATTGCAATAAACCACACAAACTCATGTTTATACATCATAAATTACATGTTGAAGCAAAAAACACAAGTTTTCCCTACAGCAATAAATTAGGATAAACATACTGAAGACATGAGTAAGATCAGCTGACAAAATAACTTAAGTGTTTAATTACTCAACCACTAACTGTGATTAATATTAGCCTATATAATACGTTAAATATTCTTCTACTACTTACATATACATACTGCATCTATTTAATTCAAAATATATGTATATTACTGGTGTATACATGCTTATCAATAGATACACTGATACTATTGTATATGCATTATAATTTTTGCCTATCACCGATAGTGTTATATCTGCATTATAATTTTATGATTTGTGTATCACCTGAAGTCGTAATGCACCAGATGGTTAATAAATACCTTATTTCAATAAATACCTTATTTAATTTTACAAAACTATGGTCTGAAAAGGGGTGCTTCAACAATCAAAATTAGGTAAAATACCATCTTAACCCTGATGTTCATGGGTATTTTAGTTACCTTATTCTAAATTATTTGATAAAATTCAGATAGTTTGTTAACGATTTCAGCTATACATAAATCTTTTAATAATAATAATAAATGCTTACATGTAGTTTTTTCTGTGTACATAAGATCATAATCTGATTAGATTACTGTTACTTCTAAAAAATTAAAGCAATTACATGTTAGCGCTAACACATTATTATTACAATAAATAATTTATCCTTAGTCTGTCAAAAATCAATTTTTAGTCATGCCAATCTAATCTTTCTTATCACAAGCCATCACTATTGTGACACGTTATTTAATTCTAATCAAAATGCTGATAAATACCACGTTGTTTTATCTAATCACTCAGTTTCTTTAATTTCCTCACAAAAAAATGACAAATCCATTTCAATTTATGTATTAAAGGGATACGGTTAGATATTACAACTGTGTGTAACAATGCAATTTACCAAACCCATTTCCTCAAGAACGATTTGTCAGAGTTAAGGTTTTACTGATTACATGTTTTGTCAATAACTTTTGAAAAAATTAATATTTTGTTATCCAATTTAATTGGGTAAGAAAATATAGCATTTTTATTATTTTCACTGCACTGCAGGAAAATGCCTAAAATCACAAGTACATGTAAAATACATGTATATCAAGGTCACAAAATTTAGCAATACTCTTTTTTTGATAATAAGTCAGTTAATGCCTAGGTCCCACTGGGTAAAAATCGTCGACGATGTGGAAATAAACAAGTTTTCTTCCGATGGCTCCCAATGTTTTTGCCAAAAATAACTGAAGTAGTGGCACGTTAGGCATCGGGATGATCCAGTGAACGTTCACTAATGCATCAGCTATGGTCACAAAGCTTCTGGGAAGGTCCATCGAACTATTGCTATAAATCATCGAGGAAGGCTCAAGATGCTCATGAAAGCTCCGGCTCTGGGGTACCTTCGTTGATAATCAACACCATCTGGTGAATACCCCTGTAGATTAAGGGATATATCGGTAAGTACATGTATACATGTATGTACAGGTGACTCCTTATCTGGCTGTTGAAGGTTGCACATCTCTGTGTGAAGTTCAAAATGGCAGGACTCCCATTTAATCATGCTAATGGAAATGATCGCCGATTCAAAAAGAAATGTACTTTATGCAAAATCCAGCCAATCACGCTCCATGGGAAGAATGCACTTTTCACTTAGTCAAATAAGAACTATGTCTAAATAACTTTCTAAATCCTCCTGGAATCCATGGATGTACAGTAGGGACTGATTAATCATGACTAATGTAAATATGTAAATGTATTAAGCATTTCAAAATCTATTCAATATTCTCAACAGATTTAGTCTTCTAGTAAAATACACTCTGAAATCCAAAACTATTTTTTCAACAACAGATAGGTTGCCAGACAAAAAAAAAACATACGCTCACAGCCACTAAATCATCTGAGGGTTGTCAAATATTTATGCTTTTGTAGGTAATAGGAGCATTTGCAAAACACTGATATCAATTTCATACAGATTGAATGCTCACAAGGATCAACAAAGTGAAACAAGGGCCATAACATTGGAAGTTATTAAGAGAATTTGCTTAAATTTAATAGGCGTGTTCGTTTTACTAATGCTTATCGGACAATAACTTTTATCATTAGAGTGTTCACAAAGAGTTCAACAAAGTGAAACAAGCGACATAACTCTGGAAATTCAATAAAATTCTTCGTTTTACTAATTTATGGGATGATAACTTTAGCCGTTAGAGTGTTCACACGGTTCAACAAACTGAAACAAGTACCATAACTCTAGAAGTTATAAACAGAAATTGTTGCAATTCGATAGGCTTAGTCGTTCTACTAATTTAATGCATGTAAATTGTATACAGATCGGATGATAACTTAAGTCGTTAGTGTGTGAAGTCTTGTCTTTGAGAGTGTCTATCAAATTTAAATGAACACGCACACACACACAAACATCTTGGTGAATGCTTTTCTTTTTTCTTTTGCTCCAATCTTACTTTATATTTACTATGCTTATTTTGAAACTGAAATGAAATGCAATAAAAAGTTATCATTACTACATGATTCATATTTTAACAAAATGTTGACAGGAACCTGAATGAACTTTTAGAAAAATTTTAGCCACCATGTTCCATGCTGCACTTAATCAAATAATGCCTTAGTACCAGATCTTTCAATATGGTGACCTAATCTTAATACCGTAATATTTTAAATAAATCAGTCAAATTTGTTTTTTTCGTTTTTCAAAATTAACCGTTAGTTGTTTCTACCATTTACAAGTAACAATTGCTGGTTCTGTCAGTGAAGCCATGAAAACAATTGTTATAGTTGTGTGTTATTTGAAAGATGATTCCTCAAAGTCTAGTACATTGAACCTGTCATCTTCGACAATAGACTAAGGTGGACAGTCTTGTTTAAACACAGACGTCATTCATGTCATAGCAGACAATCAGACACCAGGAAAAGTTACAATAAAATTAAATGGATATATTGTCATTTATTAGACAACATTTTGGTGCTACACACTTTCCACCTCAACCACTATGGATCAGCAACTGAAATGGCAAACATGTAATCCATCTTATTTTTTTAAAACATTAATCTCCTTTAAGTTAAACATACATTATGGAAGAGCTAAATCTGCCCATTGCAGGTCTTTGTTCAGGCCTGAAATGTTATCTAAATTATTAATTAGACATTAATTAACGTAACCAGACTATAATCAACTCTCGTTGTCATCGCTAGCCTGCGATGTTTATTGGATTAGGTTTCAATTTGCTGTTCAACTTCCATTCATGATTTAATCATGAAATGGATAATCGAGACTATGTTTTTTTATCGTACCGACTTTAGTAATGATGATCAAGGCTAGGGCGAAAATTCAATCGCTAAAATCTCGGTTCAGAGTGGATCAATCTGACTGAAATTTTCAGCAAATTCCCTTTGCATTATCTAGTTTTTAACTATTATAGTGAGAACTGCCAGCTCTTTATCTAATCTCCCATAATGTATCTTTAAATAACTGAACAGAAAATGCAGACTTTCTCATAGAAATTTGCAGGGTTTTTGTAGAAATATTATACTTGTCAAGCAATTGGTTCTGTAAAAAAATTGGTGAAAATTTCCCACATTCTGACAACAGATAGATATGACAGTAACAGATATAATACTACTTGAATCAAGATTTAATATAAGCATGTATTTACTCAGAACAGTACTTGATAGAAACTTAAATATTGTTTAAACCTTAATTACTTTGTCAAATATTTGTTGGGCGTAGCGATAGAGGTAACCCATGTCCCAATTAATATCTTTCTAATTGGCTGTAAAATATAAATTTGTTTTTATATCTCATTACTAGATAATTTCAAACTATCTATCATATTTCTTGATTGAAACATACCACGAATGTTTGATCATACTGCTTTCATCTGCATGCATGCATAACAAATATTTCAACATAAAATTCCAGGCTTTAAAGTCAAATTCTTTCAGAAATCACATTCAAAAATACATCACACCCAAACTGCATTCCATGTAATTTTAAATGAATTTCTTACACAACACCCTTTCTGTTATAGGAATGTCATGCAACATATGCAATAAATGTTGCTTAGTGTATGATGTATGTATGCATGATAGAATATTGATTTTACTACCAATCAACAATTTGTATGATAGTTTGATTTTAATATCAATAAGTAATATCATCTGTCCAGGGAATTTTCATCAAATTGACAAGAACAGCAGTCTGAGGATTAATGGAGAGCAAAAGCTTCTATGTTACACCCAGGAATTTCCCTACAGGTACACTGAGTAAGATGTCACTATGATTTTTCACTACAATTAACTCAAAAGAATAATCTGATTAAGATAATGTTTTTTACCTATTTAATTCTATTTCCAAATTGTTAATTATATCCACTACAGGGGGTTTCCAAAATTTTAACATGATTATCGTGTTAGCATTTTTGACATTCTAACTGTATGACGTCTGAACTTTGATGTCATTCGGGAGACTACATGTATCACCGTCCAGAGGCATCATTCGACAGACAACTGCAGTCAAGATCAGTTGCATCATCTGCATTGCTTCTTTCTTGTATATATTTTTCAAAGGCTTACAATGTTTCTAATCCTGTCAATTACTATCTTTGATTACTATCTAAAGTCCTGATATATTTTACTTCTATAAACTAAATTGTTATAAACCGTTTTCTTCAGTGTGCTGACATGTAGTAGCAGGGCCAAGGGGGGGGGGGGGGTGTGTCCATAAATCTGGTCTGTCCTCTGTATTTGCCCCCACCCCCAATAACTTTAGAGAATAAAACAAAATATTGGTGGTCTGCTTTGGTAATCAATACCTTCTACGGTGATTAAATCCCACATTCCCACTCAGTCATGCTGTATAGCCTGAGTGACTTCTTAAGAAGCCCATACTGTTGTAAACCTACAACAGTATCTGGTCAGCTCTATTTATCTCTGTGGCGAAAATATTCATTCATTTTGATTCACTCACTCCGCTCGTTTGACACTTTCCTCTCTGGTTGGATAAACTAGTGAGTGATTTGGCGACAGCTGTATCTGGCAAGCTCTATTTATCTCCACGATCAGTGCCTGAAATACTGCAAGACTGCATTTCCAGCATTCTAATTTTCAAATTTTCGGGACTTCGTTGAGGTTCGCAAGTCAGTTCGTTTGACACTTTTCTCTCTGGGGTCGGACAAACCGTCAATAGGCAGATGAAGTGACTTATCTTCCTACCGTAACCTATTGACGATAAGTCACTTCGTCTGCCTATTGACGAGTGATCAGGCGACAGGTAGTATCTGGTCAGCTCTATTTATCTCAACAATCAGTGCCTGATTACTGTCAGACAGCATTTCCGGCAGTCTATTTTTCAAACATTTCTTGGGGAGGTCCCCAATACCCTCCGGGAGGAGTCGCTACTTTGGCGTTCATGAGGGCGCTTTGTTGAGGTTCGCAAATTCGTTCATTTGACACTTTCTTCTATGGCTGGATAAACTAGTGGTCTGGCGGCGGACAGTATCTGGTCAGCTCTATTTATCTCAACGATCAGTGCCTGACTGAATACTGTCAGACAGCATTTCTGGGGGAGGTCCCCAGTACACTCCAAATGGACTCCCTACTTTGACGCTCATGACTGGCCTTCGTCGTTTGACACTTTATCTCAACACTTAGTGCCCGAAATACTGCCAGACTGCAATTTCGGCAGCCTGTTTTTCAAAAATGTCTGGGGGAGGCCCCCCCCACCCTTAGTTGAAGCTTGTGCCTTTGCTCCCTTAACCTTGGACTTTGTCCTAGCTTTGCCCCTCCAACCACAGGCGGCTGGCGCCACCTCTGCTGACATGGAGTTTTACTGTAATCAAATAGCCGATCATAACTTAGATTAGAATAATGTATAATTGGGAAATTTTCCCCATTTTTCGTGGATTGTCTCCCTACCAAATTTAGTTTTCATTTTGAGTGAACATGTTATCACTACAGGCTCGGATACAGAGGATGTTTACGACTAACTCTGTGATCCATGCACTTGATCTGAAATTTACTTTTGTTTATTGCTTGAAATTTTCAGTATATTGTTTGTATTGTCTCTGTAGGTTTGTCTTACTGGTTTCTGTTTGTGTGTGATGCAGTCCTCCCACAGTTATTACATGTATTAGTATGTGCAATATATCGCTTGGGTGTTTATTACATTAAGACATGCAGCTATGTTCAAATATGTAGATTGTCAATATCTAAAATTATTTTTAATTATATATTGTTATGTTTTTGGTAACAAAAATATTTCCTACGGAATTAGGATATGTTTACCAATTCAAATTTATATACTTGGGGTCACAACTACTCATTTAATACAACCTATTACTATTTTCTACCAATTGGGAACTCTGAGAATCTACTTATCCTATAACATTTCATAACAATGCACTGCCATATGCATACGCACAAATTCTCTTTACATTTTTAATAATTCTAATACTACCAAATATTCCATGATTAGCCATAGTGTGCTAATAAAACAATAATTCACTCAGCCATTCTGATTCTACACATGCTCATCACTCTCAATTTAACAATGAAGGTTATTTTAGACCAAGACACTATGTCAAGCTTAATGGAAATCAATAATTGTACTAATAATAAAGATAACCAGAAATGAAATGAAATGGGGTTTAACGTCCTACTATTCTGCTCCTATACTGGGCTAATGAAGACGGGCATACGCCATACAGTGTGCTATGAGGGAAATTTTGCCCGGGCAGCGGCACTATCCCCTACTCTTATATCGAATTCCAACTGCCAAGGGATCAAAAAGATAACCAGAACATAAATATCTTTCTTGAAAATAAATCATACATGAAAAGTAATTGATATCCTAAATAAATTAATTATTAAAGTTTAAAAATGTTATGCAGCCAATTAATAAACGAATGAATATTGGCACACATCTGTAGGACAGACGACAGACATCAGGCATTCGGTTTCTATGCTTCCAATTCTTGACATATTGAGACAGGCATTATATATAAATATATATATATATACTGATTTGACAGTTTTGTCTTTAATAAGTTGTATAATATTGTGCAATTTCAAATTATATCAGTTACGAATACATCTGTAATTCATATTAATAACTCACCCGCCATTTACATAAACCGGTTTATCCTCAGTTGATCACTACAGTGTTGAAATAACACCCCGTTTATAACTTCTTCAAACTTTCTATTCACTTGGGTCGAAGTCTGTGTGTGATGACGTCATTTGGGCTGTCTCATTCGGCTTTGCCGGGGGTTGTCAGCACGAAACTACTAGCCTGTCAACAAAAGCAACGGTTAAATATCAGACTGGCGATAGATCATTGCATTTACCTATAAATAATTGACAACACCCGGGAATCCCCACCCCGTCATGAAGATATTAATAAATGCAGTCCAGTTAACTTAATTTCATAAATAATAATACATTCTCTCAAACGACAGTCATTCTGAGATAACGAAGGACAATATACAAAAGTAGGTCTGCAACACTGTATATAATAATATAACTTCCCAAATAGATGAGAAAAGGTACCATGTGTAGAACGTAAGCATGTTCAGCATTGTACACGACACCCGCGACGGGGGTTCATTTTTTAACCGAAGTAGGCGTGTCTACACGAAAAGGGAACCACGTACGCCGGAAACTCCTTATGAATTTAATCGGCCACGGTCAAACACGGGGCCCCTGTTTAACGAGCCAGCGTCTTACTCACTGAGCCGCCGCGGCTCCCATTTATGCGCATACAACTTTCGTCAAACTGCAATACTTGGGGTATTGTTAATCCCTAACATAGTGAATGTTGAATTATTATGGACTAAAAGGAATGTAGCATAAGTCCAAAAATGGTTCAATATTTCGGAAAATATCTGCAGAGCCATGATGAACTGAATATTTGTCGAAACAATTTTTATTAAGCCAGTGCCATTTAAAAAAAAATTGATGGTCGTCTTTTTAATCCGATTAAATCTAAGTAAATTGTCCTTCGTTGATATTTTAATTTCTAACAGTCAAAATACATTTTAGTTTGGATTAGTGAGTAAGGCGCTTATTCGATCACTAACCAGGTGGTTCTGGAATCGATTCCGAAAAGGAACGGTCGTAAAATTCGGATGGCCGGAAAAACAACCCATTCAACAACTCACATTTCAGTGATTTCACGACATTGGTACCCAATGGAATAACCAAATATTTATCATTCTATGGCCAATAAAATTAAACCCAAAATAAATATAAACCCAAACCCCGCAGCCAACACGACATTGTCAAATCCAACTGATTAATTCAACCGGGGATCGCTCCGATTCCGAATTTTGGCGGGAAATCATGACAGGTTCGACTGGCTGTAAGGGAGATAACTCCATATTCGAAGCCAGTTTTTCTTTTCCGATGCCAGTGGCTGTGACTTGCCATTTACAGTCTGAAAAGACGGATCGAAGACATTTATTTTTCAACCCCAGTTTTCAGTCACTGCACGTATTAATTTGGTTTTCTTATAATGGAGATATATTTTATTTTCTTTAGTAGTAATAAGGAGTGAATAAAACGGCAATTTAAAAAACTTAAAGTTGCAATTTCATATTTTTACGTTATATATTTTTAAAATTTATTAAAATAAAGCCTTAAAATAGATGGTATCTATAAACAGTACTACCTTGTTAAATAATAATCCTATTAATCCTATAATTGTTTTATGTGTGAGAATGACACCTATGATCGTATAATAGTGAGTTGACAACCTATTGAGCAAAAGACATAAAAATAATTATTTTTTGACTTTCTTAGAAAATATGAAATTGTAACTTTAAGTATGAAGATGCAGCTTATATACGAGCTAGATATCGATGACATTATAGAAAATATCATCAAAAAACATCCGACTGCTGGTTTATTCTCGCCATTATATTTTTGTGCAAAACTCAATTTTAAGGCTCTCGTCAAGTTATCTGTGCCCCGGCTTACTAGTAAAAAATAAACGACTAGTTTATGTGATGAATTTTCTTGATATTTTGGTGTTTGACACAGTCGTGGTCAGTTTTTATTTTATTTTGCTTCCTTAAAGTTTCATGTCAAAATCGTGCAGAATTGATTTTATTGCATATCAGTAAAACTAAAACGTAGCTCAGTAGGTACATGTAGTTAGTATGTTTTTCTGTAAATCCCTGTTTCTGTGGTTTGTCAAAGTGACCTCTGGTTACCCAAGATATACGCCAAAATGACGATAGCCTCCTAAAAGATATATTGTCTCAGAAACCTGGCAAACCCCCTCCTGCAAAAATTCTTGGGTTCCAGGTTCAGCCGAAGTTGACGTCATAAGATGTCAGTAGCCTATATTGTGTGTTGTGTCCACAAGTTTGTCTTGTGTAATTGTTTGTGTGATGCAATCCTCCTGCGCTTACTATTGTTGTCGCCCCTGCCTATCCATACGTCCACAATTTTTATCCGAAACTTGAAATATAGGTCTATCACCCAAAGATCTTGGTTCCTTTCGATATTGGAATGTATCGGACCATAACTTCATGGATTATGGCCCCTGGTTATATGTAAAATCACGTTTTTAGCTTGTGGACATACTAGAGGTACAATTTTGATCCGAGTTTGATGAAACTTGAAATTCATGTTTATAACCCAAAGATCTTGGTTCCTGTCGATATTCGCGCATATCGGTTCGTAACTCCCTGAATAATGGCCCCTGATTGTACGAAAAATCGCGCTTTTAGCTTGTGGTCCCTCTAACTAAGAGGTCACAATTTTTATTTGATTTAAAAAAAAAGTTTTAGTATATCACCGTTGCAACCTAATGATGCTGGAATTTGAATTTCGTCAAAATCAGACCAAAACTGTCAGACAAAATGGACGTCCCTTGTACGCAAATAGTTTGAACATCTGGTATATCAAGGTTGTGGACTCTAATGATGGTTGAGTTTGAATTTCGTGAAAATCGGACAAAAATTGACAGACATAATGGCCACCCCTTGTACGCAAATAGTGTAAAAATATGGTGTATCAAGGTTGTGGGCCCTCTAGAGGCTAGAGTTTTTATCCGATTTGGATGAAACTTCAAATATATGTTTTTATCATAAAGATCTTGGTTCCTGTTGATAATCACACATATCCGAATGTAACTTCCTGGATTATGGCCCCTGATTGGTCGAATAATCACATTTTTAGCTTCTGTATTCTCTAGAGGTCACATTTTTGTTCCGATTTTAAAAACCGTTTAGATAGATCACTATTCCACCATAATGAAGGTTGAATTGGAATTTCGGGAAAATCGAAATGAAACTGCCCGACAAAATGGCCGCTCTTTGTACACAAATTGTGTATAAGTATGTAATACAAAGGTTATGGCCCCTCTAGAGGTCACAATTTTTATCCAATTTTGATGATGAAACTTTAAACATATCTTTATATTCCCAAAATCTCAGTCCCTTTTGATATTTGCGCATTTCAGACCATAACTTTCTGGATTATGGCCTCTGATTGTACACAAAATCGTTTTTGTTTTTAGCTTGTTATCTATCCATCTCTTGCAAAATGTGGGTGTATCCTGCCTGGCAGCCGCTGGTTATATGGCCACATAGAAATGTGGTCGTATATTGTCGTCACCTTCGTCAGTCCGTCTGTTGGTCACCATATGTTTGGCGCAATATAGTCCGGTTGGAGCTGATGTGTCATTAAACAACATTTCATTCATTCATTCATTCCGTCTGTTGGTCTGTCTGTCATCCACAATTTCCTGTGAACTACATTTATTATCTGATCATTTTTAAATTTTTATATTTTGTTTACATTAGTGAGACAAAGAAGCCTATTTAATTCCAACAATTTCCATTAATAACTTCTCACATTTATGGTCCTTGTTTCACTTTGTAGAACATTGTGAATGCTCTAACGACTAAAGTGTTATCATCCGATCTGTATTAGACCTACACGCATTATAAAACTAAGAAGGATATTGAATTTTCGAAATTTCCATTGATAACTTCTAGAGTTATTGCCCTTGTTTTACTTTCTTGAACCTTGTGAATGCTCTAACAACAAAAGTTATCATTTGATCTGTATGAAATTAATATTAGTGTTTTGTAAATGTTCCCTTTGCCTAAAAAAGAAAGAATAAATATGTGACAACCTGTTCGGAGGATTTAGCTGCTGTGGGCGTAGGTTTCATTGCCAGGTAACCTATCTTTCTTTCTGCTTTCAGGAGAATTAAGAAATTATAGAAATGTATATAAATAGAAAGAGAAGTGCATACAGTGGTGGAGATTTCAAAGGTTTGATTTATCTTAGCGAAAGTACATGGCATGGTTTCGAGACTTTATTTAGCATATGCATCTCGTGCATTTTCATGGTGCAGGTCAACCAGAAATTTCGAATATTAACTAGAATGTCATTGCTGTGGCAAAATTATCCTGCGTTATCAGTACAGCTAATGGTATGATATTGTAATGATCATACGAGACGAAATAATGAATATTCATTTATCATCACAACCAGGAAGATTATTAATATACGGGTACATCGTTCACGATTGTCTAGTAAATATAACATCATGGTATGTTTAAATGAGTAACAGCAAACAATGGATTTGAGTATTCTGCACTGGAAGACTATTGTTATCATTAATGTTATTTTCTTGAGGTCTGATACAAGTGAGTTATAATTATTATAAAGCTTTGTATTATACTGAAAAGCTTTGATTTGGTCAAATTAAATCTATTTAGTTATATTTTTTATAATGCTTGTTTTAGTTTAGTTGTATGCCATGCTTTACCCATTATAATATTATGTTGTTATAGCATCTGTTTGACAGATATGTCTATCTGCACTACTACATCTAAGCAATAGAGTGGCTCAGTGTGTAAGTAAGGCGCTGGCTCACTAAACAGGAAGGCCAGGGTTGGATCCCAGTGTTGACAGAGAAAGTACCTGGTGTTAGGTCCAATTTCAATAGTTAAATAATGATTTTTCAACATGGTAGCCCCTTGTCAGTGATGCAGGACAGAGGTCCTGGCAAGGAACATTGTCGAGTAGTTTGGAGTTTAACCCTTGACAATTGGAAATCAAACTAAGATCAGTAAGAGTGCCACTGTCAAAATTTCCCTCACAGCATATCATGGAGTATGCCAGTGTTCATTAGCCTTTTTGGTGCATAACGTTAAACCTCATTTCATTTCACATCTAAGCCATTTCACAAATGTAAAGAATATACAGATCTGCTAAATTCAAAATATGGTTTAAAAATTTTCAGTGTGAATAAAAGATGATTATTTGTTATAAAAACCATAAAGATTATTATTTAAGCATACATTATGCAAGAGCTAAATCTGCCAATTGCAGGTCTTTCTTTAGGCCCAAAATTCAATCGCTAAATATTCGGTTCAGGGTGGATCAATTTGACTGAAATTTTCAGCAAATTCCCTTTATATTATCTAGTTTTTATACGTCCACATTCATAATGTGGACATATATTGCCGTCGCCCCTGTCTGTGTGTATGTAGGTGTGTGTGTGTGTCTGTGTGTCGCCTACAGGCCACAATTCTTAAGTGATCATCTTGAAACTTTCCATACTTATTCCTTATACCCTAAGGATGATCCCTATTGATTTTGGTGCATGCCCGATCCCCAGGCGCAGAGCCACGCCCATTTTTTGTATTTCTTTTTTGTCATCTACAGGCCACATTTCTTAACGTATCATCTTGAAACTTTGCATACTTATTCTTTGTACCCTAAGGAACATTCCTATCATTTGGGGTGCATTCCCACCCCCCAGGGCAGAGCCACGCCCATTTCTTGTATTTGTTTGTCGTCTACAGGCTGCATTTCTTAACGTATCATCTTGAAAATTTGCATACTTATTCTTTGTACCCTAAGGAACATCCTTATCATTTGGGGTGCATGCCCAACCCCCCAGGGGCTGAGCCATGCCCATTTTCTTTTTGTGTGTCAGTGTGTGGTCTACAGGCCACAATTCTTAATTGATCGTCTTGAAAACATTTCGGATAAATTCCTTATACCCTAAGGATGATCCCTATTGTTTTTGGTGCATGCCCGACCCCCTGGGACAGAGCCACGCCCATTTCTTGTATTTATTTGTTTGTCATCTACAGGTCGCAATTCTTAACAGATCATTTTGAAACTTTGCATACCTATTCCTTATACCCTAAGGATGCCCCCTATTGTTTTTGGGTGATTGCCAAACCCCCAGGGGCAGAGCCACACCCATTTGTTCTTTGAAATGAAATGAAATGGGGTTTAACGTCCTACTGTTCTGCTCCTAACTGAGCTAATGAAGACGGGCATATCCCATACAGTGTGCTATGAGGGAAATTTTGCCCGGACAGCGGCACTACGGCCTACTCTTATATTGAATTCCAACTGTCAAGGGATCTTTTACGTGCACACCAATGTGTACACTGGACCTCGGTTTTTCATCCCATCCGAACGACTAGACAACTGTCCTTGTCAGGCCCTCTGTCCTGCATCACTGACAGGGGGGAACCACGCCGGAAAATCTGAATGAACTTTCTCGGCCAATGCAGGGATCAAACACCCGACCTCCAGGCTAGCGAGCCAGCGTCTTACCCACTTAGCCACCGTGATCCCCATTTGTTCTTTGTGTCTCTGTGAGTTGCCTACAGGCCACGATTCCTAATGGATTTTCTTTGAACTTGGGATATGTATTCCTTATAGCCTAAGGACGACAACTGCATGTCCCTACCCCAGGGGGCAGAGCCACGCCGAATTCGTGTTTATCGTTTACAGGCCGGAGTTCTGAATGGATCAACTTTGTTCCTGGCATATGTATTAATTATAACCTAAGGGCGTCAACTATTGATTTTGGTGAATGCCCTGACCCCCAGGGGCAGAGCCACGCCAATTTTTGCCTTTACCGCCTGAAGGCCACAATTCTGAACTTGGAATACTTATTCCTTATACCCTAAGGTCGGCAACTATTGATGTTGTCAATTCAATAACAGGGTGGTACCTATTTATATTGTTCCATATCCAACCCCCAGGGGCAGAGCCACACCCATTTTTTGTATTTATTGTCTACAGGCTGCAATTCTGAATGAATCATCTTGGAACTTTGCATATTTATTTCTTATACCGTAAAGACAGCAACTATTTATTTTGGTGCTTGCCCCGACCTCCTGGGGCAGTGTCACACCCACTTTTTTGTTAGTATTAATTTTCAGAACGGAAACTAAAAATAATGTTGATCTATGTTCAGATATAATATATAAGTGGTCAATGTTCTATGTATTGGAGAATATCAAATAGAAATGTCAACGGTTGTGAAAGATATATGAAAACCAACCAAAAGTAAAAAAAATTGTTACAAAATATAACTAAGAAATGCTATCGAACCCTGGTAATTACTTATATCTGTAAGTATAAAGCAACAGTTGTCGATCTGAAAACACTGGATACTTGCTCATTCTAGAACATTTAGGATTTTTTATATAAAAATTATGATCCATTTTGGCATTGATGTTTCGATCACAGACGTTTGGGTGGTCTCCCAGTAATATTGTAGACTATATTATATGTGACAATTTATATTTGATTCAGTTGTAATAGTTATTTAATCTATTTCAGTAATATAAACAGTAATTTCTCTTTTTAGATGGAGCAAGATTTGGTTACAATGATAAGTATATTTGTCATTGTGGTAATAACGGAACATGTGATTCTGTAACTGGACTATGTTCATCAGGATGTGTGATGGGATGGTACAGTGATTCATGCCAAAAGGGTTTGTAACTCAATAGATCTAAAAGGACAGCATATCATATACACATTAACTAAGCTATTCTGCAAAACAATATCAGATGTCAGTTATATTTAATAGATCAAAATGACTGATGATCATAAAACACCATAGGCTATTAGATCAACATAACCTAATTGATGCTGACTTGCAATAAAACATAATTTGATTTATTTTCAAAAAATGAGGTCCTGTGTTTATGTTGGCATTTATTTCGACCTTTGAGAGTTGGAATTCAATTGCTGTCCAGGCCAAAATTTACCTTCTAGTACACTGTATGCCCAACTTCATTAGTCTGGTTGATGCAGAAAAGTAGGACACTAAACCCCATTTCATTCATTCATTCTTTGATTAAAAATTTGATGGGCATGTGTTTTATCCAATATAATCCAACCCAGACGATTATTTTTATACGCCCACATTTTCATGTGGACGTATTATGCCGTCGCCCCTGTCCGTCCGTCCGTCCACAATTGTTTGTGGACTCTCTACAGGTCACAATTCTTATCAGATTTCGACGAAACTTGAAATATATGTTTATCCCCAAAAGATCTCGGCTGCTTTCGATATTGGCATGTATCGGATCGAAACTTCATGGATTATGGCCCCTGTTTGTACTAAAATCACGTTTTTAGCTCGTGGACCCTATAGAGGTCACAATTTTTATCTGATTTTGTTGAAACTTGAAATGTAAGTTTATAACCCAAATTTTTCAGTTCCTTTCGATATTTGCCCATATCGGACAGTAACTTCCTGAATTATGGCCCCTGATTGTACGAAAAATCACGTTTTTAGCTTGTGGACCCTATAGAAGTCATAATTTTTATCCGATTTAAAAAACCGTTCTATTATGTCACCGTTACACCCTAAGGATGACTGGGTTCAAATTTCGTGAAAATCGGCCCAAAATTGACAGACAAAATGGCCGCCATTCGTTCCCAAATAGCATAAGAATATGGTATATCAAGGTTGTGGACCCTATAGGGGTCACAATTTTTATCCGATTTTGTTGAAACTTGAAATGTAAGTTTATAACCCAAAGATCTCGGTTCCTTTCGATATTCGTGCATATCGGACCGTAACTTCCTGAATTATGACCCCTAATTGTACGAAAAATCACGTTTTTAGCTTGTGGACCCTATAGAAGTCACAATTTTTAACCCGATTTAAAAAAACGTATTATTATATTACCGTTACACCCTAGGGACGACTGAATTTGAATTTTGGGAAAATCGGCCCAAAATTGACAGACAAAATGGCCGCCGTTCGTTCTCAAATAGCGTAAGAAGATGGTATATCAAGGTTGTGGACCCTATAGAGGTCACAATTTTTATCCGATTTCGTTGAAACTTGAAATATAAGTCTATAACCCAAAGATCTCGGTTCCTTTCGATATTCGCGCATATCGGACCGTAATTTCCTGAATTATGGCCCCTGATTGTACGAAAAATCCCGTTTTTAGCTTGTGGACCCTATAGAGGTGATAATTTTTATCCGATTTAAAAAAAACGTATTATTATATCACCGTTACACCCTAAGGACGACTGAGTTTGAATTTCATGATAATCCGCCTAAAATTGACAGACAAAATGGCCACCGTTATTTCTCAAATAGCGTAAAAATATGGTATATCAAGGTTGTGGACCCTATAGGTCACAATTTTTATCCGATTTTGTTGAAACTTGAAATATAAGTTTATAACCCAAAGATCTCGGTTCCTTTCTATAATTGCCCATATCAGACCGTAACTTCCTGAATTATGGCCCCTGATTGTACGAAATATCATGTTTTTAGCTTGTGGACCCATTAGAGGTCAGAATTTTTATCCGATTTAAAAAACCGTATTATTATATTACCGTTCCACCCTAAGGACAGTTGAGTATGAATTTTGTGAAAATCGCCCCAAAATTGACAGACAAAATGGCCACCGTTCGTTCTCAAATAGCGTAAAAATATGGTATATCAAGGTTGTGGACCCTATAGAGGTCACAATTTTTATCCGATTTTGTTGAAACTTGAAATGTAAGTTTATAACACAAAGATCTCAGTTCCTTTCGATATATGCGCATATCGAATTGTAATTTCCTGAATTATGGCCCTTGATTGTTTGTTAAAAATCACTTTCTTGTTAGCTTGTTCTCTATCCATCTCTCGAAAATGTGGGCGTATCCTGCCTGGCAGCCGCTGGTATTTTATTTTCTTAACTACATGTAAATGTTAAATAATCAGTCTTTACACATTTTAGTGTGGAGGGGGGTTGGATGGCCGAATGGTTAGCACGCGCGTGCTGTATCATACGGTCTGTCATTGAGTCAACTGGCGGGGTTTCTATTCCAAGGTTGTATGTGACAAGGAGTAGGATCGCCTGTCCAAACTCGTGGGTTTTCTCTGGGTCCTCCGGTTTCCTCCCACTGCTAAAGACCCCTACGCACAAGCGAATTATTGAAATAAAATTGAACCATGTGTTAGTCCCGAAATGACCTAGTTCATGTCGAGTGGACGTTAAACCCCATTTCTCTCTCTCTCTTTTAAGTGTGGATTAAGCCCACTTTGGATCTTGATTAATTTTCTGTTTGATTTCAGAAAATGTTGCTTTTAATAAACTAGCGAGTCAAAGTTCCAATTACAACTCAGAAAAAAATGCACAACTTGCAGTTGATGGTCTCAAAGATACAAGGGAAAATTCACCAACTTGTTCACATACTGCCGAAAAACAGGCCTCAGCATTTTGGAAAGTTGATTTAGGGAAGTCATACCCTATTAGAGATATCAGAATATTTGTAAGGAATAACATGTGTAAGTTTATAAATATCATTTTTAGTTTTGTTTCATTTCAAATTGCATATTTACCTTCAATTATTTACTTACAGGCCTACCTGTCTTCATTAGCCCAGTCTGTGCAGAAAAGTAGGAGTTTAAACACCATTTCATTTCATTTTTTACAGACCTATCCCAATATGCTTCATTTTGTTTTCTACTGTGTAAAAAGACAATATTATTTTAAATCTATCTACAGATGGACTTAGGAGATTGAGAGGATTTACTCTACATATCATCGATGATAAAGATGTTCAACACCTTTGTCATAAAGATGATGATACAAAGAATCTCGGGCCAGAATTTACTATAACATGTAACGGAACAAGAGGAAGATTTATAAAAATAAGTACCGATAGACCGGGAAATCAGGCATTTGTAAATCTGTGTGAAGTAGAAGTTTTTGGTAAGATTAGTTAAAAAAAATTTCAGTAGCATACACAGCCAAACTTGTATAAGAGCACTCTTGAATGATACTTTTCTTTTCATGTTGTTTCTGTAAGCATAAGGAGGAACACCGAAACATGGAATGTGATCTATGAGTGGTTTGTTTTCAAACATATCAAGATCGTTAAGTTGGTTGTAGAGAGGGACCAAACTGAGTCACCCATTATTGTACAGTGTTATTGCCCCTGTAAGAGCTAAATCTGCATATTGCAGGTCTTTATTTTGGCTTCAAATGTTATATAAACTATTATTTAGACATTTATTAACATGACAAGCTCTCTAGGTCATCGGACGGCAGAGATTTAAATGGATTAGAACACCTGTGAGATTTTGAAATTTAACGATAAAATGGATAATCAAGACATAGTCTGATTTGTCCAGTACCGTTGCTGCGCTGCATCTTCCAACACTCATAACTTTGCCCAGAATAAAGTAATTTGAAACAAATTTTCAATATACATGTATTGTTCATTATCTATTTTTGAACCATTATAGCAAGAATGGCCAGCTCTTTATCTAATTCTTACAATGCATCTTTAAAATATTTATTTAGTTGCTACTAAGGCAAAATTCTTAGTGTGATTATTGCCTTTTATTTGATAAGTTTGTGCCAATGGTACATTTGGACCTGACTGTACCAGCCTATGTTACTGTGAGGACAATGAAACATGTGATGAATTGACTGGTTACTGTGGTAGAGGATGTTTGCCTGGCTGGACAGGGAGAAGTTGTAATCAAAGTAAGAAACATATATATAATTATGTGAAATTGAAATAAGTTAAACAGCTGTTTTTGTTTCAGATGGCATTTTTTAAACATGTTTCTTCTTAATATTAGAGAGTTCAAAACTTTTTATTTTGTATGTAAAATGCTCTGTTGATAGGTGAAATTGTTTTTTATATTAATTAAAGTAAAACAAATAATGGTTGGGTATGACACTTTGACATGTCTCATACAAGGCACCTATCAAGTTTTCAAACAAGATGTGAATTTCAGCAGTTGCAGCTACCACTAATTGAACTTGAAATACACAGGTCATTATTCTATGGAATACAATTACAGTGTATTACTGAGCGACATTTCAACTAGGATTCTATAGTCTTTATCAGACAATGATGAAATATAAAATGTGATGGAATATTGGTTAATTATTTATAACCAATCAGTGACATCCCACTAATAGATCTTCATTTGCCCAGTCGGTGCAGAAAAGTAGGACATTAAACCCCATTTTATTTCATTTCATCCCACTAATTACTCTTCGACAGTATTCATTTTTAAAGGTATTTCTTCAATATTCAGCAAGGATAAGCTGAATAATTTACATATAATTTACAGGTTGTTTAGAAGGATGGTATGGTAAAGACTGTAATAATGACTGTAAAAAGAGACATTGTTTAAAGTCATCTGTATTTTGTCACCATTCTACTGGTGTATGTGAAGATGGGTGTGAAGTTGGATGGAAGGGAGACAACTGTCTTACAAGTTGGTTTTATGTGCACTTTACGATACCTGTAGATAAAAATTCATGCATGCAAAAGGCATAAATGGTCATTTAAGAATAAAGTAAAATTCAGAATCAGCGTCAACTTAGATTTTCTTGAGTCAAAGGATTTTCATGTAGTATATTACTAGGGCTGTGTAATAATTTTTACTGAGTGCAATCCTGGTTATTATGGTTTAACTGTACTTCTATTTGTTTTCAAAAGAAATGTGAAGATTCTGCTTACTATAATCATGTGAACGAATTATGCAATAATACTAGTAGTAGTAAGTATACAAATTTTATCTACATACAGGCCTGTTGTAGATCTGATATTTTTTTAAACAAATGTTAATCTCCCATTTCATACAAGAGCAAATGGCAGTACAGTGGTAGTTAGAAAATCATATAAACTTGTCAGTATGAAATTATTGTGATTTTTTTTATGCTTGTCTAAGATAAATCATATAAACTTGTCTGTATGAAATTATTGTGATTTTTACACACCCACATTTTCATGTGGACATATATTGTCATTGCCCCCGTCCGTCCGTCCGTCCGTCCACAATTTGTTTGTGGACACCTTACAGGTCACAATTTTTATCCGATTTTGAAATACACAGGTCATTATTCTATGGAATACAGTTACTGTGTATTACTGAGCGACATTTCAACTAGGATTCTATAGTCTTTATCAGACAATGATGAAATATAAAATGTGATGGAATATTGGTTAATTATTTATAACCAATCAGTGACATCCCACTAATAGATCTTCATTTGCCCAGTCGGTGCAGAAAAGTAGGACATTAAACCCCATTTTATTTCATTTCATCCCACTAATTACTCTTCGACAGTATTCATTTTTAAAGGTATTTCTTCAATATTCAGCAAGGATAAGCTGAATAATTTACATATAATTTACAGGTTGTTTAGAAGGATGGTATGGTAAAGACTGTAATAATGACTGTAAAAAGAGACATTGTTTAAAGTCATCTGTATTTTGTCACCATTCTACTGGTGTATGTGAAGATGGGTGTGAAGTTGGATGGAAGGGAGACAACTGTCTTACAAGTTGGTTTTATGTGCACTTTACGATACCTGTAGATAAAAATTCATGCATGCAAAAGGCATAAATGGTCATTTAAGAATAAAGTAAAATTCAGAATCAGCGTCAACTTAGATTTTCTTGAGTCAAAGGATTTTCATGTAGTATATTACTAGGGCTGTGTAATAATTTTTACTGAGTGCAATCCTGGTTATTATGGTTTAACTGTACTTCTATTTGTTTTCAAAAGAAATGTGAAGATTCTGCTTACTATAATCATGTGAACGAATTATGCAATAATACTAGTAGTAGTAAGTATACAAATTTTATCTACATACAGGCCTGTTGTAGATCTGATATTTTTTTAAACAAATGTTAATCTCCCATTTCATACAAGAGCAAATAGCAGTACAGTGGTAGTTAGAAAATCATATAAACTTGTCAGTATGAAATTATTGTGATTTTTTTTATGCTTGTCTAAGATAAATCATATAAACTTGTCTGTATGAAATTATTGTGATTTTTACACACCCACATTTTCATGTGGACATATATTGTCATTGCCCCCGTCCGTCCGTCCGTCCGTCCACAATTTGTTTGTGGACACCTTACAGGTCACAATTTTTATCCGATTTTGAAATACACAGGTCATTATTCTATGGAATACAGTTACTGTGTATTACTGAGCGACATTTCAACTAGGATTCTATAGTCTTTATGAGACAATGATGAAATATAAAATGTGATGGAACATTGGTTAATTATTTATAAACAATCAGTTACATCCCACTAATAGATCTTCATTTGCCCAGTCGGTGCAGAAAAGTAGGACATTAAACCCCATTTCGTTTCATTTCATCCCATGAATTACTCTTCTACAGTATTCATTTTTAAAGGTATTTCTTCAAATTTCAGCAAGGATAAGCTGAATAATTTACTTATAATTTACAGTTTGTTTAGAAGGATGGTATGGTAAAAACTGTAGTAATGAATGTAAAAAGAGACATTGTTTAAAGTCATCTGTATTTTGTCACCATTCTACTGGTGTATGTGAAGATGGGTGTGAAGTTGGATGGAAGGGAGACAACTGTCTTACAAGTTGGTTTTATGTGCACTTTACGATACCTGTAGATAAAAATTCATGCATGCAAAAGGCATAAATGGTCATTTAAGAATAAAGTAAAATTCAGAATCAGCGTCAACTTAGATTTTCTTGAGTCAAAGGATTTTCATGTAGTATATTACTAGGGCTGTGTAATAATTTTTACTGAGTGCAATCCTGGTTATTATGGTTTAACTGTACTTCTATTTGTTTTCAAAAGAAATGTGAAGATTCTGCTTATTATAATCATGTGAACGAATTATGCAATAATACTAGTAGTAGTAAGTATACAAATTTTATCTACATACAGGCCTGTTGTAGATCTGATATTTTTTTAAACAAATGTTAATCTCCGATTTCATACAAGAGCAAATGGCAGTACAGTGGTAGTTAGAAAATCATATAAACTTGTCAGTATGAAATTATTGTGATTTTTTTTATGCTTGTCTAAGATAAATCATATAAACTTGTCTGTATGAAATTCATAATAACACAACTTTATGGATTTACTACTTCTTGGTTTATTACATGCAACGTTTCAATACTATTACAGGTATCTTTATCAAGCAATGATCAATAATGAATAACAACCTACATTTATAGTACATTCATGAGTAAGACAATAAAAACATAACATTAATTAATGGTTATAACAACAACATTTCCCTTTGAAACACACCCGTCCGTCCACAATTTGTTTGCCGACACTCTACAGGTCACAATTTTTATCCGATTTTGAAGAAACTTGAAATATAGGTCTATCTCCCAAAGATCTCGGTTCCTTTCTTCGATACTGGCATGTATCAGACCATAACTACTTGGATTATGGCCCCTGATTGTACGAAAAAATCACGTTTTAGCTTGTGGACACTCTATGCGCCAGTATCGAAGAAAGGATCCGAGATCTTTGGGAGATAGACCTATTTGGGTTGAACGGTGATATACTAAAATGGGTTTTTTAAATCGGGATAAAAATTGTGACCTCTAGAGGGACTACAAGCTAAATACGCGATTTTTCGTACACTCGGGGGCCATAATTCAGGAAGTTACGATACCAATATGCGCGAATATCTAGAGGAACCAAGATCTTTGGGATATTAACATGCATTCCAAGTTTCATCAAAATCGGATCAAAATTGTGACCTCTATATCAAATTATACTTTCTCTACTGTTTGTTTGTTCAGTTCTTGTTTTTTGTGCAGTTATCCTGCATTGTCTGTCACATTAGATTATGCCATCTCTCTTTATGAGTTAGTTAATTCATACTTTACAATATTATAAATTAAAATGATTATTATTCATCCAAAGGCATGGGGCTATTAAAATGGGTCTTTCCGTCTTTTTGGGACACAATAACTCTCCTTCTAATTGAGCTAAAATGTTCAGACTTGGTGTATGTGTTTATTAGGTGAATGCCTTATGAGCATTTTCTGCTTAGGATAATAATCAGAGATCAGCAATTTGATTGGTTGATGCTTTGGGACACGATAACTTTAGTAGTTCTAATTAAGTGAGATTGATGAAACTTGGTGTATAGTTTCATTACATCAAAACCTTGACTAAGTTCGATAATGAACATTTTCTGCTCAGGGTAAGCAGAGGGATAAGCAATTTGATTGGTCGAGACTTTGGAGTTTGACAACTTTGATTCTAATTGAAGTGGTGAAACTTTGTGTATATTTTCATTGCATTACATCAATACCTTAAAAAAGTTTGATGCTGAGCATTTTCAGCTTATGCAAAGTAGAAGGTTCAGTCTGATTGGTCAAGACTTTTGAACACAATAACTATCCTTCTTATTGAGATAAAATGTTCAAACTTGGTGTAGGTGTCTATTAGATGAATGCCTTGACAGAGTTCGATTATGTGCATTTTCCACTAAGGCTAATCAGATTGGTTGAGACTTTGGAACACAATAACTTTGGTTATATAATATTGGGTGAGACTGATGAAACTCTGAGTATAGATGAAACTTAGTGTATAGTTTTACTACCAGGTACTTCAAAACCTTGACTGAGTTTGATAGTGAACATTTTATGCTTGATTAATATATGTCATCTATTTATTTTGGGGTTTCGGCGGGGGATATCAGCCTCACTGTTGACTTGTTTTAAACAGAAACTGTATTACCAGGAGAAGTAAGCGGAGGTCCTACAATTGGCATTGTTATTGGCGTTATACTTGTTCTACTGTTAATACTCATTATAGTCTTTTTCATAATAAGGCAGAAAAGAAGGTTAGTAAAATGTTGAGAGAATACTCTTTGACTTGAATACGAAATTAATAATTGTTCTTCTGTAAGTATGTGTTATAGATTATTTGTAGGTAATACACTAATGGGAAACTAAAAATAACAAGTTGTAGCATTACACAATTTAAAAAAGGACATAAAAAATGTATGTCTATGTAGTTAAAACCTTAAAATTGTGATTAGAATTTGTAATAAATAAGAAGCATGGTTTCATTTTTGTAATTCAATGATTCAAAATATTCTAAATGTATTATAATGATGAATCAGAAATATTATAAACTAGATCGTAATTGTGCAAAACTGATCAAATACCTGTAGTTTCAAAAAGTGCTTTCCATGAAGAGAATTTGGTCATTCTGACAAAAAATAAAAAATATATTGTAGCATTATCCAAAGAAATCAAGCAACTTTAAACTTTTAACAAATTCAATTTACAGGAAAGTAAAACAGAAAGTTATTTGTGGCGTTAATGAACCGGTTATTGAACTAGATGACCATGTGGTTCATATTGAAAATGGTAAGAGAAAGAAAGGCAGTTTCATATCTGTATTAAAATGTGTAAGCAATGTAGATTCAATATATAAAGAAATTAATTCCTGTCAAAATATATTGCAATCAAAATCCAATTTTACCTTCAATTTATTAAATGTCACCTAATCCATTATGATAATGATAATTTCCAAATAAGTATTAAAATTATCTTTTGTGAAACATTTAATCATTCAAAAACACATACAAATAGTAATTATGATTTTAAAATTATTCTATCTACATTCTACACTATCGAAGTCATCTACAGTGATTATCTCTTCTTTAGGGATCAGAAAGAAAGCTCCTGTGTAACAATATCCCTGGATAATACAGTATCTTGATACAGTTAGTTCTGTTGGATTCTGATGGATTAGTCTAGTTGAAATGGTAGCCAACTAGCAGGTTGAATTATTGAGGGAACTGTAAATTATGAGATCAATTTGATGTCTTTTTATTCAAAATAATTGCCAGTTGACTATTTTGAATTATTTGATGTCAAATTATTGTCTTCAGGTTTAGAAATATATTCTTTTTTATCATTGCTGACAACTGTAAACTTAACTTGGGAATTTAAACATATGCAGATGATCCAGTGTATGTCAATGAAGAAATAAGGAATCATAGATCAGTTGAACTTTTGTCACAGCAATCCAAAGATCATATGATGGAAAGTGAAGATGATGAGGAAGAGGATGAGGCTTACTTATTAAAACTAAGTGTTGAAGAAGTAGATTATTATAATCTAGAATGCCAGTCTAAAAAAACAGAGATAGATGTGGATGAATTAGGGAGATTCCTGAATGGAGCATTAATAGGTGATAACAATTTCAAGAATATGTATAAGGTAAAAATGTCCTTCTTAAGAATCTTAACATCAATTCACTACATTTTATGAATTGAAGTAGATTTAGATCTTCCAAGAATTCGATGAATGTGCAGCATCTATTCCAATCTAGTGAATTTATGAAAACAAATTTCGGCGTCACTTTTGTTATGCACTACAGGACATTAAAGGATTTGATATAAATTTAACATCCTATTTTTCTGCACCAACTGGATGAGCTAATTAAGACAAGCATACTGCAGTGTGCTAAGAGGGAATATTTGCTCGGACAGAGGCGCTTTGGCCTACTCTTAAATTGAATTCCAACTGTCAAGGGATCTTTTATGTCCATGCCAACATGTGCACGGAACCTCAGATTTTTTTCCTCTCTGAATGACTAGACACTGTTCCTTATTAGGCCCTTGGTCCCGCACTACTGGCAATTTTAAGGACCTTTCTAGGCCAACACCATGATCGAACATCCGGGTCTCCTGATTAGAGAGCCAGCACCTCACTAGCTGAGCCACCATGCCTCCACACATTACAGGATTTGTCTAAGAAACACATGTTTTCAGATTTGGTTGTTAGCGTCTGCCTTATTTTCATTGAGGTTATTTTTGATTCCTGCATAAAGATTTGTCATATGGTTATAAATTTTTAATCCTACCCATTTTACAGAAACTCCCAAGTGGCATTTCTGCCACTTTTGAGATCTCACAGATACCAGAAAATCGATCAAAGAACAGATTTAAAGGATACTACCCATGTAAGATACTATCTAATTTTGGTCTATATTTTTGAGTGTAACGATACATAAGACCACTCTATTGCTGAAACGATTAAATCTAAAGTGGTCATTTTCAAATCCTGTGAATTTTATGAGGCATTATCACTCTCACCAAGAAGATAAATGTAGTTAAGTTTTATTTATATTTAAAAGAATGTTAAAACTAATAAAAAAAAAATCCAAGAACTGATCTCCAACAAATGATCGGTTTGCAAATGGGATTTGGTCCTGCCTCATCTTTGGCCAATGCCCATTTATAGAAATATAATTTCTGCATTTAGGAAAACTGATTATAAAGTAGCTAAATGTTTCAATGAATTATACTGTGAATATCTCAGCCATGGCTTAGCAGATTACTATTAAATTTTTATATGTTTTGAAAATTTGTTTAAGTTTATTCATTGCTAACAACATGTTTACTTTGTATTGACCCATTCTTAAAACCAAGGAAAAATTACATGCAACTGGAAGAATATAGCATGTATGTATTTCAGATGATTATAACAGAGTTATTTTGGAATTTTTACCTGATAAACCCCATTCTGACTTTATAAATGCAAGCTATGTTGATGTGAGTATTGATTTCATTTTAGCTTCCCAGAAAACATATAGTAGGACTAGTAGGAGTACTTAACTTGAGATTAAGAGGTCTGTACAGGGTCAATGAAAACTGTTTCTGTCAGTAGAACCTTTATGGATGTGGACTGTGAAAAGTGGACAGAGGGCAATATACGTCCACATAAAGGTTCTACTGACATCTGCTAGTGGACACTCTAGATGCTACAGTTACATGTTATGGTTATGTTAGTGCTAGAAAGAACTAGCTAGAAGTCTATTAAATTGTATTTATTTGTTATAATCACTGCATTGGTTGTTGCACTTGATTAATTTTTACTGTTTTGTAAATGCTTCCATTACGTTCAAAAGAATACAAATGCTACAGCTTTTATGAACTGCTTAGACAACTTAGCTGCTGTTAGGGTATGCTTTAGCTTTGTTGTCCGTCAACACATCTTTACTTTATGTATTTTTAAAACTTGGTCTGTTGGATTTGATGATAATTTGTCTTAGATTTAGAATGGACAGCTGTGTAGATGTTGAATTAGGCCCCAATCTGATTAAAACACAGATCCTATTTCATTTTGGTTTTTATAGTTCAAATTTTGTTTTACTTTTATTACACTAGGATCTGGAAGAGTTGTTATCATTGACATGTTCTGGATAGTATTAGAGATTAGCCAATGAAACGGTCTGTTACGGCAAGCTTTAGGCGTGTGGGTAATCCATCAGAAACATAAATGCTGATTCGTTAATCAGATGTCCGATGTCATAGGGTCAAAAGCCACTCTTATGACCTCTGACGCGACCTATCGCTACAACTTGTCAGATCTTCATGTAGTGTAGGCCATCGAAAGTATAAAAAAACAAAATGAAATATAGATCTGTATTTTAATCAGATTGAATTAGGCCCCTGTCAATGCTTTTAGTTTCTATTGAAAAATTTATTTTTTTTACAGGGATTTGAATCTCAAAACTATTTTATAGCAGCTCAAGGTAAGACAGAAACAAACTAGTTTCTGATGACAAATGGCAAGAAAATTGTTGCTTTGTCATCATAAAAAAAAAAAACATCGCATTTAGAATTCTGTGTATAAATCTTCACTTCATTTGCTTGTGTAACCATAGAATAAATATTACCATAAAAATTAGACTAGCGAAGTATTGTGTTGACCAGATGCCAAACCAATGGTAAAATGTATTGTGATTGGCAGAAATCATAAGTTTTGTACTTTGCACCACAAAAGTTTGTTTTGATGAAATTTGTATCATTTACCAAAACCTTAACCATTTTATGACAATTAGAACTTTTATTCTTTAAGGTCCAACTAAGAAAACTGTGAATGATTTTATTAGAATGATTTGGGAGAAGAAATGTGACAAAATAATAATGCTAACCAAAACATATGAACAGAGAAAGGTACTTTAAGCACTACAAATTTTGTTTTTGGGTTCCCTTTGAAAACAATTGTGTGTTCTTATAGAAATAATGCATTTATATAGCACCTAAAATCTAACGCTATGCCCTGCTCATTTATGCTATGCTATTAAATTTAGCATCAAAAAATTTATAGTTAGTTGATTTCAAAAGTTAGAATATCTCAAAATAATCAGTATATGTTTGGGAACAGAGTTTCCAACCCTGATTCCAACAGTTAACATGTGGTGTATAGGGGCCTTCTGTCCTTTCATACAAAGAGTTCTGATTCCATATTTCAAAGTAAACAATATAATGTGATTGGGATAAAAATCTGGCAAAATTGAGCCTTATTGATTATAACTTAAACTAAAATATTTTAAGAATACAAACTTTTCATTTGCTAACAATTAATATTTTAATTCTAAGCTAAAATATTTTATTTTAAGTCTTTGTGAATACCCCAGAAGCAAAAGCAGCTCACATTTTCCTGTTAATTGTTTTGCGTTACTCTGGCGTATACCTTACAAGAAGCCTTGTTATATTTCCACAATTAGGATTGTTCCTGTTCACATCTTTTGCTTCTATTCTTGTGTATAAATTTTTATGTTGTGTTAAATTTAGTATAAATGTGAAAGGTATTGGCCAGATAACGAGAAAGAGGTATTTGGTGACTATGAATTAGTTGTAGAGGAAGAAAAGACAAGATGTGATTATACAGTTAGAAAAATTACCATGAAGATGGTTGGATCACGAAAGGTATCACATCTTTCTTTATCATGTTATTGAAATACTGATAGAGAAGTACAAGGTTTATATCAACCTTTTGTCATTTCCGAACTCATCTGCATATTTACACATTATTTCTTTCAAACCCCTTTAAAATTTGAAACACCCCAAAACTTGTTCCACTTAAAGATACATTCCTGCGTACAAACTGGGTGATTTGATGATATATTTGCCAAGGAATACCCCTGCTATAAAAAAAAGATCAAAAGAGGTCATGTTTGTGTCACATGACTAACCTCTCTCGGTACCTAGCAAAGGGTGCGAAGTCGGAGGAGAATTCATTGCATACACAAGACGATGTTTTCTTCAATCACTGACTATTTATTACAAATATCGAATCCTAATTAAATTCTCAGATTATCCACCGCCCGCATCTTTTTCTGTGATTTTTTTTATCTCAGAAAGTGTTGTATGTCTAACTCTTCATAAAGTTTATCAACATGTACATTAAGCTCTCAATCTCCGCGTGCCACCTTTGACGTCATGCGTGCAGATATTCCTAATTGTAGGGCTGTCGATTAGGGGAACCCTTACATTTTTATCCTGAAAATGCTCCATGAGTGTTTTTCAGGGAATTCAGCATTTTTCTAGTAAAATTGGATATTTCTACTTTCCATATATACCAAAATTGCCATACTTTTATTGGAAATAACCACCCGATAAATACTTTTCTGGGAACGTATCTTTAAACAACTGGACTGTGGTCGTTCAGTGCTGAAAATTATTATGCTATTTTTTCTCTGATTCAGTTGTCAGTAGGTGAGACTATAAATCAAAACTAGAGAAACTAACACATAAATTAAGTTGTTGCCTCTGTCCGTTCACAAGTCATTAAATTACTCCCTGTTTATGTTCAGACCTTGTATGAAATGTTGTGAACATGATAGAGGAGGCAAAGTTCTCAATGGAATTTATTTCAACTTGATGTGATTGTTCTTGGAGACATAAAGATGACAGAAATATCCTGATACAATACATAGTTTAACCAATAGAATACACTGTGATCTCACTTATTGTGGTATAAGAAAGAACTCTATTTTGATTTTAGTTATCGCCCCATAAGTATTGAGTGCATTTTACAGAGTTTTCTTTCTGGTCGCATTTTCCTTTTTATAGCTTTTGAAAGCTGTTACAGGATTCTTTAAAACTTGTTCTGCTGGAATTGTTGAAATTGATTTTTCCAGCCTGACAAATCCCTGTATGTGTTTTTTTTTTCTTTGCAGTCTAACAGAAGTCACACTTTCTTCCATTATCATTTTACCTCATGGCCAGATCATGATGTGCCTGGTAAAACACAGTTATTAGATTTCCTCTATTATACCAGAAAATATTCATCACAGTCTTCTATTATTGTACACTGCAGGTTAGTGTTTTAAATAAACCATTGCAATTTTATGTTTATGAATTTAGATACAAACTGAATGAAACAACTTCAAAATAATTACATAGTGATTGTATAAACCATAATTAAGCAATATAAACATGGAAAATATCCAAAGCAAACACTCTCAATGACAGCGCAATGATTCAAATGATAAACATTTCAAAAAATTTATTTTTGTTATCAGTCTTAGCCCTGTTGCTTTTGTAAGCCTTCCTTATACCCATACTTTTTCTCGACACTTTGATGAAAATGAGAGGGTATACACCGATACACGGCCACTTTTCAACTGATACACGGCCACTCATGTTATGGTAAAAGAGTCATCATTTTCAACTGTCTCAGCACTTTTCGAATGTGCGTCACTCTCAGTCATATTCTTACATTTTGTCTCACATTTCTTTACATTTTGATATCTAGTCGCACTTTCACATTTTGTCGCGGCTTATGCTCATCCGCAGCACATAATCCAAATATTTTACTATTATAAATTAATCCATTGGCATTTTCTACACTACAAACTTGAGAACTCTACAATTCCAACTCGTCTTCATTTAATTATTATTATTATTATTATTATTATTATTATTACAGCATATTTATAGTGCACCCTTTCATATAACATGTTCAGGAGCACTTTACAAAGTGACAATGTAAATCATACATAAACAACAAGATTATGGACATGTTAACGATTGTATACATAGTCAGTTAAAAGCCTGATTAAATAAATGTGTTTTAAGTTGTTTTTTAAAAGAATATAGAGATGTACAACATCTTAAACTAAATGGTAGATTATTCCATAAAACAGGTGCTTGATAACTAAAAGAGCGCTGACCATAAGAGACTAGTTGAACAGTTTTGGGCTTTAAAAGTAGTTTATCTGATGTACGTAATGGCTGTTCTTGTTTTTGTCTGTCAGTGGATGTCGCAAAGTTAATGAATTGATCTGTGCGAAAATTAGAAAATGTACCTTGCTTATCAAAAAAGTTAATATCCAATCTTTTGTACTGATCTCAAAGTGTCACCATATTCCTATGCAATTGGTATTTTTCCTCATGTTTGGCGGAATTCGACTCATCTGCATGGCTTAAATTTCTTGTTCTGTGAAGGATCGGGCTTCTAAATCTTCGCGGTCATTGAAATCTCTTGCAGAACTGATATTCTCAGTCTTAGAAATATATATCTGTGACATTATAAAGTAGGATTCTTCGACGAATTCCCGCATTCATTTCTGCTATCCACTACAATCGACGCAGCCAGGATGTTGGCAAAACAACAAGAAATGGCTATTGTACAAAATGATTGGATGACGTTTTCTTTTCTCAACCAATCAATATCCCTGTTATGAACATTTTCCCTGACCTGATTTAAACCGTGAAATGCACGTGCGGTGTACTGACATCATTTATCTGAGTAGAAATAAGCGTTTGCGATGAGATAATTGGGGGGCTCTAAATGGGGAAACTTTGATAAATTTGTGAAATGAAGAATGCTTTTGAAATTGGGAAAAATAGAAAAAATCTCTATTTCTCGAAAAAGTATTTAGTATAAGTCAGTTATATACCTTGTTTTCTCGGTGTATATCTTCGCCTCTGAGCCCCACTCAAAAAAGAGACGGTGTATCAACCCATACACCTTGAAAACAAGGTATATAACTATTACTTACATGCCTGACTGTCGTGTCGAATTATAGACGATATTGTGAAATCTCTATAACTATCCTTCAAATACCACTGTGACAAGTTCGTTCATTGGAGAATATTACCTATGCTTTATTAATCTCTATATTCCGAACACAGTATATATATCTTTACTAAGGTAATTGCAGTATTTATATTATATGTTTTTTAAACAGTGCTGGTATTGGTCGTACTGGAACATTCATTGCTGTAGATGCTTTATTAAAACAAGGTGATAAAACACATAAAGTAGATGTAGATAAATTTATCTACAGAATGAGAGGACAAAGAAAAAACATGATTCAAACACCGGTATGGAATTTTATGCCTTCAGATTGAAAAGGAAGGGAAGCTAGTAAACTTGTGCACAATTAAGTCGTCCAATACCATTGGTTGACTCGTCCACAGGGTATTGGCTATGTCGTCCACAACTAATAGTTGACTTGTACACACATATTAATTGTATGGACTTAATCAGTTTTACTATTCATTGTTTTTGTTTTATCAAATGGTACACAAGCTTGATTGGCCAATCACGGCCGAGATTAGTTCATTGATGTTTTAATAATAAAATGGCCCTGTATTGAGTGTTGATTGACTTTCTGCTGTTCTTAATAAAAATGTTTTAATAGATTAATTGGATAAGCTTTTGTATTTTACATGAAACAGAATGATTTATACATTCAAACACTGTCTGGACATTCGCACAAGGTGGATATATCATCTGCATAGCGCTGCATGCTTATATACTCTACTGTACATGAAATATGGTACAGCTATTTGTGGATGACTTTACTCTACTCTACTAGACCTTTCGTTTGGACGAGTTTCCTTGTGGACGAGTTAAATAGTATTCAAATGGAATTATGATTATGTTTGAGTTTTTACTAAAATATCCATGGACAGTGTAACTGTAAAGCCATCTACTCTGCTTGACCAATCTGATCCAAGGAAATCTCATATAATAATGATTTGCCACAATATCTTGTCAGAATTGCTGAGAAGAAATAGATGGACTATTCGTCTGATTATGCATTCTTTTACTACTGGAAAAATAAGATGTTAGGAAACAACACCTGATTATTGATAATCTAAGCACCAGCTTAGTTAAAGTAAGGTATTTTGCTTTACTTTCAGTCTCAGTTAAAATTTTTATATGAAGTATTGATAGAAGGTTTTAAATATGGCGATACTAGTCTCAGTTGTGAGACTTATGTTACTGGATATACTCAACATGGTTCATCACTTGTTATGGGCAAATCATCTATTGAACAACAATTTAACTGTTTAAAACCAATCAGTGGTAGGTATATTTTATGTTCCATTTAATAAGATATTACTAATATTACCTTTGTTGATATGTTAAAGGAGCAGTCCAAGATTTCTCAAGGTACATGTACTTGTTGATACAGGTGGGTTAAAGCTGCAATGCTCCAGAAGGTCAATTATCATTTTCTTTATTTATATCTTTCAAGAATAATGACTTTGAAGTGTTCTTTAGATAGTAACAATAATTCATTTTTATCCACAAACATTGAGACCTAAATTGCATTAACTGATATTATTTGAAGTGTCCAGGGGAAGAACGATTTAAGTCACATTTTTGTCTTTTCGTATAAAAGACAAAACAGACTTTTGGACGAGAATGCTTGATGCGATCAGAGCAACGAGTGGGTTTAATTACAACTTCAAATGATGTTTAATACGAATCATAATTACCAGTACAGCAACTTGTGAGACCCCTGTCCAGTATCTAATCTAATTATAGTTGCTAGTGTAGATGATGCAATCATAACGGTAAAATGAATAATAATGAGTCACGTGTTTATATAGGCGCGAAAGGGAGAAGAGCGTTCCGGGTAGGAAACATGGCGTGTGTGCCAGGCAGTCTAGCCATTATGTTTTATCGATATTGTGTATAGTTTACATTAGTTATTGGCGGTTAGCCACCCTGTTAGAATAGGGGATATGACATTGATTGTGTTAATGTAAAATATGGTGTTACAGTAACTTTTGTATTTAAACCCAATTGTTGAATGGTTATTTAAAAAACACATTTTGACATGCCACTGTACGTAAGCTAGTAAAATGTAACTTGTGAAGTCATAAATTGTAGCTGATCTTATCGTTGAACTGTTATAATAAACTGTATTATAAGTACTATGTAGTTAAATAGCATTCGGGGCCCATGTTCATATAGACGCTGGGAAGCAGTTTGATTAAGTGACCATAAAGTCTCAGTTCGTCTGCAAGTTGAGGACAGGATTCAAACCTAAACACTTTCTGTTGCCGTCTAGGCAAGGTCTGTGACACAACTGACTTCCACTTTTCAGCCAAATTAAGGTCAAATAAAGGGTACAATGGACGTATTTGTTCGGGAGGCCATTTCAGAAGGGCCTTGGTTCGATGTGACTCTGATCATTTTTACCTGATATTGATTGTTCCACAGAAAGCTTATACAATTTGCTACCAGATGGTACGTGGATAAAAATGAATGAGTATTAAAAACATACATTATGCAAGAGCTAAATCTGTCTATTGCAGGTCTTTCTTTAGGCCTGAAATGTTTTCTAAATTATTAATTAGACATAAATTAACTGATCCAGGCCATAATCAAGACTCAATGGCATCGGAATTTCTCAGATATTAAATAGATTAGAACAGTTCAGCCATATTATGATCTAATCTAAAAATGGAGAAGCGAGACTTAGCTTTGAACAACCAGTACGGTGGTTGCAATTATTGCACACATCTTGTCAAACCTTCAAAGGCTAATATCTTCGCTCGCAGTAGAGTAAATTTTCAAATTATTCATTTTACATTATCTATTTTCGAACTATTATAGCAAGAATGACTTCTTCTTTATCTAAATCTTGCATAATGTATCTTTAACTATCTAAGAGAAAAGAGATGGCAGCAGGAAATCAATATAAAGTATTGGAAACTTTAGATAGCTATAACATTGATTGATCAGTATGAATATTTTTAATTAGACTAACATGCTTCTTATATATATAGTTTTTAATGTGAATGTGTATTAATTTTTGTGTTTTGAATCTTGGAATATTTAATATTGTGCTATTTAGTTTATAGATTAGATGTCAAAATGTATGTTATAAAGAATCTTTAAATTTGAGTTCAAAACCTTAAGCTGTTTGAAAATGATTGTCAAAATTGCTTAATAGAGTTATGTAAACAAGATAAAGACGTTTTGACATTTGTTGATATGTAAATTAGTCACCTGATAAACCAAGCCCTATGGCATGGTAAATTTATCGAGATTGTTGTACATCTGTTAGTCAGTTTTCAATATGGAATTCAAACTAAAATATTTTTTTTTATGATTTTATCCAGATTCGACAATAAGAAAAAAAGACCACTGGTTCAGTCTACCTGTAAGTATTACTGTTGAGCTAGCTTTATTGATATCTAAGAAAGACTACCAAAGTTCAATGTATTGTATATTGGTGGGTGTGTGGGGTGGTGGTTCACTAACCAGGATGTCCTAGGTTCAATTTCAAAGTTGGCTGTGAAAGTTCTTCAGGATTTTCCAGCAGGCAAGAAAGAGCATCTAGTCATTCGCATGGAAGAAAAACAAAAACGAGGTCTCATGTACACGTTGGCATGGGCATAAAAAAAACCTTGGCAGTTGGAGTTCAAATAAGAGTAGGTGGAATCACTGCTGAAAGGGCAAAAATGCTCTCATAGCACAGCAAATCGTATGACATATGTCTGTCATTGCAAAAAGTAGTTTATTAAAGACCACGTAAGATCAAAAATCTAAATTGCATGTATGTATAGCCCATGGTTACTATATCAACTTTACGGCAAGTTCACACCAATCTGATTAAAATTAAGTCCGCTGTTAACGTTTAAGTATCCGACACGCCAAAACGCTTTTCGATTTTTCAATTACGGCCTTAATCCGGTTGATTGGCTGGTGACGTCACAGGCACTACACATAGGATATACATTATCTATACAATATCTCACTGTCTGTACAATATAGCACTATCAATACACACGGCAACTGGACAAGCGTCTATTGACGGTCCAATTACCACGTGACTGGCCTAACCATAATCACCGAATTATCGCCTTTCATTGGTATAGACTAGACATTTGTGATTGGAATATTTTAGAGTGAATTTAAAATGCTGTATCATGCCGTAGATCAATTTAAGCTGCCTTTGTTTAAATAGGCCATGTGTCAAATGAAGATAACTCAAGAAATTAGCACATTTACCGGTAATTTGGATAACCCTGTAATACTTGATATCCCAAACTTAAGTACAGAAATACAAATGGTGCCAGTCATTTGTCGATATATTCATTATTAGCTATATATAATAATAATAACCATTTCTATACATAAAGAACAACAACAATGAATATGGAATTTTCCGATGACTATGCATAACATGTACAATAGATCGCACTCATTTCTCTGCCAATCAACGCTTGGTATCTTATTATCATGTACCATTCCATGTACGACAGGTGTAGTAAATGAGGTGCCGTTTGGTGAGTAATTAAACTGTCAATGCAATTGTAAAATACAAATGCAATACAAATAATACGAGGCTACTTGATTACAAAAACACCGGTGAGCAATAATTATTGGGTATATAGTAATTTTAAACAACTGATGAGTAAAACTGAATTATTTTATACAATTAATGTGTGTGTATGATTCTACTATTAGTTCGTTCGAGAGGTATTACGCACACGTTCCACTTAGAGTGATGTCTTTGATCTGGCCGGTGTAAAAAAAGATAATTACCTAATCAACATTCTTAATCCCACTAACACTCACTGCTAACACCAACGTGTAAATTAATTTATGACCCATGCCTGTATAACTTTTACATATTAAAAGTGTTTGTCCAATAAGTTCCATATTGTAAAAAATTAATTAAGAGTTCAAGACTTCAAAGTTTAATAGTTGTAGGCACTCTAAATTGAATCTTAAATTAAAATGAATTACAAAACAAATTATTCCGTAGTCAATTGTTTTATTTAATTAGGGGAATTAAGGAATCCTTCAGGCGTTAAAGAATACACACGCCGGCTGTATATAGGTAATTAAGGAATATACATTCCGAATATGCATTCGGTTACTGTGATGTCACTGGCTTCTGAGGGGATTAAGAGTGTTTTCGATAATTGGCAAAGTCGTTTTTACGGAAGGTCTATTTTTACGACTTTGAGTGAAGATAACTGAATTAATTTCAATCAGATTGGCGTGAACTTGCCGTAAAGTGGATATAGTAACCATTGGCTACACGTATCTCAAAATTTCCAGGTCCATCTTATGTGCACTTTAAACAATTAACATGGTTTTCTTTTTTTTTTACATATTTGTAGAGAGAGACAGCATGACAAAGCTATTTCAGGACTAACGCATATTTTTAATTCAATAATGTGCTTGCAAGCAGGGTCTTTGACCCCGGGTGTATAATTTTAAAGAGATTATTTTTAAGGTCCTATAACATTTTTTCTTAAGTCTAGGAAAAGCAGCATTGGTTATTCAATCATCGAAGAAAAGCAAATGGATCCCCTAGAGTTTTGGAAACAGGTAAAAAGTAACGGAAGTCATCTTGTAGTTCAGCTATCAGATGAGAGTGATGTAAGTAAAACAAGGAGGCTCTTTTTATACGCCCACATTTTCATGTGGACGTATTTTGCTGTCACCGCTGTCCCTCGGGCATCCATCCGTCCACAATTTGTTTGTGGACACTGTACAGGTCACAATTTTTATCTGATTTTGACAAAGCATGAAATATGGGTCTATCTCTAAAAGATCTTGGTTCCTTTCGAAATTGGCATGTATCCGACTGTAACTTCATGGATTATGGCCCCTGATTATACAAAAAACCATGCGTTTAGCTTGTGAACACTCTAGACGTCACAATTTTCATCCTATTTGGATGAAACTTGAAATGTATATTTATAACCCAAAGATCTTGGTTCCTTTCGCTATTTGTGCAAATCTCTTGTAACTTCCTGGATTATGACCCCTGATTTTAAGAAAAATTGCTTTTTTAGATTGTGGTTCCTCTAGAGGTCACAATTTTTATCCAATTTAAAAACTGTTTGCATATATCACTGTTACACCATAATGACGGATGAGTTCGAATTTCGTGAAAATCGGACCAAAAATGTCCCCACTCCTTGTACGCAAATAGTGTTAAAAGGTCACAATTTTGATCCGATATTGATGAAACTTTAAATTTATGTTTATAACACAAAGATATAGGTACCTTTTGATAATCGCGCACATTCGATCGTAACTTCCTGGGTTATGGCCCCTGACAGTACAAAAAATCTTACTTTTTTTTAGTTTTGTTCTCTGTCGATCTCTTACAAAATGTGGGCATATCTTACCTGGCAACCACTGGTTAAAAATTAGTACCGGTATTGGTTAAAATGTTCTATTATGAAGAATATATGTACTAGTTTTAAGTAAAATGTCTGTAGGTATTAATTAGATTTGTATAGGTATTAATTAAAATATACTGGTATTATGTTAAATATACTTGTATTAAAGTACTAGTCAGTTTTAGCAAGGTAATGTGAATCTTAAATTTATTTTCATACACAAACATTTAAAAGGTAATTCTTCCAGATTAATGACTCTTGATTACAAAATCTCTACTAGTTATTCAATTGTCAACTTGTACTATTTTGTATTATTCATGTTTATGTTGTTTTTTGTATTGATGTTTAGGTTGATTTTTATCCAGTGTCTGGTAGCCAGACAAGTATTGGTTTACTAGAAGTTAAATGTGAATCAGTTGTGACAATTACTACAGATTTGTCTAGTACAATAGTTACTGTATGTGGTGGTGAGAAGGTAAGTTGTAACAATTCCTACATATCTAACTAGTACAATAGTTAATGTATTTGGGGAGGGGGTAAGTTGTAACAATTACTACAGATCTGTCTAGTACAATAGTTACAGTATGTGGTGTGAGTTTGTGAGTTGTTACAATTACCACAGATCTAACTAGTGCAATATTTACTGTATGTGGTAGGAGGTAAAGTTGTTAAAATTACTACAGATCTGTCTAGTACAATAGTTACTGTATGTGGTGTGAGGTTGTAAGTTATACAAAAACATAATATGGAACACAATTACTATTTTAATTAAAACGACGTTTCGTTGTGGAACACATTTACTATTTTAATTAAAGTGACGTCGCTTTAATTAAAATAGTAATTGTGTTCCATATTATGTTTTTGTATTACGTATGTCAATTGCTAAATGCCGCTCAAAGAAGAGGTTATAAGTTGTTACAATTACCACAGATCTTACCACAGATCTTACCAGTACAATAGTTGCTTTATGTTGTAAGCTGTTAGATATAGATCTTACTAGTACAACAGTTACTGTAACCTCTCCACACAACACCTCATTCTCGCAGAAGTCCAGATTTGTCTTTGCAAAAATGTTTATATTAGACCTAGAGGGTAGGCAAACCTGCTCTTGGATAATATTATGGATTTAGCATACCACATTTATTTTATTATGATTAGAGAACTTGTAAAGGAATAAAGCTGTTGAAAATGGTTATTCCACATAAAGATCTGGCCAGTCTGTTTGGTAACATCATGAAAATATTAATTGACCATGTAGAAATGCATGATAATGGAATGGTGCCAATCATTGTCCTAACCAGGTAATGTTTATGAGAACTTAATCCAGGGAATAATTTTATAAATGCACTTTTAATAAGTATATTTTGCTAGGTTTTACATGTACTTTTATCAGTTGGTTGATTTAAGTTATAGATTGTAACAGTTGAAGTTACAATCAATTACAGTTTTTAGGACTACAGTAAAAACTTGAAGGAAAAATAGAAAAAGTGGCCAATATATACCTTTGAAGCTAAATAAATAAATGGGAAATGAAATGAAATAAGATGGGGTTTAACATCCTACTGTTCTGCTCCAAACTGGGCTAATGAAGACGCATACGCCATACAGTGTGTTATGAGGGAAATTTTGCCCAGACAGCGGCACTACAGCCTACTCTTATATCGAATTTCAACTGTCAAGGGATCTTTTACGTGTTCTCCAATGTGTACACGGGACCTCAGTTTTTCATCCCATCCAAACAATTAGACAGCTGTCCTTGTCGGGCCCTCAATCCTGCATCATCGACAAGGGGGAACCACGCCGGAAAAAATCTGGATGAACTTTCTTGGCCAGCGACTTTCCCACTTAGCCATTGTGCCCCAGAGAGAGAGAGAGAGAGAAATGGGGTTTAACATCCACTCGACACAACCTAGGTCATTTTGGGACTAACATATGGTTCGATTTTTTATTTCAATAATTTGTTTGAGCGTAGGGGTCTTTAACAGTGGGAGGAAACCAGAGGACTAGGAGAAAACCCACGAGTTTGGACAGGGGACCCTATTCCTTGTCACGTACAACCACGCCAGTTGACTCAATGACAGACCTTATTATACAGTGCGCAAGTGCTAACCATTCAGCCATCCACCACCCCCACCACCGTGTCCCCAATAAATGGGATATTTAGTGTATATTTTGCTATATCAACTATACATTACAAGACCAGCTTAGAAAAGTTTACAGGCATTATATTAGCACATCAGTTTTGAAATCCTGCAACACTGAACATTTTAGTAAATTTTTTGCAATCATATTACGTTGAGTTTCCTGGTAACCAATGTTTGTTCATCAATTATTTTTATTTATACAGTCAGTATGTTTATGGAGTGATATTCTGTTTATTGAGGAATATTATACAGAGAATAAATATTGATGATCAAGTAGAGGTTTTTAACTCTGTATCAGTGATTCGTTCTATCTGTCCCTCGGCCTTTACATCAAAGGTAGGTGTGAAACAACTTTTATATTTTATTTTTGAGATAGTTTAGTCATGACAGATGTGAGAAAAAAGTAAGGACAGGCTTAGATAAAAAAAATTTGTATTCTGCAGGATTTGGTGGGCCTGTAGTGAAATACAATAACTCTCCTAGTCCTACAGATTTGCAAGGATGCATTCAATTGTTTTTAAGCATGGATTTAATATTTTCAAACACAGATTTTTTATCTCACAGCATGTCAGTGATAGGCCATGTATGCTCATAATGTTTCACTACAAAATCTATAAAACCAAATCTTTTTTATACGCCCACATTGAAATGTGGTCGTATATTGTCGACACCCGTGTCCGTTCATCATGAGACGAAGATGCCTATTGATTTTCAGCGATTTCCTATAATTGCTGCCAGAGTTATGACCTTTGATCACTTTGTAAAATCTTGTGGCCACTCTAGAGGCTAAAGTATATATCCGATTGACTTCAGATTGATAAACAGAGTTTGATTTTCAATGAATTTTGATAACTTGAACAGCTAAATCCATGATATTAAATGTTTCGTATACTAAACATTAGCGACAATAGAAAAAATATTCGACAACTCTTGTTGACTGCTCGGACGACTTTGCTGCTGTGGACGTAGGCTTCGTTGCCTGGCAACCTATCTTTTGTTTTCTATAGAATATCATAGAAATTTGTGGGATTACACAATGACTTGGGGATACAAGTTAATTCTCAAGAAAACTAAACAAGTCTATTAGGGATATTTTTTCAGTAGTTTCTTAAAGTATTCTATAGGTTTAGATCAAATTCAACTACAGATCTTATACAAAACTATGTTAAATTATTTTGGATGTCATGTAAAAGAATCTACATATTGAATTCTTTTTATACGCCCACATTTGGTTTCTGTCGATATTCGCACATATCGGATCATGTTTTTATCTTGTGGTCCTTCTAGAGGTCACAATTATTATCAAAATTAAAAAATGGTTGAATATATCACCGTTACACCATAATGTAGACCCTCTAGAGGTCACAATTTGATATGATTTTGATGAACCCTGAAATACATGTTTATAACCCAAAGATCTTTGTTCCTTTCAATATTCATACATATTGAATTGTAACTTCTTGAATTATGGCCCTTGATTGGACAAAAAGTCGCGTTTTTAGCTTGTGGTCCCACTAGAGGTCATAATTCTTATCCAATTTAAAAAAAAACATGTAAATATGTAAAATTATGTAATATCAAGGTTGTGAACACTCTAGAAGTCACAATTTCTATACGATTTTGATGAGCCTTGAATATAAGTTTATAATCCAAAAATCGTGGTTCCTTTTGATATTTGCACATATTGGACAGTAACTTCCTGGATTATGGCCCTTGTTTGTTCGAAAATCACGTTTTTAGCTTGTGGATCCTCTAGAGGTCACAAGTTTTATCCAATTTTAAAAAACGTTTAAATTTATCACTGTTACACCCTAATGAAGGTAGAGTTCCAATTTCTTGAAAATCGGACCGAAACTACCTAACAAAATGGCGGCTCGTTGTATGCAAAAAGTGTAGAAGTATGTCATCCCAAGATTGGGGACCCTCTAGAAGTCACAATTGTTATCAGATTTTGATGAAACTTAAAATTTATGTTTATGTCCCAAAGATCTTGGTTCCTTTCGCTAATTTCGTATGTCAGACCTTCACTTCCTGGATTATGGCCCCCCGATTGTATGAAAAATTGTGTTTTTTAGCTTGTGGATTCTCTAGAGGTCATAATTTTTTTATCCGATTTTAAAAACTGTTTAAATATAGCACCATTCCACCATAATGAAGATTGAATTTGAATTTCTAGAGGCCACAATTTTTATCCAATTTTGATGAATTTTAAAACATATCTTTATATCCCAAAGATCTCAGCCATTTGGATATTTGCGCATTTCAGACCATAACTTTCGGGATTTTGCACCTGATAGTATGAAAAATCACTTTTGTTTTTAGCTTGTTCTCTATCCATCTCTTGCAAAATGTGGGCATATCGATCTTGGCTGGCAACCGCTGTTTCCTGTACTCTATAACATTCTATAGAATCCCATAAAATTCAACAGGAACCCCAACTTTTTCTTTTGGGACTTTTTCATAAGGAATGGGAGGTTAATTTCATTTGATTTAGCAAGAAGCTTCACATTCTACTTTTATTTCCTTAAAGTAATACACATTTACATTTAATGTAAACATAATTTATCACTTCATAATGCATTTCAACATTCCTTCAATCTGATTAAAATACAGATCTATATTTCATTTCGCTTTTTTATACTTTCAATGGCATCTACTAATGTAGTAAAGACCAGTAAAACAAAATTTTGAACTATAAAAATGAAATGAAATAGGATCTGTGTTTTAATCAGATTGACATTTCTTCTTATTATTTCAGAGTTTATACAAAGATGTCCATCAGTTTGCCTTGGAATACATTACCAGTATGAGTGATTATGCCAATTTGAAATCCTGATTCCTGAAACTTTGAAACAGACTCTTCTTCTGATAATTAATATAAAATTGTGTAGGCCTACATGCTAAAGATATGAATAAACATCAGTCTGTTGGTTGAACAGTCTTAGCTTAATGATTATTATAATTTGTTTATGTAAACTCAAGGACAAAATTCGGGTTGCCTTCTTCTTGTGTCATATTTTAGGAGGATGTCTATTGATTAAAGGCACAATATTCTAGACTAAATGGACAAATACAGAGATAGAGAAAGATGGGATTTAAGAAACACTAAACCCAAACTAGGTCATTTCGAGACTAACATGGTTCAATTTTATTTCAATAATTTGCTTGTGTATATAGGGGTCTTTAGCTGTGGGAGGAAACCTGAGAACCCAGAGAAAATACATGAGGTTGGACAGACGACCCAACTCCTTGACAAGTACAAGTGGGAAATCAATACCATGCCACTTGACTCACTGACAGACCTTATGATCGAATGCAAACATGTTTAACCATTCAGCCACCACCCCCCACTCACCCACCCCCATAGAAGTTGTCAAAAAAAAAGGAATAAAACTAACTGAACTAATACAGTTATCTTTTAATACCTTACATGTATCTTTTTGTTTTCAACAAATATCCACATGAAATGTTAAATAAATGCATCTTTCTTTGATTCTTGTCCTTCAGTAACTAATGGTTATATTATTGTTTGGTTCCCAAGTCATTTTATATATAACACAGTCCAATTATACTCCACTTAATTATAACTTAATAATCATATTGAACTTGAACATAATATATGTATTATTATTAATTATTATTGTTATTACAGCATATATAGTGCACCCTTTCATATCACGTGTTGATGGGCACATTACAAAGTGATAATATAATCATAAAAAAAACAACAAGATTATGGACAGTTTTTTAAAAAGAATATAGACTAAATGGTAGATTATTCCATGAAACGGACTCGAAAACTAAAAGAGCGCTGACCAGTCCAGTTTTGGGCTTAAACAGTAGTTTATCTGATGTACTAATGTTTGATCTGGTGTATAAAGTTTTAAAAGACCTGGGGTCGGTTGCTCAAAAGTCAGTTATTTTAACAATCTGTTAAACTCTAACAGATCTTTATCTTGCTAATGTGTCGTTTTTTAACTGTCTGTTAAATTTCTGTTGCTGGAAAGTCAATTTCATTATCCATTAGCTGACTGATTAAAGTTAATCCAAGAGAAGACTGTTTGGTCTTGGGCTGAATTTTAAGGGTGACATATAAAGGGTAAATAAAATCAGACCAAGAACAGAACCTTGAGGAATACCAGATGACAAAACAGAATCAGGTGAAGATTTACAATCAACTAAAGTACACCATTTTCTACCCACAGGATAGAATTCTGAAGGATTTAATGCAGAGCCACAAATACCGAAATTGAAATCAGGTCTAAGTAATTATAAAAAAATAAAAGGATCCATCGTGTCGAAATCGGCAGATAAATCTAATAAGATTATAAATACACAATTTCTATTATCAGTATCCTGTAAAATATCATTTGAAAGCCGGGTTAAAGCTGTTTCGGTACTGTGAAATTGTTTACAAGCACTTTGAAATGATTCATAACAGTAAATTATCCTCTAGATGAGCCTTTATCTGGGGAGCAATAGGCTACTCTTCTCCAATATTTTCATGTGGACGTATATTGTCCGTCCACAATTTGTTTGTGGACACTCGATCTACAGGTCACAATTATTATTCGATTTTGAAAAAACTTAAGATCTCGGCTCCTTTCGATATTGATATCGGACCATAACTTCACCATTTTAGCTTGTGGACACTCTAGAGGTCACATTTTTCATCTGATTTTGATGAAACTTGAAATGTATGTTTATAGCCCAAAGATCTTGGTTCCTTTCGATATCACTACTCAGCGCATATCGAATCGTCATTTCCTGAATTACGGCCCCTGATTGTACGATTTTAGCTTGTGGTCCCTCTAGATATCACAAATATTATCCGATTTAAAACCAGAGGCTGCCAGGCAGGATACGCCCACCTTTTGCAAGAGGTCACAAATATTATCCGATTTAAAACCAGAGGCGCCAGGCAGGATACGCCCACCTTTTGCAAGAGATGGGTAGAGAACAAGCCAAAAACAAAAACGATTTTTTGTACAATCTAAAAAGTTATGGTCTGAAATGCGCAAATATCAAAAGTGACTGAGATTTTTGGAATATAAAGATATGTTTTAAGTTTCATCAAAATTGAATACAAATTGTGACCTCTAGGGGGTCCATAACCTTTGAATTACATACTTATATACAATTTGCATACAAAGAGTGGCCATTTTGTCGGCAGTTTCATTTCGATTTTCCCAAAATTTCAATTCAACATTCATTATGGTGGAATAGTTATCTAAACGGTTTTTAAAATCGAAAAAAAATTTGTGAACTCTAGAGAATTCACAAGCTAAAAATGCCATTTTTCGACCAATGAGGGACCATAAACCAGGAAGTTACGATCCGATATGCGCAAATATCGAAAGGAACGAATATCTTTGGGTTATAAACATCCATTTTAAGTTTCATCAAAATCGGATCAAATTATTGTGACCTCGAGAGTGTCCACAAGCTAAAAATGCGATTTTTCGTACTATCAGGGGCCATAATTCACGAAGTTTCGATCCAATATGCGCGAATATCGAAAGCAACCAAGATCTTTAGGTTATAAACATGCATTTCAAGTTTCATCAAAATCGAATTGAAATTGTGACCCCTACAGGGTCCACAACCTTGATATACCATATTTTTACACTATTCGCGTACAAACGGCGGAAATTTTGGTCCGATTTTCACGAAATTCGAACTCAACCTTCCTTACGGTGTAACGGTGATATAATCAAACGTTTTTTTTTTTAAATCAGATAATAAGGCGATTTGTCGGACCAATCAGGGGCCATAATTCAGGAAGTTACGTTCCGATGGGCGCAAATATCGAAAGGAATCAAGATCTTCGGGTTATAAACATGCATGTCAAGTTTCATCAAAATCGGTTCAAAATTGTGACCTCTATAGAGTCCACAAGCTAAAACGTGATTTTTCGTAAATCAGGGACCATAATCCATGAAGTTTCGTTCCGATGCATGCCAATATCGAAAGCAGTCGAGATCTTTTGGGGATAAACCTATATTTCAAGTTTCGTCAAAATCGGATAAGAATTGTGACCTGTAGAGAGTCCACAAACAATTGTGGACGGACGGACGGGCGTCCAGACGTCCGGACGGACTGGGGCGACGACAATATACGTCCACATAATTCAGGAAGTTACGATTCGATATGCACGAATATCGAAAGGAACCGAGATCTTTGGGTTATAAACTTACATTTAAAGTTACATCAAAATCAGAAGAAAATTGTGACCTCTAGAGGGCCCACAACCTTGATATACCATATTTTTTACGCTATTTGTAAACGAGGGGCGGCCATTTTGTCTGTCAGTTTTGGGCCGAGTTTCACGAAAATCGAACTCAACCAACCTTAGGGTATAACGGTGATATATTAAAACGTTTTTTTTAAATCGGATAAAAATTATGACCTCCATAGGGTCCACAAGCTAAAAACGGGATTTTGCGTACAATCAGGGGCCATAATATTATTCAGGAAGTTACGGTTCGATATGCGCGAGTATCGACAGGAACTGAGATCGTTGGGTTATAAACTTACATTTCAAGTTTCAACAAAATCGGGTAAAAATTGTGAACTCTATAGGGTCCACAACCTTGATGGCCCCTGATTGTACGCAAAATCGCGTTTTTAGCTTGTGGACCCTATATAGGTCATAATTTTTATCCGATTTGAAAAAAACGTTTTAATATATCACCGTTAAACCCTAATGATGGCTGGGTTCGTATTTCGTGAAAATCGGACCTAAATTGCAGGACAAAAAGACCGCCCCACCCCCTACGCAAATAGTGTAAATATATGGTACCTTACAGATTATATGGGGACAGTGCAGTTACGTTATTAAAACAACCATGATAGGTGCAATAACACCCCAACCCCCACAGCGAATCAGTCTCGCCCAGAATAAGCATGATGTTTACGGCTGTTGTGAGGCTGGTGAACAAAGGTGCTCGGGGCATCATCGATGCCGTTGTGTATAGCAAATTTCTAACTACGGCAATATTCTTTAGAGAACAAAAAAAGATGTATGCTAATCAATAAATATATTTTTTTGATATAATAATATGAGGGTTTAAGAATAAAAAATCGAATAAAATTAGCTAAATCCACCTATAGCATTTCTTTCTTTAGGCCTGAAATGTTATATAAACTATTAATTAGACATTTATTAACATGAAAAGATCAAAATCATTTCTCGATGCTATCTAATCTGTCCGATTATCATTGGATTTGAATCCGATCTGCTGTTCAACGTCCGTTGATGATTAAACGCAAAACTGGATAATCGAGACTTTGTTAATTAATCGTGACAGCGCTAACAATGACAATCGAGGCTACGCCGATTTTAAAATAAGGTTTTTTCGGCTTAGAGCGAAGCAATTTGCCTGAAATTTTCAGCGTATTTCCTTTACATCATCTAGTTTTTAACTATTATAATGAGAATGGCCAGCTCTTTATCTAATCTGCCATAATGTATCTTTAATTTAATTATAATATTGTTGAAAATAATTATTACTCAAATTTAATTTTCTCCTAAACTCCTACTTGGTTAGAGATCGTGTGACAAAATAGAGTGATGGAGTGTTACATTTTGGAAGTTATATATTCTTAGACAGAGCGAGAGTAACAGACATGTCAATAACCTTTGAGGAAGACATACTTAAACAGATGTGATGTGGTTTTGTTTTATGCCGAGTTGTTAAAAAATTAAAAGCTGTATGAGCAATGTTTTAGATAAAAAAAAAAGACCAGATAATTGTAGGTATCATTGTATTAATTCGTATGTTAATTAGCATATTAATTGTTTTATATAAATTGAGATTAGTTACACCTCAATGTAGCCTACTTGAATAAGGATGTTTTTAATCTATATAGCATTTGGGTAGCATTTGAAATATAAGTGGTTACCTCTTTATAAACATTACATTATGTACTTAACAGATAATTTTTTGTTGTTGTTTAAAATCAAACAGGGATGATTTCGTTCATTAAAGTAATTAAAATAAAGATATTAGATATCTGGAGTAAGGGATAGGTTTTATTGGGGAAAGTCGCCCTTTTCAGCAAAACCCATAAATATCTGGAGTAAGGGGTGGTTTTTATTGGGGAAAGTCGCTCTTTCCATTATAGGATGCGTTCAATATCCGTGGTAAGTCGCTCTATTCAACAGAAGCATTAAATATCTGGAAGAAGGGATGGGTATTACAGGGGAAAGTCGCTCATTCCAAAGGATGCGTTAAATATTTGGGGAAAGTTGGTCTTTTCAACAATAGCAATATATATTTTGAGTGAGGGTATTGTAGGTGAACATCACTCTTTTAATGCATTCGATATCTGGGGTAAGGGATGTGTTTCATAGGGAAAGTCGCTCTTTCCCAAGGATGCGTTAGATATCTGGTGAAAAGCCGCCCCTTTTAAGAGAAGCATTAAATATCTGAAGTAACGGGTGGGTTTTATTGGAAAGTCGCTCTTTTCAACAAAAGCATTAAATATCAGGAGTAAAGGGTGGGTTTCATTGAGAAAACTTGGTCTTTTCAACACTCAACAGAAGCATTAAATATCTAGAGTAAGAGATGTGTTTCATGGCGAAAGTCGCTCTTTGCAGCAGGGTCATTAACTATCTTGAATGGGAGATGGGTTTCATTGGGGGAAGTCCTTCTTGTCATGGACGCATCAATATCTGGAGTAAGAGGTTGCTTTACTCGGAGGAAAATGTTCTCCGCATTAAATATCTGGAGTAAGGTGTAGGACAGTGGTTCTCAACCTTTTTTTGCCAACGGCACACCTTGGAACACATGAAAAATAAAAACATGTAAGTCAAACGGAATACAACCGTAGACAAGTCATAGAAACATAGAATGATTCACGCTCAATAAAAAAACCCCACACAGCTATGAACTTACCACTAGACAACAGTGAATACTCAGTTGGGATCACGTGGTTTTTCGCATTTTCTTAGTGTGCCGTTCAAAATTTCGCGGCACACTTATCAAGACCTCGCGGTACACCTGTGTGCCGCGGTACACTGGTTGAGAATCACTGGTGTAGGGCTTTATGTGTACCAATCGGTTCGTTTTAGCAGATGCATTAATAGCCGGTGTATGTGATAGCTATATATCGACGGTCTGTTGGGTTGGGTGCATAGCCTAGATATCTTTAGTTAGAGTTGGGTTTTATCCAGGAAAGAAAACGTATTTTGATGGAATAAAAAACAAACCGACATTATAAATCTGGAATATATATACTCTATATACACTATTGAAATGGACACTTGGCATGCTTTGAGAGTATGTTCACAGATGAAGAACTTACCACCCCAACAGAACCACTGAGGTGCACATGCGACACGCAATAGCGCCATACGTGTGGGAGGGGTTCATTGTCAAATTTTACACTTCAAGGAAGGGTTGATGAAAACTGCCGCGTGCTGGTTTATCTATCCATGTTAGCATTCCTATCTGTTCTTGCATACGATTTACTGTTTAGCGTATCTTTGCCTTAGTGTGTTACTTTTAATTTAATCGGGAGACGTGTTCGTCGACGTCAACGTCATCCGACAACACTGCAAGAATTGGCCGTGGCACTGCAAGAGAAGTGGGTCAGATTGCCCCAAATCGTGATTGGACGGTTGATTGGGAGCATGCCACAACGAATTGCTGAATGTCTGAGGATTGGTGGAGCAATTACTCATTATTAAGACAAAAATCAAAAACGTCCATTTTCACTTTTGACGGTGTATCTCTTTGCGGGTGAAATGGGGCCGTCAGATAAGCCGCCCATCTGAACTGTTTGTTCATGTGTAGACTATTGGCCTGTTATTAACATACGTTGTTTATCTTTAATAAAAACAGCAGTGCATTTCCGCAATATTGTGAAACCACCCCTTTTAATGAAATCAATTAGAATATAGGAAGTAACTGAACACAAACATCTTGGACTTACTTTTCAAACCAATTGTAAATGGAACAGTCACATTGATAGCATAATTAGTATAGTATCAAAATTAGTAAACTGCCTACGCTCCTTGAAATATCGCTTAAACAGAAAATCGCTAAACACCTTATATTCTTCATTCATTCTGATGCACTTGACTATGCCGATGTTATCTGGGACGGGTGCACTGACTACTTATCCAATAATCCCGAATCCCTTTAGCTTGATGCACTACGCACTTGCTTAGTACGGTATAACACTTACCACTATCTGTGGGGCGGTTAAAGGTACTACACGCTTCCCTCAACGCGGAAACTGGGTTTATTCCACTCAAAGAACGACGAAATGGACACAAATTAAAATTACTATACAAAAGTATAAACAACCTGACCCCTCCCTATCTTAAGAATCTCATAAATCTGGAACCAACAAATACATATTCATTTCGAAACGAAGATAAAATGAAAGAAATTTGATGTCGTACTGATATATTTTCTAAATCATTTATTCCATCCAGTATAAGAGAGTGGAATAAACTCAGCCTCCCTTGCAAGAAACTCCAGAACTCTTAAAATATTCTCCGACCATCTCTCCAAATCAGATATAAAAATTCCATCTAGTTACTACAACGGTCAGCGGAAACTTCAGATAATCCATAGTAAACTTAGATTCCGATGTTCTGACCTACAGGTCCACAACCTCAGACACGTTGCTGACAGCCCCGCATGCCTCTGTGGTCACATTTTTGAAGATCCTCATCACTACCTCTTGCAATGCTCCTTACATTCAAATGCACGAAGGGAAACCATAGATAAATACGATCATAAAAAAAATTAACTATCTCTTGTTCGTGTCCACAAAACATTGTACCGATGTAAACAACAATATTTTTAATCAAGTCCACAAGTTTATTGACATGTCAAACCGATTTTAATCTTGCTCATTAAACATACATTATGCAAGAGCTAAATCTGCCTATATTGTATAGGTCTTTCTTTAGGCCTGAAATGTTATATAAACTATTAATTAGACATTAATTAACGTATCCAGACCATAACCAACTCTCGATGTCAACGCTAGCCTGCGATATTTGTTGGATTATGATTCGATTTGCTACATAACTTTCCTTCTCGATTTAACGATTAAATGGATAACCGAGACTATGATTTTTGTCGTACCGACTTTAGTAATGATGACCGAGGCTATGCGGAACTTTTAATCGCTTATTTCTCGGTTCATAGTGGATCAATTTGACTGAAATTTTCAGCAAATTGCCTTTACATTATCTAGTTTTTAACTATTATAGTGAGAACTGCCAACTCGTTATCTAATCTCCCATAATGTATCTTTAATTAATTGTTTTAATTTACAATATTAGTTTTAAATTTACGTGATGATGTAATTAACCAATAATATATATTATATATTGCCATCCGCCTCATCATATGTATTTATATATATTTCTGTATGTGTTTGCCATTTTAACTGTGTATATACACCCATTTTGTTCCTTTGTTTTAATATTATGTACGGTATGTATATTATCTAGGGAGAGGGATTTTACATAGGCTAAGCCTGTTCCCCAATCCCATTCAGACATCCTGAAGAAAATATTGTTTATAAAAAAAAAAAAAAAAAAAGTTTTGTATAATTATTTCTGAATATCGAATCCCCTACTTTTTTTGAAGAGTATATATATAAATGAAATGAAATGAAATGGTGTTTCTACTGTTCTGCTCCGAACTGGGTCAATGAAGACGGGCATACGCCTTACAGTGTGCTATGAGGGGAATTTTGCCCGGACAGCGGCACTTTTTCGGTCTACTTAATTGATGAAAAAATTGAACGTGTATGGACCGCTTTAATCCCGGTTGGCGTTTCCAATAACTGGGTATGTTCCTACCCCTTTAAATAATGTTTACAAACGCGGTGACATTGTCCAGACTAGGTTACCATGACAGTGCACGTGTATGTCGGCGAGTTGGCTATAAAAAAGAGATTTGGTTCTATAGAGGTTATTCGTCGATCTGGTAGGTTAGTAATGAGGTTGTATCATTCTGTCATCTGGCAAGTTGTCCTTCTGTTGCTGTTTGTCTTTATTGGACAAGGTAATATATATATATGACATTACGTACATGCAAATTTATAGTAAGATGAGTTTCACTATTTTCATTTTCAATATGAGTAACCCATTAGTCTTGGCACTGAAATTCACAGCATAATTTTATTATATATCGCATTTTCGCCCCTCATCTAAAATAGAAAATCAGAAGATAAGATAACTTCTTTTTGTGTAAAAACATCCACAATAATAAGTTACCTTCAGGTTCAAAGGCTGTTTGTTTACGCTAATGAAGACTGGTTACCCAATGCTAGGAAGTTGGATGGCTGAATGGTAAACGTGTGCGCATTATATGATAAGGTCTGTCATTGGGTCAGAAGGCATTCAGAGCTGAACTAGCCTGGTAGTATGTGACAGTAGGGTCGTCAGTCCAACCTCGTGGGTTTTCTCCGGGTCCTCCCACTTCTATAGACCTCTACGCACAAGCGGATTATTGAGATAAATTTGAACCATGTTAGTCCCGAAATGACCTTGTTTGTGTTGAGTGGACGTTAAACCCCATTTCTCTTTCTCTTATGCCATGCAGTGTGCTACAACAAGAATGTTGCACCTCAGTCTTTCATCAAACCCGAACGACTAGATCACTGCTTGTCGGGTGCTCCATCCTTCACCACTGGCAAAGGAAACCATGCCGGAAAATCCAGAGGAACTTTCTGGACCAACCCCAGGAACGGCCCCGATACCCCTTGGCTAGTGCATTGATGTCTTACCCACTGAGCCACTGTGGCTCCCTCATTGTAAATTGTTAGATCCAGCTGTCATGAAGTCTAATTGATTTTCACCCCTGTCTGTCCCTCAACAATTCCAGTAAGTGCTCTACAGGTCAAATCGTTTTCTACAAATTAGATCACATTGTTTGATTTGTCCTAAAAAGAAATACTATCAAAGTCGAGCAATGACATTTCAGAGTTAATTATGGACTTCCCCCTCATCACAGAAACTTTTTTAAAAAGTCTTTAGAATGAACAGTTTAAAAACATTTTTGAACAATGCAGAATATTCAGGCATTCCCCTCACATGTTGAATGTGATGTATAGGTGACAGTAAATTAGATTATTTTCGTACCATATTGAGACTTTGTTGGACAATTTTATGTGTTCTCTTCGATCCTGATCCTCAGGCCTCAGAATTTGAAACCCATCCTTCATAATGCTGGTGGTGGTGAGGTTGCATTTGTTGCCTGGTAATGTTATATTTAAATAGGTAGCAAAGTGAACTGTCAGTATGCACCAGATACTTCCACCAATGAGATTAAACAGTTGGTTTCCCTCGGCCAATCGTATTTATATACAAGCAATTCTCAAGTTAGAGGTGAGTTTTTTTGTAGCTCTAATTCTTAGTTTCAATTTTGGCTTACTCTGCTAAAAGAAGAAATAATCTCAACATTGACTTTATTCACTGTACATAAGATATTGAAAGAAAGCCAAATCCACTGAAATAAACTATTTTATTGACCAAAATCATAGAGGGTTCAGTGCCATTTTTAAAAGGTGGATTTGATTTTCAAATTAATGAAATGCCCTGGATACGACTCTTTATGATAAAAAGTTGTACTAGGTTTAATGAATGGGTAAGCATACCCTGCCTCACACACCACCAATACCATCAATGGTAGAATAAACAGTTATCATATGCCCATATGGAAATGTGGACGTATACGTCGCCCTTGTCCGTCTGTCGTCCACAATTTCTTGTGAACGCTCTTACTCCAAAAGTTATTATCCGATTGTTTTAAAATGATATAATGTGGTTTACATTTTTATTTTAGTGAGATGAAGAAGCCTATTTTATTTCTGTTCATTACGTCTAGAGTTATGTCTCGTTTCACTTTATATTGAACCTTGTGACCGCTCTTAACACCGAAAGTTATCATCCAATCTTTAAGAAATTTATATGCATTATTTAAATTAGTGAAACCATGAAGCTTCTTGAATTTCAGCAATTTACAATAATTACTTCTAGAGCTATGGCCCTTGTTTCGCTTTGTTCAACTTTGCTCGAAATTTATATGCATCATTTAAATTTGTAAAACAAAGGACCTTGTTTTACTTTGTGAACCTTGTGAACATTTGAATGACAAAAGTGATCTTCCGATCTGTATGAAATTTATATGCATAATTTAAATTAGTAAAACGAAAAAGTCTGTCAAATTTCAACAATTTCTGTAGACTACTTCCAGAGTTGAGGCTCTTGTTTCAGTTTGTAGAACCTGTATGGAACTGTCTTGTAAAGGCACCCAATTTCCTACAAAGGAATAAATATGCAACAACCCATAATTGTTGACCGCTCGGACGATTTAGCTGCTGTGGCTGTATGTTTTGTTGCCTGGCAACCCATCTTTAATGTTTTTGTTCCTCACCTTAAGTTTACCCTTTGCTGGCAGGAAGCTACTAAAATTAGTTATAAGTTATAATTTATAACTAAAGCCTAATCATTTTCATTGGCAGAGAATTATATACAGTACTTATAATGTGTGCATTTGTGTGCTGTTAATTGAAGTAGGGATTATTTAACTATTTTATGTTTTAAGAAAAAAGAGCACTAGAAGATGAAAACCAAGAGAAAGAAATAGAGGATGATCTATTCTTGGATATAGACAGACGTAATTCAAATTCAGAAAAACCTAAATACAAGTTTGAAGATTTAAGTAAATTTAATGGAAAATGTTTTGATTTCAAGTTTATGTTGAGTAGAATTATGGGAGGTTTTCCAACGACATCATTGAAAAAAACCAGTAAGTATGATTTAAAATATTCTAGTATTTTATTAAAATATGTCCTGAAGATGTTGGAAGTAGATGGTGTCAGATTTGATCAGATTGAAGAATACTTTAAGGGAATCGGTTTAAATCCTTCAAAAATTAGTTTGGGATGATAACAAGACCTAAAATTGAATATAAGATTTACTATAATTAGTCGAGCCATATTAAGTTTATCATTTAATATAGCTCCCATTACTGCAATAGATGCTTTCTATGGCCCTGTACAATTAAATATAATTTATTAACATAATATATTATATAACTAATTTGCTCATTTGGCAATGTCTTTTTCTGACCGGTAGTCATTGTATACGGAAGGATTGGTTAAGATCCGGTTTTTATACGCTCACATAGAAAAATGTGGTCATACATGTGTATTGCAGTCTCCCCAGTCAGTCCATTGGTCTGTCGCCCATAATTTCTTGTGAACAAGGGGGGTGGATGGCCGAATGGTTAGCACGTGCATGCTGTATCATAAGGCCTGTCATTGAGTCAACTGGCGTGGTTTCGAATCCCCGGTTGTAGGTGACAAGGAGTAGGGTCGCCTGTCCAACCTCGTGGGTTTTCTCCGGGTCCTCCGTTTTTTTCACTGTTAAAGACCCCTACGCGCAAGCGAATTATTGAAATAAAATTAAACCATACGTTAGTCCCGAAATGACCTAGTTTGTGTCGAGTGGACAATAAACCCCATTTCTCTCTCTTTCTTGTGAACACTCCACAGACTACATTTATCATCTGAATGTTTTGTAAATGCCCCCCCGCCCCCTCCCAAATATCTACAAAAGAATAAATATGCGGCATCCCTTGTCGACCACTAAGACAATTTAGTTGCTGTGGGCGTATGTTTCCTTGCTTGGCAACCTATCTTTTGTTAAATTAAATCATTCAATGTTCTGAGTAACGTTCCGATTAACATATGTACCAGTAGCAGGTATTTGTATTCTACATCAGCTTGAATAGGTAAAAGTGTACTTCAATCAGGGTATCAAATGAGCTTTGTTATTTTTACTTTTGAGATTCATTTTGTTTTCTTTGGAGTGGCTTTCAGGTATTTTTTTGGCAGACTGACAAAGAGATTATTACATAGTGGGGAAAAATCAATTAACCGATTTCAATTTCATATATTTTATGTATTTCTTTTGACAGCTGAAATCAAGCTTAATACTATTCACATACGAGCTTTAGCAGATAGAGCATTAACAATGATCAAGATTGTCCGTAGACCAGATCTGATTGCCGAAGATTTAGTGTTTTCCTTATCTGAGAACATTCTGACAGACCTAAAGAAATGCCCATCAACCCAGCTACACCAAGCTCTAATGTGTAAGATATTTACATCCCTACATTACTCCAGAATTAAGTGAAAGATTGTTAAGATTCTGCTCGATGAACAGTACTCTTTAAAACAAGTTTTGGAAATTACATAGCACAAGAAGCCCAATTTCTCTAACAATTTCAAATTTTTAACTGGGCAAAACTCCTGATCATATTGAACTTAAATTAGACGTCTTTATGACTTCAATTTCATTAACATTCAGATAATCTTCTATAGATCAGTTATTTGGTGTGACCGTGATCATTTATTCTTAAATCATTTTACAAAATCTGTGCTTCTTTCAATTCCCTTCCCCGCCATCTTTAGCAAGCAGCAACCTGTCACATGCTCCACTTACCTTACAAACAGATAAATATGTGCCATCTTTGTGAACTGTTTGGATGACTTTGCTGCTTGAGGTTGTTTATTTCCGTAGCCACCAATCTTTGTGGGGAAAGGTTCAAGCCTCCAGGAATCTTAAGCTGATATGGTGGGGTGTATATTTCATGGATGATAAATTCTACTTGATTTGAACCCATTTTTAAATTAGTTTTACAAAAAAAATTTCAGATGGTTTATCAAGATCCTTTGTTTCTTACAAGAAAAATAACCACACAATTATTAGAAATGTGACCAAAAAAGTGAAACAGTTAACTGTGAGATTAAAAGTAAATCCTATGCAGCTTGTCCAGACCGTTTACAGTACTTTATCTATGAATTTATTAGAACATATTCGTCAAACTGATTATAAAGGTAAGCAAATATTATGTACTTTGATGTAACCGATAATGCAGTCATGCATGCCCCCCACCCCCCATTTCTCTAACACATCCATAATGCATTCACTTTATAGAAGTACCATATTATTGTTGTAATAGATGGTTCATCATACTAAGGATATGATTCAAGTCGGAAAAATTATCATGTTGCGAGTCAAGATTATTCAGTCCTAATTCTTTAAAATCATTGATAAATACGAGGCTGTGATTGGTTGAAAATGTTGCATTGACAAGTGGACAATTTTTATACGCCCCCATTTTCATGTGGACGTATATTGTCACAATTCTTATCCGATTTTGACGAAACTTGAAATATTAAGTTGATCTCCAAAAGATCTTGGTTGCTTTCGATATTGCCATGTATTGGATCGAAACTTCATGGATTATGGCCCCTGATTGTACAAAATATCACGTTTTTAGCTTGTGGACACTCTAGAGGTCACAATTTTCATCTGATTTTGATGAAACTTGAAACGCATGTTTATAACCCAAAGATCATGGTTCCTTTCGATATTTATGCATATGTGATCATCACTTCCTGAATTATGGCCCCTGATTGTACGAACAATTACGTTTTTAGCTTGTGGCCCATCTAGAGGTCAACATTATCTGATTTAAAACATTTGAATATATCACCATTACAACGTAATAATGGTAGAGTTCGAATTTTGTGAATATCAGACCAAAGGGAGAGAGACTAAAACTAAAGGTTCGCCCTACATTCATGGGTGACGGCGTAGGAATATTTGAGCTGTGTCCAGATATTGTAGCATACAGAAGTATTCATTCATAGAACACAGTGAAAGATCACTTGCCAGTTTTTATTCAAACGTCTCTTCTTGGGCCATGCAAAAGGGGGTGGGGGGAATGGGGAAAGGAAGAGAGACTAAATATAACTTTCGCCCTACATTCATTGGTGACAGCGTAGGAATATTTGTTGAGCTGTGTCCAGATATTGTTCCACACAGGTGTATTCATTTATAGAACCCTGTGAAAGATCACTTGCCAGTTTTTATACACCCACATAAACTTTTGGTAAATCGAAGGTTGTTCGGACCCTCTAGAGGTCACAATTTTGATCCGATTTCGATGAAACTTGAAATACATGTTTATAACCCAAAGATCTTGGTTTCTGTCGATATTCGCGCATATCGGATCGTAACTTCCTGAATTATGGCCCTTGATTGAACAAAAAATCACGTATTTAGCTTGTGGTCCCTGTAGAGGTCACAATTTTTATCCGATTTAAAAAAAAACGTGTGAATATATCACCATTACACCTAAGATCTTGGTTCCTTTTGATAATCACGGATACCCGAACTTAACTTTCTGGATTATGGCCCCTGATTGTTCGAAAAATCGCATTTTTAGCTTTCAGATTCACTAGAGGTCAAAATTTTTTTCAGATTTAAAAACAGTTTAAATACATCACCATTCCACCATAATGAAGGTTGAATTCGTATTTCGTGAAAATCGAAATGGAACTGTCCGACAAAATGGACGCTCTTTGTATGTAAATTGTGTAGAAGTGTGTAATACGAAGTTAGTGGACCCTCTAGAGGTCACAATTTTTATCCGATTTTGATGAAACTTAAAACATATCTTTATATCCCAAAGATCTGTTCCGTTTGATATTTGCGCATTTCAGGCCATAACTTTCTGGATTATTGCCCCTGATTGTATTTCGTGAAAATCGAAATGGAACTGTCCGACAAAATGGACGCTCTTTGTATGTAAATTGTGTAGAAGTGTGTAATACGAAGTTAGTGGACCCTCTAAAGGTCACAATTTTTATCCGATTTTGATGAAACTTAAAACATATCTTTATATCCCAAAGATCTGTTCCGTTTGATATTTGCACATTTCAGGCCATAACTTTCTGGATTATTGTCCCTGATTGTACAAAAAAATCACGTTTTGTTTTTAGCTGGTTCTCTATCCGTCATTTGCAAAATGTGGGCGTATCTTGCCTGGCAGCCGCGGTTATTCAAAGTGCCTCTGTTTGTGCAAAATCTCCCCAACCAACAGATTTTCGTGTTTGACTAACTAAAATTTAGTCCCGAAGGATCCCCACCTTCTTTATTTATATGATTGCAGCATTTGAACAATTTCAGATTTAGAAGAAACCATGACAAAATTAGAAAAAGATTTAGAGAAATTACTAAAAGAGGAAAATGTGGATGTTAACAAAATTCAAAGTATGGTTACCAATCGTTTGGGTAGTGTTCGTAGATGTGGCAATGACCAAAGTGTTGGGAGAATGTTTGGTAAAATGGCGATGGCCATGCAACAATTGTAAGATTAATAACATATAAATAATAGATTAATAACAGTCCAAAAGAATTGATGAGATATTTATTTATGTAGGTGTTGTGTAACTTTTAGAATGCTGGCCTGCAATTTTCACTGCATGACATGGTAACCATCAAATGTTTGATACATAGGTTGTTTGCCTTCCAATTTTTCATAGAGGTGCGTGAGATTGCAACTATAGGATATCCTTTTTATACGCCCACATTTTTAGATGGACGTATATTGTCGTCACCCCTACAGGTTACAATTTTTATCTGATTTTGACGAAACTTAAACAATGATCTTGGTTCCTTTCGGTATTGGCATGTATTGGACCAGAACTTCATGGATTATGGCTCCCTGATTCTACGAAAAATCTCTTTAAGCTTGGGGTCCCTCTAGAGGTCACAATTTTTATCCGATTTTTAGAAAACGTTCAAAATTTATCCCTGTTATATGCAATTGATGGTTGAGTTCGAATTTCGTGAATATCGGACCGAAACTTCCCGACAAACTGGCAGCTCCCTGTACGCAATTAATGTTAATATATGTAATATCAAGGTTGTGGTCCAGAGGTCACAATTTTTATGGGATTTTGATGAAATTTAAAATATTTATATCCCAAAGATCTCGGTTTTGATATTCGCACATATTAGATCGTAGCTTCCTGGATTATAGCCCTTGTTTGTACGAAAGAAAATCACGATTTAGCTTGTGGACCCACTAGAGGGCACAATTTTAATCCAATTTTTAACAAAAAACCTGTTAAAGTGTCATTATGGTGTAACAGTGATATATTTAAGTTCAGATTTTGTAAAAATTGGACCAAAACTCTGACAAACTGGCTGCTCCCTCTACGCAAATAGTGTAAAAGTATGTAATACCAAGGTTGTGGACCCTCCAGTAGTCACATATTATATCTAATTTGATGAAACTTATGTGTAAGTTTATATCTGGCTTCCTTTCGATATTTGTGCATATCGGACCCTAATTAACTTCCTGGATTATGGCTCCTTATTGTACAAAATATCACTTTTATTTAGCTCGTTCTCTGTCCATCTCTTGCAAAATGTGGGCGTATCTTGCATGGCAAATGCTCGTTATAAACTTTCTCCGATTGGTTATTAAAAACCCATATGAAATAACCTGCAAAATTCTATTACTGGCTGAAAAATAATTACAAAGATAGGATGCAGCTCGCAATTAAAAGTTGAACTTGCCAAGACACTGTGCATGTGCATAATCCAGAGTAGATTATATCGACTTATATATAGCCAACGCACGTGAAATTTACTACACATCTATCCACTAATAAAGCCAAAAAATAAAAAAAATAAATCAGCTTTTTGTTACAGAAGCTGTAAAAAAAATGAGGTTTTTCTTCTTTTAATTTGCTTTATTAACTATACTTTAGGAGTGTCATCTTCGAAATACTCAGGTTTGGCAAGAACAGGCTACTAGTATTTTCCTTTTTGCTTTACAAGGTTCTTCAGTCATAGAGTTGATTTCTTGTTCTAGCTTTCTGTTATGTTTCGTAGAAAAAAGTCTTGATTATCCAGGCTTGTCAATTACCGAAGAACGGTCGGTAGACTGGTTTAGTGTGGCGACCAGCTTCAAACCAAGGGCATGTAACCTATTTTGCACTAAAAATGCCAGGATGTAATGTCCACTTGTCGTTTCCGGCTCTTTTTTTATAAATTGATGTTTAAATTGTTATAACTTTGCACACATATGATCATTTATTTAGTGACAATATATCTGTGATTTTCTCCTTTACCCCCCCCCCCCCCAAAAAAAAAAACAACTATGGTAAACTGCATAAATAATTAAAGCATCAGTCGGTCTTTGATGTTCCATTTCAAATATACCTTAATAATTTGTCTTGATGTACAATTTTCATTTTCTTAATTTTAGCCCCATTACAATTGTCTCTACACATTTGCTGCCCTGTCTGGTTGGTCTACTATGGAAATATCATTACTAGCCTCACCTGGTTTCTGTCCAATGCCAAAGATACTTTAAATAATGGTATAGATATTTGGGTTTTCAGATCAAAAGGTTTAGACCGTAAAGATATAGCAGCATCGTTGGGAGTTCTTAAAAGATATGTGCCAAGACAAAAGTTACAAAATGTCATAACTCAACTACGTAACCTGAGTAGGCACATGTTAAGAAATCTACAAAAACTCTTCAAGGCTTTGGTAGGAAAGAACAAAAGTTATATCATCAATCAAAAGATTTTAGGTATGTTTTAGTGTCTACTGAAAATAAATGGATTCCTTATGTTGTGATGTTTAACTAGTATTGATAAGAATGTTGTCGACTTTTCTATAGTAGCAGATTATAGTAGAGGTCGAAAGTGTCAAAGTGATTTGACAGAAAGCTCGGAAATCAGGGAGCACTTGATATTGATCCTAATGAGGTAGAGCTCTGGAGTGCCCTCCCACCTCCGCCAATTCGTCTTTAGACGATATCATGGAATGGTAGCATAGATCTTATGTCGCTATTCCATAATGTATTATGCTGCTCCTCGGGATTTACTTATCATAATATAGTTTTGGACAAGGCAGTTATCATGAAGTTTGCAATTTGGAAACTAGAAAGCAACTTATGTAATATGTCCTCTTCATTTTTTGGTCCCCTAATTAATGGCGTTTAAAGTATTTGACATTTTGCAGTTCATTTTTTTTGAGTAGGTGATTTATCACCCAAAAAGCTATTGCAGAACTATCAGACTCCTTTATTGGGATCAAAAGGATGATTTAAGTAACCTTGATGAGTCCGAAAAAAGTTGCCAGAAAATATTCTATGGTTTGAACAATCTTCCCCTAGTCGTACGAACATGTGAGTTTTATCTCTTGTCTAAAATGTCTGATAATCAAGATGACAACATCGCTGTCTTAATTGTGCAAGGAAATTTTGAAAACATTCCTTAATCTGAATGCGAACATATCAATCCCCCCCCCCCTCCACCAACACAGCTTATTGCCTCCTTGTATGCAAAGGTTGTGGACCCTAGTCACAATTTTTATCGGATTTTGATATGAGACTTCCTTTCGATTTGCCTATATTCAAGCATATCGGAATGTAACTTCCTGGATTATGTCCCCAGATTGTACAAAATAGATATATATTTTTTTTTTTTTTTTTGCATTTACTGTCCAACTCTTGCAAAAATGTGGGTGTATCTTGCATGGCAACCGCTTGTTTTCTGTTTTTATAGATAAAGATCAGTATGAACAACTATTAAGAATTTTGAATTTTTTGGGAAAAGATTTGTTCTCAAATGGTAAGTTATCTTTGAATTATGTAAATTATCAATGGCTGAACATCCAATAAAACTGGTTGATTTGACTGTTGATAAGTCTGCTGTCATAGATTTGATATAATTATCAAACTAAATAATGGACATGTCTCTAGTAATATTGAGTTGCATGTATGGCTTGAATCTGTCTATGAAGTTATAGTAAATATTTTATATTTACTACATTATGTATCAAAACCTTACACCATATAGGAATAATCTTTTGAGGGGGTTGGCGTGGTAATTTAACAGGCTGAAATATCCTCTATGAAAATTTTGTATTTCTATAGGCTAATATTCAGACTTGGTTTGTTAAGATTTATTTTTCTCCATAAAAAATTTGCATGTGATTCATATTTCCAGATAAAATTAAACAATTGGGAAAAAGAGATTTAAGCAATGTAATGGATGATGAACTTCGAGCATTTCAGTTTGAAAAAAGGGACAGTTCTAATCTTGATGTGAAAAGACGGAGAAATGATAACCAAGACAAAAGACGGATTACCAATAGTTCCTTAAAATATTTGTTAAACTGGATAAAGTCTCAAATTAAAAAGAATAAAAGTCAATTTAAACGTAAAAAAATGAATAAGAAGTCGTCGAAGAGCAACCTAAAGCCGCAGACCAATGTACAACATTGCTTTAATTTTGAATCTGCTGTAAGCAAGATTATTGGTGGATTTCCTAGTGTTGAATCATCAGCAGGTATGTTTGAGAAAATAATATATATATATATATATATATATTAAAAAAACAGATAGCGAAGACTCTGTGTTAGATATTAAACCACTTGGAAATAAACTGGGGCGGGAGGAAGGATGGGGATGGAATCTCTAATTCTGGTAAAAGCCCTTGTGAAACTAAATTGTTACAAAGATCAATCCTCAGTTTAATTCCAACTTTTCCCATTTGTGTACATACTTTACGTTTACAACAGAATCTTAAATAAGCTGTACCCCTCAAATCAATGTTGACCCAATTATGTTGAAAAAAAATCCCCATCCGGAACACCAAATCATTTGTTTGCTAACCATTTCCAATACTTCAAAAGTTGTACATTTTCGGTGTGTTTATGGTGCTTCCTGATATATTGGTATGCCATCATTTTTTCCAGCTAAAGTAGTGTTGGGAAAGAATGATTTTAATGGTTTAATTGAGAAGTCGTTAACACTCGAAAGACTAATGAATCAACCAAATTTAGCTACACAGGAACTAGTATACTCCATGACTGAAAAAGTTCTTGAGAAACAGAAACTTTGTCCATCAGCTATGCTTGGGCGAGTTTTATTTTGTAAGTATCACTTCAACACAACTGTAATATTATGGATTATCTCTACTTTGGATCACATTGCTTTAGACCCCATTTTCACCAGTATGAATGGAATGAAATCAGACTCGAATCAGACTTGACTTTGTTTGTTGACCATTTGATCGATCAGTGTTTTCAATGGCAGATTTTGTTCCACGTAGTGGTTTCACTCAATCACCGTTATTTGATAGCAGCGATAAAGACAAATAAGAATACATTAAAATCTCACTTAAAATGATATTTAAACAAACTGAATACAGACTGTATATATAAAGGGAAGGCCAAATCTTTAAAACAGATTATTCCATTTAAATGGGAACATTCAAAACAAAAACAGTGCAGAACAGTTGAATGTTAAACCCCATTATTTCATTTCAAAACAGAAAGTTTGGATGATCTGTTATTTTCGATTAATGTTGGGATAAGTTCTATCAATTAGGAAGAGGTAGATTGGTTTACTAAAACTTTTTAAATGTGGCTTAGACTTTGCGAAAGAAATGGACACACAAATTTGATGGCATTCACCTTAATTTCATTCATATTCTAGAGGAAATGTCCATATATTCCATAGATAATTTGGTCATCTGTTCTGATCCCAAGGCTTGTATTTATATACACCCACATTATATATATGATTGAGTTGATATACGTTAAAGATTGAGTGTTTTAAATTTCAGATGCATTAGCTCGTTCTTTTGATAGTTATGAAACTAAAATATCCAAAAGTTTAAATAACTTACTGCAGAAAACAGCAAAGGGGAAATATGCAAAGAGAGTTATTACATTGATTGATCAAATAAACCAGTGGTCAGTTGTTGAGCTGTTGACCGAAGTCAGATCTGCCGACTATTTGAGTAGGTTTTAACTAAATCATCATATTTTAGCGATCTCTTAATAATTCAAACTGGATTGGCAATGACATTACATTATGCACGTAAAAAATATAACTTTTAACGTGATTGGCCAGTTAATTCTTAAGCCCAAAATTTGAATATCCGTAATAGTGACACGTTTTGAAAACTGCATGAGGTCATGTAAAATTAGAGTTCATAGTTCTTGACCCATTTCCACATTTTTCGGTCAGGCAATACATGCTAAAATTTAATGCAGATCTAAATAGACAAAACGTATGGATTACCAAATAGGTAATAGATTCAAATATAAATTCTTGCAATACATCCATGCCACTAAATATTACATAACGTTTGGCTGAATTTATATGAAATGCAAGTTTTATGATTAACGTTTGGTATACCTATGAGAAATCCATAGAAAACTATTGAAGCAGGCACTTTACTGCCCGACGTGTTTTGAAAATTATTAATTGATTTTTTTCAGTCTTCAAAATAACTTTTTATGAAAGTCAAATATGCAAAGTTATGCAAATATTACTTGTAGACATTATAATTACCAGCTCATTTCGGCTAAAGGGTAAATTATCCTTCATCTTCTGTAGACGAACAGTTAAATATGCACATGTATAGAGAGAACCATTTATTAAAAAGTGTAGCCCCAAATCCCCTCGTAGTTATAAAATTATAAAATTGCAAGCTAGGTAGGCCTAAAACATGGGAAGGGAAAATAAGGGAGGGATTTAACTGTTTGTCTACGAAGAGGATTCAGATAATTCTGATTATCCTTCAGGTTATACCTTAGTCTAATTAAGAATTATCCTTCATCCTCTTCTGTAGACGACCAGTTAAATATGCAGATTTCAAAGAAAATTGTGTTTAATTTACTAACTCTGCACGTGTCTGATTTTTCAGTCTTTTTCCGGTGCTGTAGTTTTATTACAGAGAGAAGCTAATATGGTTTCAGTCAATACCCCTCGTACTGCAACTAATAGTATTAGTAATAATGCAGTGGCTGAAACTTGTATGAGCACAAAAGTTAAGGGTCATCATTATCAGCCTGTGACATTGTCATCTCCGACAGCATTGCCGACTTCAGACAAGCTACCATTTGCCAACAGCAAAACATTCCGGACAGTGAAGTTTATGTTTTGGATGACAAGTGTGATGCTGAACAACAAATGTTCTTTACTTTGACCGAAGACCAGCATTTCAAGGCCTATTGTAATTCAGAGACAGATAGTCTTGGACGTTCAGAGCATCCATTTTTTAGGTTCGCCTATTCCATGGCTTTATTCTAGCAAACCAACTAGTACCGTCACTTCCACCTCCATGGAAACGAGGCCCAAGATGGCAGCCCACAGTGTTGTCGGAAGAAACCATTTTTTCTCTTCATTCGGCATTGGGAATAGGACAAATTATTAATTCCATTCAAGAAATCAAATCGGCTCTTGGTAAACGGATTGGAAACAATAGTTTTATTGATGATTCAGCACCTAAGGACAAGTCAAGAAAACTTAACTCCGGAAAACGATGGTTTTTACGATGATGTCCACAACGTCAATGGTGGTTCTTGTGATTATGACGATGAACACAATGGTGTTGATACTCGTGACAAGGAGGATATCGAATCTCCAGATCTAGATATTCAGAAAAATAACAGATTCTCTGAGGCTATTTAAAAGACTAAAACCAGTAAACCAGTTTATGACATACTGGCCTCTATGCTTACTAGTGCAAGAAAATCCCAGACTGACCTAGTTGATTTCCTAAAATCTGTCAAAGATAAATACCTCTGACGGAATAATACTCTGTATGTCACTGTCCCGTCGATTACCAGTGGAGTTAATAAGAAAATGTCTATAGAGGGCAAAAAAAGAGACCACACTTTCCAACGCTCACAGGACTCCTTATGTTGTGGAATTTATGCAGTAGTGGATTTGGCAGTTCGTTTAAATTCCCTGAAGTTAGAAAACCCTATTAGTGAGGAGTTGGCCATCTTAACTATCATGGCAGAAGATGCAAGTTTTTTCTAACTGGATATTCATCCTTGTTATTATCTTTAGCCAGAAGAATCTCAAACATGTTTTCTAGAGCTAGGTAAGAAATCGCAAAATATCACTGAATTATTTAACAGTGATCTTACAAAGACCTGTAATGATATCCGAGACACCTCAAGTACCACTAACAGGAACATGAAAAGTTTTCCATCTTTTTTCCCCTTCTAATTCCTTTCGCAACAAATCAACAGGTTATCAGAGATCAACATTCTCTACACCAGCTTTGCCAGAGAACAAATTCCAAGTCAGATGGAAATCAACATCAAAACACTTCCAGTGGAACAAAAACAGGAACATGAAATAATAAATGCTGGGTCCCTACGAAACAATTAAACTTTTGGAGAAAACTGACATCCGACAAACAAGTTCTCAATTTAATTCAGGATTACCACACAGAATTTGACACAATTCCATGGCAGTAACAGCCAAGGGTCACCTCTGTACCAAAGAACTCAATAAAAGCAAATATTTTCCAATTAGAAGTAGAAGCCCTTTTGAAGAAAAGAGCAATCATACCTGTTCAGCCAATAACAGGGGAATATCTGTCAACCTTGTTCCCAAGAAAACTGGTGTACCGTACATCCAATTATAAACATGAAGCCACTGAATCAATATGTAATTTCAACACACTTCAAAATGGAGATTTTTCAGACTGTTTTGAGTTTAATTCAATAGGGAGATTACCTGACAAGCATAGATCTAAGAGATGCTTACTTCAGTATTCCAATATCTTTGGAAGATCGAAAATTCCTGCCTTTCCTGTGGAAAGATCAGCAATACGAATTCCAGGGGTGTAATTTATCTGGACGATTCCCTGTGGATGGTAAGGTCTTGTCAATCTTCCAACAGTCTAATTCAGGAGGCAACCACCATTTTTCAGAACGCAGGCTTTGTTATAAATGTAGAGAAATCTTCCCTGTACCAAAAACAGGAAATCATGTTCCTAGGTTTTCACATCAACACGATATCTATGATTATATCCCTACCTCATGACAAAGAAACAATGGTTCTAACGGAGATTCACAACCTACTGAGCTGTACAAGTCCAACAATAAAACAAGTTGCAAGAGTAAGAGGATTGTTGGTGTCAAAATTTTTCGTCAATCTACAAGAGACAAATCTAGGGCACTTTTATAGAAAATCTCTTATCGGGCCACCATGTTTCTATCAGCCCTAGCAGTTTTGGAATTAAGTTGCACTCTGAATCTCTCTAGTGAATGTCAATCCAATACATTTTCCAGAGCCAACAATCATCTTGACAACGGATGCATAAAAGAAGGGATGGGGACCAGAGATGAACCAAACACGGGTATCAGGGTGATGGACAATAGAAGAGAACAAGTCTCACATAAACCTATTAGAACTGAAAGCAGTTCACTTTGCATTGGTAACCCTTGCACCTTCGATTTTCAATCTTCACATACAAGTACAGATCGACAAGTGGACAGTTGCCTACATCAATCACATAGGCTGGACGCATTCTGTAGAACTAGATTTACTGGCCAGAGAAATATAGATTTGGGCTTTATACAGGAAAATCCATCTGTCAGCTGTTCACATACCAGGATTGGACAACATCCATGCAGATTTTCTGAGCAGACATACTTTGGATCTGACTTGCAGTCAAATCACAATGTCTTTATTCAGGTAACAAGGATGACATTTCAACCCAAGATAGACCTTTTTGCCAGCAGACTGAACTTTTAGGTGTCAGTGTACATCTCCTGGCAACTGAATCCAATGGCCTGGGGAACAGATGTATCCTCAATACCTTGGAAACTGATGAAAGTCTATGCCTTTCCCCCCTTCAATCTAACCCTAGTTGTATTAAACACGATATGTCTGGAAAATCCAAAAGTGCTTGGAAACTGAAAGTCTATGCCTTTCCCCCCTTCAATCTAATCCTAGGTGTATTAAACACGGTACGTCTGGAAAATCCAAAAGTGCTGTTGATAACTCCATACTGGACAGCTCAACCATGGTACCACCAAGCTCTAGAACTGTCGTGATAATAAAGGATTTTCGGAACAAGCTAAACACTTAATGTGGAACGCCTGGCGAACAAAGACCAGTAAACAGTATGAATCAGCTTGGAAAGCTGGGTATGCTGGAATAGTAGTTCAAGTCACTGAATTTCTAACCTCATCAGTTTCATGAAGAGAACAAATCCTATAGTGCTCTTAATTCATACTGTTCAGCATTATCATAAGTGCTTCAACCAATTGATGGTTTTCCAGTTGGTAAAAATCCACCTGTTATCCAGTTTAAGAAAAATGTGTTCAATGTCAAGCCAGCTGTGTCTAGATATTGTGTGACATGGGATGTGTCTATTGTGTTAAACTATATCAAAACCTTACCATGTGATTCTAAGCTGACTTTAAGCGAGTCTTCTGCTGATAGAGGTCAATCCATAACGTTACTAGAACTAGAATATTATCAGGGATAAGCAATTTGATTGGTTGGTGCTTTGGGACACGATAACTTTAGTTCTAATTAAGTGAGAGTGATGAAACTTGGTGTATAGTTTCATTACATCAATACCGAGACTAAGTTCGATAATGAACATTTTCTGCTGAGGGTAAGCAGAGCAATAAGCAATTTGATTGGTCTAGACTTTGAAACACAATAACTCTCCTAATTGAGGTGGAATGTTCAGACTTGGTGTAGGCGTTCATTAGGTGAATGCCTTGATGAAGTTCGATGAACATTGTCTGCTTACGGTAAACCGAGATGAGCAATTTGATTGGTTGATGCTTTTGGGCACAATAACTTTGTTTATAATAAAGTGAGAGCTATGGAACTCTGAATATAGATTCATTATATCATTACCTTGACTAAGTTTGATGATGAGAATATTCTGCTTAGGCTAAGGAGCGATAAGGGGGATCACGTGGCTAAGTGGGTAAGACGCTAGCTCGCTAGTCTGGAGGTCGGGTGTTCGATCCCTGCATTGACCGAGAAAGTTCATCCAGATTTTCCGGCGTGGTTCTCCCTTGTCAGTGATGCAGGACGGAGGGGCTGACAAGGAAAGCTGTCTAGTTGTTCGGATGGGACGAAAAACCGAGGTCCCGTGTACACATTGGCGTGCACGTAAAAGATCCCTTGGCAGTTGTCCGGGCAAAATTTCCCTCATAGCACACTGTATGGCGTATGCCCATCTTCATTAGCCCAGGTTAGGAGCAGAACAGTAGGACGTTAAACTCCATTTCATTTCTAAGGAGCGATAAACAATTTGATTGGTCAAGACTTTGGAACATAACTCTGTTTTTAAAGATACATTAGTTAAGAGTTTTATAGAGAGTTGGCCGTTCTTGGTATAGTAATTCAAAAATAGATGATAAAAAAATGTTGAAAATTTCAGTCAATTTACTTTGTTCTGAACAGAATTGTCACTGTTAGAAGTTTGGACTAGAAATAGGCATCAATTGTCTTCACCGTCTATGAGAATTGGCGATTGTTTGACAAACGATAACTCCACCCACATATTCTCGGTTATCAAGTAACATGCTCAATGGCTATGGTAGCCTCGCTTGGCAGGCTTCTCATCACCAGTTTCCGGTTGTAACATCAGCGAGTAACGCTAAACGTTAGCTTGGTCCGCCATTTATTGATTTAATTTTAAATGGACGAGGCTGTTTATATCTAAACCGTATCCAAGCCATTCGTGGGTCTACAGAGTTGATTTTAAGCTTGTTGTATAAATAAACGTCTAATTAATAAATTTCTATAACATCTGAAGCCTAAATAAAGACTTGCAATAGGCAGATTTAGCTCTTGCATAATGTATGTTTAATTGAGGTAGAATGTTTAAACTTGATGTTGATTAGGTGAATGTCTTGACTGAGTTCAATTATAAACATTTCCCGCTAACGCTAGTTAAGCAGAGTCGAGCAATTTCATTGACATTAATTCTGTATGATAAAGAGTGTATAGTTGATAATCAGTTGGATTGCTCGATACTTTTGGAATAGATAAACGTGTATTTAATTAATGTGCCATCCATTTATTTCGGGATTTCCGCGGGGGACATCAGCCTCACTGCTATCAGCATATTTAACTGGTCGTCTACGAAGAGGATTCGGATAATTCCAATTATCCTTCAGGTTATACCCGAGTCTTATTAAGAATTATATTCTATAAGAATAAATTGTTATATATAACTTGTCATGGGTGATCATTATTTGACATAATATGAAGTTGGTCCATGCAGCAGTTCATAATATTATTTAGCTATTGTGATTACATTAATAAGGAAGTATCTTAAGAGCTTCAAAATATACATTGTATGTGTTTGAAAAGTTGATTGAAATTAAATTTGTGATGTGAATTGTTGAAAGATACAAAACCTTTTTTATTTAAATAGGAATAAAACAAACCATGCAGAGACTGTATTATGGTTTGCTTCGTGAATTGAAAAAAGCAGATCCATCAGTTGAGTCGGTAAAAAAGGTGATATTTCATAAAAAGAATAAATGGTCATGGAAGTGTAGCAGTGATGTATCGGTCAGACAACAACTTATCCGCACCAAAAAAAAACTATCGTATTTGTAAGTTTTTATACTCCCACATTTTCATGTTGATGTATATTGTTGTCGCTCCTGTCCGTCCGTCCAAAATTTGTTTGTGGACACTCTACAGGTCACAATTTCTATCTGATTTCGATGAAACTTGAAATATAGGTCTATCTCCCAAAGATCTCGGTTCCTTTCGATATTGGCATGTATCGAACCATAACTTCATGGATTATGGCCCCTGATTGTATGAAAAATCACGTTTTTAGCTTGTTGACACTCTAGAGGTCACAATTTTGATCCGATTTTAATGAAACTTGAAATGCGTGTTCATAACTCAAAGATCTTGATTCCTTTCGATATTCGCGCATATCGGGTCATAACATCCTGAATTATGGCCCCTGATTGTACGAAAAATTGCGTTTTTAGCTTGTCCCTCTAGAGGTCACGATTTTTATCCGATTTAAAAAAAACAAAAAAAAAAACGTTTTAGTATATCACTGTTACACCCCTAATAAAGGTCGAGTTCAAATTTCGAGAAAATCGGACCAAAACTGCCGGACAAAATGGTCGTCCCTTGTACGCACATAGTGTAAAATATGGTATATCAAGGTTGTGGACCCTCTAGAGGTCAGTGATCATCCGATTTTGGTGAAACTTAGAATGCATGTTTATATCCCAAAGATCTTGGTTCCTTTCGATATTCAGGCATATCGGATCGTAACTTCCTGAATTATGGCCCCTGATTGTACGAAAAATCACGTTTTAGCTTGTGATCCCTCTAAAGGTCACAATTTTTATCCGATTTAAAAAAACATTTTAGTATATCACCGATGCACCCTTATGATGCTGGAGTTGTACACAAATAGTGTGAACATCTGGTATATCAAGGTTGAGGTCACAATTTTGATCCGATTTTGATGAAACTTGAAATGCTGTGTAAGAAAACCAGAAGACCCAGAGAAAATCCACGAGATTGGACATGCGACCTTATTCCTTGTCACGTACAACCGGGGAATCGAAATTAAGTTTTGAAAGAACTTTATGAGATTATTGCATTGATTTTATTTTCATCAATCACAGCCTAATGTTCATTGGTGGTTTAATTTCAATATACTGTATTCAAATCCTGTTCAAAGAATTTTATGTAGAATTTGAAATAAATGTAGAAGACCTTGTTAACAAGATAAATGCTACAGTTTTTAACATATTTTTAAGTTTTGTGTTAAGTATTGTGATTATGAGGGGACAAGCTGCATTAATATGCAGTGTTTTACAACCTTCAGTACCAGAGTTCTGCCCATTTTGCTATAAACCTTGTGAATGCGATGGAGGCTATAGATTCCTTTCAAATGTGGTGGTACATTCCGGTCAAGAGGACCAACGCTATCAATATTCAGTGTTCTTCCATTCCAGCGTTATCCCCCATTGCCAAAAACTTTCCCTTTACATTTAGTATGAAGCACTGTCATGAGGACAAACCCTATCAATATTTAGCATTCTGTAACTTCTAGTTCGAGTGCTGTCGACACATTGCTGCTGTGTTTTATTTCCAAGCTTTGCATGACTATCTTTTATTTTTAAGTTTGCAAACTGTTTATACTGATTGCTATATTTATTTTGAACTCATTTTACTTGTAAAATATTTTTGTCACAGCATTATCATATTTTGCTTTGTATTTTATCTAATTTAAAAAGGATATCGAGTATGGCTCCTGCGATTCGTTACCATCTTCAGACATTGAAAGTTACAGCATCTGTTAAGAGAAGGATAGCTAGATCTGTTCAATCTTTGACTACTGGCTTTTTAAGAAATGTAGATAAATTATTTAAGGCATTATTGAACCGCGATGGGAATTATTTACAGAAAAACAAAATACTGAGTAAGTACTTTGGGAATTTTTAAGCTTGTGGACACTCTAGAGGTCACAATTTTGATCCGATTTTAATGAAACTTGAAATGCATGGTTATAACCCAATAGATCTTGGTTTCTGTCGATATTAGCGCATATTGGATTGTAACATCCTGAATTATGGCCCCTGATTGTTGACAAAATGGCCGCCCCTCGTATGCAAATAGTGTAAACATATGTATATCAAGGTTGTGGACCCTCAAGAGGCCACAATTTTTGTCCAAATTTTAAAGAAACTTTAAGTTTATGTTTATATCACAAAGATCTTTGATCCTTCCGATAATTGCGCATATCCGAAAGTAACTTCCTGGATTATGGCCCCTGATTGTTTGAAAAATCGCATTTTTATCTCATGGCTATGGTAAATCAAGATTGTGAACCCTCAAGAGGCCATAATTTTTATCCAATTTTAATGAAACTTAAAATTTATGTTTATATCAGAAAGATCTTGGATCCTTCCGATAATCCTGGATTATGGCCCCTGATTGTTTGAAAAATTGCATTTTTATCTCGTGGAAGTCACAATTTGTATTCAATTTTAAAAATTGTTTAAATATACTATTCAAAAAAAGTAGGGGATATTTGATTTTGGGGGCATAATACTAAAATATGCAAATGACTACGAAAAAAGTCACTATAGAACCTAACAGAAGAAACATTTCCAGTTACATGTGACGCCCAAACGCACCAATAGCTACCGCATGGAATGCAGGTGATGCTTGGGATCATCATGGGGGTCCAACCCAAGATTTGCACGACTCTGACTTTGAATGTTACAGTCATTGTGGCATTGAATTCCAGGGTGGAAACATCAGTTTAATTGTTTTAGTGACCAGAAAACAAATTTTGATATGCGTCGGCTTACCCAAAATGAAAGGTTACGTGCCCTTGGCATGCTACAGATCGGCACAACACAGGCGGTTGTGGCGCGGACGATGAATGTTTCTCAGTCTGTCATAAGCAGGCTATGGTCCAGATACCGTGATACACAATCTGTACAGGACAGACCACGCTCAGGTCGACCAAGGGCGACAACTCAAGCCCAGGATCGATTTATCCGTACCTTGGCCTTGAGAAATCGTGTCATCACAGCAAATCAGATCAGCGCTCGTCTTCAAACAGACACTGGTGTGAGAGTGAGTGGCCAGACGATTCGGAATCGACTGCATAGGGGTCACCTTCGCGCCCGACGTCCTCGCGTGATCCCTTGTTTGAGAGATCATCACATTCAGGCAAGACGTCGTTGGTGTAGGTATCGTCAACACTGGGATAATCGACGCTGGAGCAATGTGATGTTTTCAGATGAGTCAAGGTTCACTGTTGATTTTTTGGACAGACGTAGGAGGGTGTGGCGTCGTCGAAACGAGCGCTTCCAAGACGTTAACGTCATCAGACATGATCGATTTGGGGGTGGTTCTGTTATGGTGTGTGGAGGCATCACTGTTGCTGGAAGAACGGCTTTACATGTTGTTGCAGGGCGTGTTACAGGCCAGTACTACCGGGACAACATCTTGGCAGTCCATGTCGTGCCGTTCGCACGACGTCATGGCCGCCGTTTCATCTTCCAGGATGACAACGCAAGATGTCACAGGGCCAGGATCGTTACAGGTTACCTCCAACAACAGAACATCACCACATTACCTTGGCCAGCACTGAGTCCCGACCTCTCCCCCATCGAGCATGTCTGGGACATGCTTGGACAGAGGTTACGTCAACGTCAACAACGTCCTGCCAATGTCCAAGAACTTGCTGCTGCGTTGCAACAGGAATGGGACAATCTGGACCAAAATGACCTTAGACGTCTCATTAGGAGTATGCCACGTCGGATCAATGCTTGTTTGGCAAACAGAGGAGGATTTACCCGTTACTGACTTGGTTGTGATGCTGTGGTAACTTTGCTGTTTGACCCCGGGTATCATTTTACCCTTATAATGGTCAGTCTGTGCCTTACTTAGTCTAACGATCATTTGGAATAAATCGATGAATGTGAACTTCATTTCATTTTGTCATTTGTTTCTTCGTCAGTTTCATTAGGTGACTTTAATAACACTTAAAAATCAAATATCCCCTACTTTTTTTGAATAGTATATATCGCTGTTACACATCAAACTGCCTGACAAAATGGCTGTTCCTTGTATGCAAATAGTGTAAAAGTATGTAATACCAAGGTTGTGGACCTTGTAGAAGTTCACAATGTGTATCCTATTTTGATGAAACTTGAAATGTATGATTATAATCCAAAGATCTTGGCTCTTGTCGATATTTGCGCGTATCAGACCGTAACTTCCTATGGCCCCTGATTGTGAACCCTAGAAGTCACTATTTTGATTAGATTTTGATGAAACTTGAAATATATCTTTTATATCCCAAATGTCTAGGTCCATTTCGATACTTGCTCATTTCAGATCATAACTACCTGGATTATGGCCCCTGATTGTAGGAAAAATTGCTTTTTTAGCTTTTCTATCCATCTCTTGCAAAATGTAGGCGTAGCGCTGCCTGGAAGCCATTGGTTTTTATACGCCCACATTTTCATGTGGACGTATATTGTCGTCATCCCCGTCCACAATTGTTTGTGGACACTCTACAGGTCACATAATTCTTATCCAATTTTGACAAAACTTCAAATATAGGTTTATCTCCAAAAGATCTTGGTTGCTTTCAATATTGGCATGTATCGGATCGAAACTTCATGGATTATGGCCCCTGAACGAAAAATCATGTTTTTAGCTTGTGGACCCTATAGAGGACACAATTTTAAAAATCTTGGTTCCTTTCAATATTCGTGCATATCGGATTGTAACTTCCTGAATCATGTGCCCTGATTGTACCAAAAGTCGGGTTTTAAGCTTGTGGTCCCTCTAGAGGTCACAATTATGACTGTTACACCGTAGTGTTGGTCAAGTTCGAATTTTGTGAAAATCGGACGGAAACTGCCAAACAAAAAGAGGTCACAATTTTTATCCGATTTAAAAAAAAAAAGTTTTAGTATATCACTGTTACACCCTAATGTTAGCTTGTGGTTCCTCTAGAGGTCACAAATTTTATCTGATTTAAAAAGAAAAAAGTTTTAGTATATCACCTTTACACCCTAATGTTAGCTTGTGGTTCCTCTAGAGGTCACAATTTTTATCTGATTTAAAAAAAAAACCATTTTAGTATATCACCGTTACACTCCAAATGATGGAGTCCGAATGAAAATCGGACCAAAACTGCCAGACAAAATGGCCACCCCTCAAACGCAAATAGTGTTAATATATGGTATATCAAGTGACAATTTTGATCCGATTTTGATGAAACTTGAAATATCTTTATAACCCAAAGATCTTGGTTCCTGACGATATTTGCGCATAATGGATCGTAACTTCCTGAATTATGGCCCTTGATTGTTCGAAAAATCGCTTTTTGTTTAGCTTGTTCTCTATCCATCTCTTGCAAAATGTGGGCGTATCCTGCCTGGCAGCAGCTGGTTTAAATATGCAGGGTGATGGAATTGCATATACAGTGGACTCTGTCACATCCGATCTCTGATCACTCCGGATTGCTGTGACATCCGGTATGATTTTCATGTCCTGAATTTTGTCCTTTTTACTTCAGCCAAAAAATCGCTGGTAAATCCGAATTCTGTATGTTCCGGATTCCGAAATCAATCAGCCGTCCCGTCACATAATTTCCACTGAATCGACACCGTATAATCCGTACTTCAAACGGTGGGTGTGAAGCATCCAATTATCGGTGAGATTAAAACTCAATGGGTGTGAAGCCATAAAAGATTAACGAATAATCACCAATCAATTATCGGTGAGATTAAAACTGTGTTGATTACTTTGATCGGTAAAGCAGTGAGCCCGAGTTGTTTTAAGGGAGTGGACAAGATCTACCTGCCAGTCAATTGGTCGGCCAATCGCAAAGCTTGGATGACAGGTGCCGTTTACTTTGATTGGCTTGAAAAACTGGACATAGAACGACAGATTATAAATGACAATTGACTGAAGACGGGGACGATGAAGAATATCAATCTGTTTCACAGAGAATTACGAGTCTCGTATAATATCTCTGTCATAGATGACTGCCTTAACACGTGCTGTCACAGCACGCGGTGTGAATCATTGGCTGAATGGCGCGTGCAGAGAGAATGCTGCATTTTAGTCATTTTAATACCCATTTACACTAAATCGGAAATAATTTTTAACTACAAATACGTCAAACGCCTATATTTATTTTTCCAATATATACAAAAAATGTTTTAGAATTTAATTTGTCGCAGGAAAAAAGTTAATATTTCTAGTTCATTAAGCCGCATCAATGTCATCCTTATCAGTGATTGTCGCAGCCAAGCAAATATTCACTGCGGATCAGTGTGGCATTGTTTACATAAGACATAACTGCTTCGGAGAGAATGCTGCATTTTAGTCATTTTAATACCCATTTACACTAAATCGGAAATAATTTTTAACTACAAATACGTCAAACGCCTTTATTTATTTTTCCAATATATACAAAAAATGTTTTAGAATTTAATTTGTCGCAGGAAAAAAGTTAATATTTCTAGCTCATTAAGCCGCATCAATGTCATCCTTATCAGTGATTGTCGCGGCCAAGCAAATATTCACTGACGATCAGTGTGGAAGAATATACATTAACGACAGACTTGACCTATTCAAAATTCCTACGCATGCTCAACGACATTAAACACTTCGCACAGATTAAGGACGAAAAGATGATCGCAACAATTCATTTGTTTATTGTTAGAAGATGTTGCCCAGGACTCCGCCTTACGATATGCTTCCGGTAATGTTAACCAAGCAAACTACTTTAAACGATTACATGCATTGATATTTATAAATATATTGTACGCATGCATTGATATTACATGTAAACGATTTATGAATATATTGTACGCATGCATTGTTATTGTTAATTATTTAATATAATAAAATTTTGAAAGTACAGAAAAGTTTATCATTTATAAAGGGAATAGCATTCTGGTGATTCGAAGCTACAATATATAAATACTTCCGGTTTTCGAAGTTACAGTATTTCCGGTTTTGGAGAAAACTCAGTATTCCGAAACGCTGTGTGATCCGAATTATTGTAACGATCCCGCATGATGTCGGATGTGACAGAGTCCACTGTAATTGAATTGCATACGAGAGAGGTTTTACATAGGCTAAGCCTGTTCCCCAATCCCATTCAGACATCGTGAATAAAAATATTGTTTAAAAAAAAAAAAAAAAAATGCATATAGAACTGAGGAATTTATTTTTCAGCCAAAAGTCAATTTGAGAACTATGAAAAGATTCTTGCTGCAATTGGTGGAAAACTGTTGCCAGGTTTCGGTAAGACCTGTTTCGCATGCTATCTTTTAATATAGAGCGAAGCTCTAAAGCACCGCCAAAGCCCAGTGCCAGTACTGTTTTGCTGACAATTGTCCCCGGTATTTAACTTTAATATAGAGCGAAGCTCTAAAGCACCGCGCAAAGCTCGGTGCTTGAGCGAAGCTCTTTTCCGGTAACACAGGAGCGTAATTGAAAATGTCACCCACACAGACTGTTGATTAAGAAAAAATTCAGACCGGAACCGGATACACTGGGCAAAACAGGCAATGCGCATGTCAACTTACCAAATCTCGACCAAACGAGATCACGTAACTAACAAAAATAATTCTACACACCAAATCTCGCCTCATAGAACTATTTCTATGACGCGTCTAATCACTGACGTCACATATTTTTTACGTCAATGAAAATAATTTTCACACTTTTTTGTTGTTTTTTTAAAAACAAAATTAATGTTAAAATGTATCACTTGAGAAAATTAATTATGAAGGTTTTATATTTGACAATAATCAGCTTCGCTCTACTCAGGTAATGCCTGAATGAATACAGTAAACAATAGTGCTTGGTATGTAAGCGTAAGCCGCTCGATGTGACAGCCAAAGCCCAGTGCCAGTACTGTTTTGCTGACAATTGTCCCCGGTATTTAACTTTAATATAGAGCGAAGCTCTTTTCCAGTAACACAGGAGCGTAATTGAAAATGTCACCCACAGACTGTTGATTAAAAAAAAATTCAGACCGGAACCGGATACACTGGGCAAAACAGGCAATGCGCATGTCAACTTACCAAATCTCAACCAAACGAGATCACGTAACCATATCTATGACGTAACTAACAAAAATAATTCTACACACCAAATCTCGCCCAAGCGAGATTACGCGCCTCATCGAACTATTTCTATGACGCGTCTAATCAATGACGTCACATATTTTTTAAGTCAATGAAAATAATTCTCACACTTTTTTGTTCTTTTTTTTTTTAAAAACAAAATTAATGTATAAAATTTAGATCTAAATAAAAATCAATTTTGAAAAACTAAATTATTTAACATTTTTTATATCACTTGAGAAAATTAATTATGAAGGTTTTATTTGACAATAATCAGCTTCGCTCTACTCAGGCAATGCCTGTTACATATTATAGAGCGAAGCTCTAAAGCACCGCTCTTTTCCGGTAACACAGGAGCATAATTGAAAATGTCACCCACAGACTGTTGATTAAAAAAAAATTCAGCCGGAACCGGATACACTGGCCAAAACAGGCAATGCGCATGTCAACTTACCAAATCTCGCCCAAGCGAGATCACGTAACTGGACACAGATCACCAAATATTCCTACGCCGTCACCCACGAAACAAGGGCCAAAGCTATTTTTAGTCTTCCTCTCCCTTTTCCTTTTTCCCCCTTTTGCATGGCGATTTTTGTTGACTTTTTGGTGTAGAATTGAGGAAAAGGGTTTGAAAATACATTTTCTGCCAGGTTTTGGTGAATATTGATAATTTTGATGCGGAAGGATACAAGAGTTGAGAGGTTGGTTACGTTGAAATGTAGGGCCTGAAATTGCATGTTTACTTGTCTCTACTTCCAGCTTGTGTATCTCAAGTTTTTCATGAAGAACCTCATACGTGCTTTTGGGCAAGTGGTTGCCACATGTTGCTCCATCTGTGGTAGAAAGCGTTCTACCCAACGAAAATTTGGGAAAAAGTTAGAGCCGGTCTAAGATACGAGAATTAACATTGGAGTCAATGGGGAAATCTTTAGTGATCTGTGTCCTGTCTGTGTGTGATAAGGCTGTCACTGATATGCCTTAGTTTTGAAAATATGAAGATTAAATTCTCAGAAAATATGAATAAAATAGTTTGGCTACAGAAAAACTAAAAAAAGTTAATTAAAAAAAAAAAAATCAAAGTTTTGAAGAAAAATTGTGATTTTACTGCAAATTTCTCAATTTTCAATTTTTATTGAATTTTTAACAGTAAGTAAAATATTCTAATGCCCAATGTTGGCTTATTCAGTCTCAGAAAGCACAGATAAAGTGAACAGTATTGAAATTTCACCAAATTTTGTCTAAAAATCAGGAATATTCACAAAAAATCTTGAGATTCCCCCCATTTGGATGTAGAAATTAATATTTTCATGACTACTAAAATGAGTCAAAATGTCTAAAAATGCCCATATTTTCTTTGCTAATATAACTTAGATGGGATCTACATGTTTGTCAGGTTTAGAAATAGCTCCAGCTTTCCTACAGAAAATTTAAAATTGGTAACACTGAGTTAATAATGTACAGCAGATGGGTTTGTACAAAATGTTCAAAACAGGGGTTGGCTCAATTTTGCCACTATTTTACCCAGAATAAGCATTTTTTCCTCCTTTGAAACATTAAATTCTTGCATTTCCTTCATGTAGGAAGCAATATCCCAGCCTTTCTAGACATTTTTTACTCCATCATTCTGTTTAGAGAGGCAATAAATGCCCCACCCCACCCTTTTCTATTAATGTGTTTTGAGGGATTTAAATGCACCTGTATTGACATGAAAATGATCTTTATTGGAATTTGTGGTTGAATTACAGCTAAGAATGTTATTTTTCACCCAAAAATATTTTTTTTGTGCATTTCAAGGATTTCTAACCCTTATTTGTTCAGAGTCAAACGTAGAACCCTGAGGCATTTCAGGCCAATGAGACCAGACCCAGATATAAAACTGGTGTAGATGTGTAAATGTCAGTTTAATGTTCAATATTTTCTTATCAAAATCCAGCATTTGTGGTGTTTGCTGCATTTATGTTGCCTATAAAACAATAAAATGTTAATTTTTCTCCTTTTCAGGCCTCTTTTTATGTTGTCAAGTCTGTCATGACTACTTTTTTGACTTCATTTTTTCAGGAAATTAATGTAAAGTTCCAGACATCTTGCTTCAGCACAAGGATTGCAATACAAATTTGTAACATGCCTCTGAGGTTTGAGATGTTGGAAACATTGAAATATTCCCAAATTTGTGAAAATTGTGTATTCTGTGACCCTTCTGTTAGAGAGGGGTGATCATAGACCAAATATGGCATTTTTTTCATTCATCAAGGCCTATTATTTTTAACCATAATTCATATTTATTGCACCTATTTTAGTTTATATGTGCATATGTTAGCCAGGGATGGTAAAACATAGCTGATAGACAGATTCCTTTGGTAATGTAAGTTCTGCAACCATAGATTAGATTAATTCAATCAGTGGCATGTTCAGGGGGTAGGCATACATGTTTCAGTATAGATCTCTAATATTACAATCATTGCAACTGGTTTGCATTTTTTCTGTTTGCATATTGTCCACAGATTCTAAAAATATATTTCTTGTCCGTCCGGATATTTAAAAGAGTGGAAAATTATTGGTATTTTGAGATGCTACATGTAAATTTTGTACATTTTTCATCACATGGCAGTAAAAAATTATATTTTTGAAAAAAATTCCAAATTATGAGTGTTTTCTATGTAGTTTCTTTGTAACTTGTCTAATTTTTTCACAGAACTCAGATACTGCCTTTAATAAGAAAGATTTTTAAATTTTAGCACAAAAGGCCTATGGACCTGAGATGCACCAGTGTACATAAAGCAGCATGTGTACTTAAAGGGCCATCATTTTTACAGTTATTCTTTGATTTTGATTTTCTTTCACCGGCATGTTGCCAGAACACATGGGAAGGAAATAAAGGCCTTTTGGTGATACCTGAAGTTTCACCCCTATATAGGACACAGATCACCAAATATTCCTACGCCGTCACCCACGAAACAAGGGCCAAAGCTATTTTTAGTCTTCCTCTCCCTTTTCCTTTTTCCCCCTTTTGCATGGCGATTTTTGTTGACTTTTTGGTGTAGAATTGAGGAAAAGGGTTTGAAAATACATTTTCTGCCAGGTTTTGGTGAATATTGATAATTTTGATGCGGAAGGATACAAGAGTTGAGAGGTTGGTTACGTTGAAATGTAGGGCCTGAAATTGCATGTTTACTTGTCTCTACTTCCAGCTTGTGTATCTCAAGTTTTTCATGAAGAACCTCATACGTGCTTTTGGGCAAGTGGTTGCCACATGTTGCTCCATCTGTGGTAGAAAGCGTTCTACCCAACGAAAATTTGGGAAAAAGTTAGAGCCGGTCTAAGATACGAGAATTAACATTGGAGTCAATGGGGAAATCTTTAGTGATCTGTGTCCAACTAACAAAAATAATTCTATCCACCAAATCTCGCCTAAGCGAGATTACGCGCCTCATAGAACTATTTCTATGACGCGTCTAATCAATGACGTCACATATTTTGTACGTCAATGAAAATAATTCTCACACTTTTTTGTTCTTTTTTTTAAAAACAAAATTAATGTATAAAATTTAGATCTCAATAAAAACTAAATTATTTAATATTTTTTGTATCACTTGAGAAAATTAATTATGAATGAAGGTTTTATATTTAACAATAATCAGCTTCGCTCTACTCAGGCAATGCCTGTTACATATTACCTGGTGCCAATACCATATAAATGGCAATACATTTGTTCAAATCAACACTCTACCATATTTATTAACTGACAGGTTTTAGGTTTTAACCATAACACCACAAAATATGATTTTGTTCGATTGGGGATGTAATTCAAGATTTTTTCCTGTGAGGATATTAAATTGTTGACCAGTTATATATCCACATCTAATATATTTCTCAATGAGAGCAATAGTGGCTCAGTCAATAAGGCACTGGCTTACTAACTGGTGTTGGCTGAGAAAGTTCTTCTAGATTTTCCAGTGTGGCTTCCCCTTGTTAGTATGGACGGGAGCGAGTGGCAAAGGACAGTTGGAATATGATAAATAGTAGGCAAAAACTAAAAAATTAACCTTATAGCATTAGTGGTGTAGAAAAGGTGCTAAACTCCAAGATTTCATATACTCGACATTATACATGGATGCTTGAAATAAGATAAAGAGGAACTCTTGTGTTCCATGTTTTAATGCTTCTTTTTACATTTTGCTTTAACATGGTATCGGAAGGGTCTGCTTGAATGCAGTGGTTGGGATCTAGCAACTGGAGGTGCAACAATCATTACCCTCTGTAAAAGGGTGTCCTTAAAATGTAGAGCCCTAACTGTGACCTTGTAGGATTAGCATGAGTGGCAATTCAGTTTAAATTTCCTGTCCATTTGTATTATGATATGTAGAAGTAGTTAGAAGATTCCTTTAGAAGTAGATAATATACATAAAATAAAGTAAATGTGTCCATTCTAGATAATTATTTTATTGCTGACATGTTTCATACAAAATTTTACCCCAAATCTGTTTTAGCTGTACCAGTAACGAGGGATGAACTTCAGCTGCTCATGAGGTACGTTAAAGTCTTTATCCAAGTCGTTATGATAATGTATAACATGACTACATACAGTGGCAGATCTACAGGGTTGGGGTGCCTTCACATCTGAGGTGGAGGGGGGCATGATTGAACTGTATGTGGCCTTTATCTGTTAGAATGGAAAGCCAAGGTCCACTGTGTGTATGTATATGACAAACACATAAAATAAAAACCATGACAAGCAGAGTGGGCGTAATTGTCACTGTCCAGGCAAAATTCTCCCTAGCACTGCATAGGAAAGAACAAGTGTTAATTTCTAAATGACCATGTGTTACAGAGATATTAAACTTCCTTCCATTCACTTATATCAATTTATTGCAGATTACAACAGTCATTAATAACCAAGAAGCCTTTAAACCAGAAAGAAGCGATGGAACTAGTCAGGGTGAGATGTAAACAGTTACAATATGTCTACATACAACTCACTTCTGTTGAAGTTAACAAATTCTTCAAAAATTGTAAAGTGTTAAATACTAAATAGCTAATAAAGTTTAGTATTACAACCGCTGTCTGTCATCATTTAACTGTACTATAAAGCCTATGTTTGTCCTGGCTGAAGTTTATTGTGTTAAAAGGAAAGCTAAAACTACTGGAGTGTTTCGCAAAATGCAGAGTGAGAAATAAATAGCCCTGTAGGCTAAGGACAAGTCTGAAAAAATTATTAAGAAACAAATGATGAAATTGTTTTGTCCAATCCATCTATGGGATTTGGTTTCAGGACTAACCATACTTGTATTTAAAGGATCGGTTACTCATGTCACAGGATCATACATGTATGCGAATCAAAAATCTAAAAAAAAACAAACAAAACAATTTTACATGAAAGCTTCAACTCTTAGGGATAATGTAAATATGAAGAATTTTGGCTTATTTACACAAATGAGTGAAATGAGATTAATATGGCAAGTTTAATAAAGTTATCCAGGCACTAATGCAATTATTTTGGGGAACTCGTCACCAATCAAAATGTTTGTACTTCTAGAAAACTGACTGCAGACTTTCCGAGATTAAAAAATTCAGTAATAAACGCTTATTACCAATAGGTTTCTTCATCGGGAGCCAAATATGAACAGACCCTACAATTTGAAAACTGTTATGCATATATACTCTTAAAAAAAAAAAAAAAAAAAGTAGGGGATATGCAGAAACAATACAAAACTGCGGAAATGCACTGCTGTTTTTATTAGAGGTAACCAGTGTATGTTAATAACAGGCCAATTTCCTACACATGAACATAAACAGTTCATCTGGGCGGCTTATCTGACGGCCCCATTTCACTCGCAAAGAGATACACTGTCAAAAGTGAAAATGCAGGTTTTTGTTTTTTGTCTTAATAATGAGTAATTGCTCCACCAATCCTCAGACATTCAGCAATTCGTCGTGGCATGCTCCTAATCAACAGTCCAATCACGATTTGGGGCAATCTGACCCACTCCTCTTGTTGTGCCACGGCCAATTCTTGCAGTGTTGACGAACACGTCTCCCAATCAAATTAAATGTAACGCACTAAAGGAAAGATATGCTAAACAGTAAATCTTATTCAAGAAACGATAGGAAAGCAAACATGGATGGGATAAATCAGCAAGCGGCAGTTTTCATCAACCCTTCCTTGAAGTATCAAATTTGACAATGAACCCCTCCCATGTGTATGGCGCTGTTGCGTTGGTTGGGGCGATAAGTTCTTCATCTGTAAACATACTCTCAAAGCATGTCAAGTGATCATGACTATTGATCATATCACAACCTGCATAGGTATTTGCATTTCAATATCCCCTACTTTTTTATACGCCCACATTTTCATGTGGACGTATATTGTCGTCGCCCCTGTCCGTCCACAATTGTTTGTGAACAGTCTACAGGTCACAATTTTTATCAGATTTCAACGAAACTTGAAATATAGGTTTATCACCCTAAGATCTCGGTTCCTTTCGATATTGGCATGTATCAGACTTTAACTTCATGGATTATGGCCCCTGATTGTAAGAAAAATCACGTTTTTAGCTTGTGAACACTGTAGAGGTCACAATTTTTATCCGATTTGGTTTAAACTTGAAATGTATGCTTATAACCCAAAGATCTTGGTTCCTTTCGATATTCACGCATATCTGACCGTAACTTCCTGAATTATGGCTCCTGATTGTCGATAAATCATGTTTTTAGCTTGTGGACCCTATAAGGTCATGATATTTATCTGATTTAAAAAAAACGTATTATTATATCACCGTTAAACCCTAAACTGACAGACAGAATGGTCGCCCTTCGTTCTCAAATAGCGTAAAAATATGGTATATCAAGGTTGTGGACCCTATAGAGGTCACAATTTTTATCCCGATTTGGTTGAAACTTGAAATGTAAGTTTATAACCAAAGATCTCGGTTCCTTTCGATATTTGCGCATATCGAATTGTAATTTCCTGAATTATGGCCCTTGATTGTAGGAAAAATCACTTTCTTTTTAGCCTGGAGGTCGGGTGTTCGATCCCTGCATTGGCCGAGAAAGTTCATCCAGATTTTCCGGCGTGGTTCCCCCTTGTCAGTGATGCAGGACGGTGGAGCTGAAACCTCCTGCAATGATGTTTACAGCTATATATAATTAACAAGAGGTTGCCTTGCAAGGGATAGACAGAAGCAGCTAAATTGATTTCCATACAAAAAGCCTTGATGTAACAGTCCAACATGCACCATTAACCGGAAACGATTATTTTCCACATAGCTTATATTTCATTACAGATAGTAATGTTTTATCGTTCGAGGATCCAAGATTGTGGGGTATCTGTACATCACTATACAGTGTAAACATCTGTTTTATATAGCTGGGAGCGGATATGGATAAGATAAGATACGTTTATATACAGTTGTAAGGATTTTATATTCAATTCGCGCTCTAACGGCATACCTCCAGGCCCCTGGACAAGTGTCCCAGCTGTCCCCCTCCATCTCACGGGCCCTGTGTAGAGGGACCACAAACAAAATATGAACAGACAGACCGGGGCGACAAAATCATACTTCCACATGAAAATGTGTGCATAAAAACCTAACAAGGAAACTGTTGACTAGGATAAATTTATTATAAGCAATTTAAAAATACATAAAAAAAGAAAAAAAAGGTAAAGCCCTGAATTTTGGAGGGATATAGTAATGACTAGATAAGAAAAATTAAAAGGAGAAACAGTTTAACAATCTCTAATAATATACCTCAATATTCCAGATAACCAATAATCATTTTCTGTATTTAGATTTAACAAAAAGTAGGTTACATGCCAGGTTTCTGTCTGTAAATAGAACTGACACCTACTTCTCGTGTGGGCTGATCTTGGAGGAAAAAATGGCAAATTCTGTTAGAACAGATTGATTTTGATAATATAAAAACCAGTATCCTTTTGTGTATGGTCTAAAAATATTATTTAAAATTTAATATTCTGATAAAAACTGAAATGATTTAAATCTTGCATAATACTCTATCATTGTATCAATCAAATCAAAACAAAGAAAATTCTGCATGGATAAAATGAGCAAATGTTTCCTGAGGTATGTACTGAATATATATATATATATATATATATATATATATATTCTTTATCAGTATATGGAATTCTTTATCAGTATATGGAATTTACAAAGAGAACACAAAAGATTATGGTCAGGTATGTCAAAATCATAGTGTGCATACTGCATTCATAATGTGCATATTTGACTCCGTGTAGGTGTAGATTATACCAATGGTCATGGCATAATTGTGTGTATTTATAATCACACATTCCATTCAAATTATGTGCTTGTAGCTATAAATTCCCTATACTGATAAAGAATATCTTATTTCTCTGCAAAAAGATATGCCATGGACGGAATATGTGTATTTCATTTTGGGATTAACACATGGTTCAATTTTATTTTAATAATTCATTTGTGCGTATGGGTCTTTAGCAGTGGGAGGACCCGGAGAAAACCCACAAGGTTGGACAGGCAACCCTACTCCTTGTCATGTACAACCGGGGAATCGAAACTATGCCAGTTGACTCAATGACAGACCTTATGATACAGTGTGCACGTGCTAACTATTCGTCCATCCAGCTCCCACAGTGCAAAAAAGAAATATCGAAGACCAGCTGTGCTAAAAGTGGGCATATAAAAATTCACATTCTACTTTTTAAGATAATATAAATAAACAATATGAATAATATACTTATATAGCAGACAAATGTCATTGCATAATGACATTTCGACGAATTCTTTTGTGTAAATAAATTAATTTGCATAGTCAGTCATTTTATAAAATTTTGTGCCAAAGGCTCTTCAATAATGTGAATTTAAACAATAATTTAAAGATGAAAAAATTACTGTTAAAAAAAACTTGTACTATACTGCATTGGGTGACCTCAAATGTAGTGTTGGAGTAATAGTTATAATGTAACACTATATTATAACTATTTTCCTAACTTTTGACCTCAAATAACATGTTAAGCCAAAAAGGGAGATAATTTCAGCTTTATTTTCATTCAGCTGTGGATAAAATTACAAGGAAGTCTCCAGAAACACTAGTGTTACCGAAACAAATTCAAACGTGGCTTCCGCTTATCCTGCTTCGATAATATCTTGGCTTATTTCTAAAGAATTGACCCCAACAAATATCAGAATTCGTGTGTTTTGTATAAATATTGAAGGACTTTCAATATTGAATATTAGATGAAAAAATACCATTTTATGAAAATTAGATACTTACTTTCATCTCCATTAAAGAGTAACACCTTATAGGGGATAGAGGTAGTATCCTGTATGGACCCCAAGAAGCCTTCCATGAGTGACACTAGTTTTGTATTCACTTCACTTGAGTAATTAAAAGCCAAGATAAAAAAAATAAAGTTATAAATTAAACTGTTGGGCTCGGATGCATTATAATATTCTCCACTAATAATGTACTTGGAGGTAGATAGAACAAACTAATTGTGGAAAATGACCATGAGTTTCAATTTAATATATTTTCCAAAGTGTAACCGTTTTTCTAACTTGAACATCAAATTAAGGGGCTTGGGTTAACTCGTTTACTGACTAAAACTCTAACACTAACTTTTTGTTCAGACCTCACTCCTTCTCAAGAAAATAGGTAATGTCTGTCCAAACCCTATAGACAAGGGGTGTTCACAAGCATTAAAAGTAACAGTGTAAACTTGAATAAATTTTGCAAATTAATTTGAAAAATTCTAAATATGGATCGTGTTCTTTCTTATGCCTTGGTTTTAAACAATTCAATGAAATCTAATAAACTGTTGCTTTAGGCAAATGTGTTTTTACATGACAAATCATGAACATTCAGGTGAAAAAAAACCCACTGTAGGCTTATATAATAGCTATCTGTTTGCATTAGATGGTCATGTGATGGTTTCATAACAGTCTTGATTACAACACATAGTTTTCGTTATTCAGTCAAGGTTCACATGTCACCCTAATGTGACCTCCAATGCAATACAAAGTCATCCATATAAAACAGAGGCCATCAAATGTATAAAAAAAATAATGAAATTTATATCTGAATTTTAACCAGATGGATTTTGTAAGGGCTATTGTCAATCAACACCATCCACCAGGGCTTTTAAAGTTCCTAAGCCCCATAATTATGCATGTATTCTAAAGAAATCATTAAAATTTGACAAAGATGTTATTTGTATAACTAATGTTAACAATGCATAAAAATCAGATGATTGTAATATCCAGAGAATCCACAGGAACATCAGTTTATGACCAACTATAATTTAGGTGCATAAACAATTAAGATAGATATACATAGTTTAAAATGACATGTTATTGCAAACTACAATATTGTGAAAGTTGAATCTCTAATAAGGAATATCAGTCCAAATATGGTTAAGTTCCGTTGTGTATACATCGATCTACGCTGCTCCCTGTGTAATAAGACAGCTGCCATCTTTATATACCATGAACAAAATTGATCAGCGTGTTTTAAATCTGTTTGAATCCAAGCCAAGAGATTATCTAGCGTTGGTAATTTGTTTTTCTTTTCTTAATTAAATGTTAAATAATCAGAGTACATATTAGCGTGGATTAGGCAGTGAGAAAATCGTTACTTTAAGAATAAAATTATTTACAGTTATTTTACACTCTAAAACGATATATAATTTTCAACTGATTATGGATGATACACAGTAATAAAACACAGATATGGCATATTTACAGTTCTGTAACAAATATGGCACAAAACGCATGTCGCAGTAGTCATATGTCAAACATCGGTTGTCTGAATAACAGCAGCATTATCATCATGATTAGCACTTGGTGATGTACCACCAGAATCATATCCAGTTTTAACATAGGCTGATAAACTGCTGCCTGTTGAATGACCACTCGCTGAAGGCAAGAACTGAGGATTGACAACATATTCAGATATATTAAAAGGCAATTCCATTGCACTATTTTGTATAATATCAATTTGTTCATTTTTGGAACCGTCAACTTGTTCATTATTTTCTTGTTCACATTGTCTCAAATTGTCAACACAATTAAAATTATCATCTTCCGATAAAGCAAATTGCTTGTAATGAGGTCTTCCTGAATCTGAACTTTCTGAATCACCAGTGACAATATTTTCCATTCTGTTGTTCACATTATATTTTGTATCCACAACATTAGTTTTGCTATCCAAAGTATAAGCATTGTTTGTTTTTACTTTCGATTCATCTGTTATTGTAGTGTCCTCATGTGATACATAGCCATTGCACACATTGTCCGTACACTTATTAAGCTTATCACCATTTATAAAACTGTCTTTTTGTAAATCTTTCTGAACCCGGTCATGATATTCATTTGATTCATGTTGGTCAGTATCATTGGCTGTATGTCTACCATCATTAAAATCTGAAGTAAATAACTCTTGAGGAGTAAAATCTGACTGATTGCATTTACCAATTGAAACATTACTCTTTTGTGGAACGGATTTAACTGCATCGCCAATATATTTAGCAGGTACATCTTCTTTAATACATGTAAATGTTTCATTTGATATCTGACCATTTGTTAATCTTGGAATCTTGACATCATAAGGGGGTGAGATTTCAAGAGCTAATACATCATCAGAAACTATATCTTTACTAGGCGACTAAAAAAAAAAAATAAAGTTTATTTTTTATTACAAGAATATTGCAAAGAAATTTCATGTTATGTTAAATACAGGTCTACTTTGAGGGGTTTAGTGCCTGAATGGTCTAATGCATGATGCACTTTAGATCATAAAGTCTGTCATTGAGTCAAGTGGCACGGTTTATATCACACACTTGTACATGTTGTGACAAGGTGTTGGGTCGCCTGCCTAACCTTGTGGGTTTTCTCTGGGTCCTTCGATTTCCTACCACTGCTAAAGGACCCTATAGATGTATTATTGAAATAAAATTGTACTAAATAATAGTCCCAAAATGATGTAGTTTGTGTTGAATTTAAGAACTCTCTCTCTCTCTCTCTGTGTCTCTCTCTCTCTTATGTAGTTAACTGAATGCTAGAATATGTACCTCTGGTAGTGATGTAGTAAGAAGTCCTTGATGAGTTGGTGAATATTGATTTGGTATATGTTTACTATGACCATTTGACTGAAAGTAAATAAAATCATAACTGATTTTCTTTTCTAATAATCAAGAAATTCATGGCAGCAAAAATATAATTTGTTATGCTAGGTTCCCACTATCACGATTCGTCGAGTAATTGTGGTGATCCTATCATATATTGAGGTCAGTCATAGCAATCGTGTTGATCATATGGAAAGGTATCCGAATGTATCTCAATTGGGACAATCCTATGGTAATGCACTGCACGACAGTGGGACATAGCATTAGCTAATTAACTATCATACAGTGGTTCTAGCAAGTATTAGAATTTGCAGGTTTTGTTGCGTTTTTATTCACATTTTGCGGGCCATTCGATGAAAAATTGGAGATGAATGTTCTAAAAGAGTTATATTACTCCTATAAACTATTTTGCAGATTATTTCCAAATGACTTAATATTTATAGTTATAGTTAAAACTTACAGACAAGGTTAACATGCTATTTCTTCACATTATGCATTATGTCATTAATTAAACAACCAGTTATTTTTAGACTCAATGAAAACTGGGATTTCTCATTTAATGCAAATAAAACACTTACATCCAAGTTCTCTTCTGGGTTCTTAATCTTATATGGTGTAAAATTACATATTTTCTTAGAAAGAAATCTGTATGAAGAAGAAAATAAATTTCAAACATCATGTGATAGCATACACATAAAAAATACAAGTCATAAGTCGAAGTATTATTAATTACGGCTCAATAATCCATTCCATGGGTCATATCTAAACTATCATCTCAAAATATTCTAAATCATTATTCAAATATTGTATCGAATATTTGATTCAACTGAAATGATCATTCTTGGGGTTGTTTTTGATACTTTTTCAAATCAAATCAAAATATTTTCCTTTATTTGCTTTTTTATTTTTGAACATTAATAATAATTAATATCCAAAAACAAATACTAAAAAGTCAAATAGCCTTAAAAAACTATTTGAAATCGACTACTGGTTTTCAAATATTTTGGGAACACATACTAGGTCACTGATGACCTATATTTCATTAACCTAATCTTCAGACACAGAACAAACCAACCTCTCTCTTTTAGAGGTCATTTCTTTGGAACATCCACAATTTTCATGCTACATCAAATTTTAATTTTTCTAATGTAGATTTGAATACAGGGACACCATGATTCACCACCCAGTTAGAATGAGTATCAAACCATACAACATGGTTATAGATATCTAACTGTTGTGCAGTTTACCTCCCTATATAGATTGTATACTCAGCTCATGATATACTCTAAAGATTAGCATGCATCGATAAAGTTATTTTTTTTACTTACTTCATTCCAACGAAGGTGAAAAATAGCAGTACTGCAGAACCTATGACTATCATCACTATATAAACTGTTGGGAAACGTTCCTCTACAATAAGTCAAATCTATAGTTACAGAATAAGCCACTAAAAGTACACTAGCAAACAGAATTAAAAGCAATAGAATGAAAGGTCATTGTTAAGAATAGCTCATGGTAATGTACATATATAGAAGTTCCTCTTACTGGTGGACAACATTCTTTAATTCACACCACTCTGCCAAAACTTAGAGCTATTATTAGGAAACCTATACTACAATTACTTATTTGCATTTAGATTATTCATCTGATGACAATTATGGCTACCTGAACCAACTAAGTTCCGCATTTTTGAAGCATCACTGGTCGAAAGAGAAAATACACTTAAATTTCAAGAGTCACTCAGAAACATCAGCTTGAAGACACCATATTTAATGATCTAGTTGTGAACCCAATGTTGGATTAAGACGCGTGGCGGCCCTGGTGCACTTGAGTAAACGGAGGCCCCCACCCAGCCCTATCTCAAAAAAATAGTTAATTTTGACATTGAATGATATAAAAAATATTATTGATTATTTAAATAAAGTTAGGTTGCCAGGCAACAAAACTTACGCCCACAGCAGCTAAATTGTCCGGGCAGTCAACAAGTGTTGTCGCATATTTTTACTTTTTTCGGTAATAAAACATTTATAATACCCTAAAACTTTTTCAAAGTGATCAAGGGCCATAACTTTGGCAGTAATTAATCGGAAATCTTTGAAAATCAATAGGATTCTTCGTCTCATGACCTCAAACACTGTGTATAAATTCAAAGTCAATTAGATATTAACTTCAGCCTCTAGAGCATCCACGAGATTTTTCGAAGTGATCAAGGGCCATAACTCTGGCAATAATTATTGAAAATCACTGAAAATGAATAGACTTCTTCATCTCATGACCTTAAACACTGTGTATAAATTTAAAGTCAATCGGATATTAACTTTAGCCTCTAGAGCATCCACAAGATTTTTCAAAGTGATCAAGGGCCATAACTCTGGCAGTAATTATTGTAAATTGCTGGAAAATCAATTGGCTTTTTCGTCTCATGACCTTAAGCACTGTGTATAAATTTAAAGTCAATCGGATATTAACTTTGGCCTCCAGAGCGTCCACAAGATTTTTTGAAGTGATCAAGGGCCATAACTCTGGCAGTAATTATCAAAAATCGCTGAAAATGAATAGACTTATTCGTCTCATGGCCTTAAACACTGTGTATAAATTTAAAGTCAATCGGATATTAACTTTAGCCTCTAGAGTGTCCACAAGATTTTACAAAGTGATCAAGGGCCATAACTCTGGCAGTAATTATCGAAAATCGAGGAAATCGAGGAAAATGAATAGGCTTCTTCGCCTCATGACCTTAAGCACTGTGTATAAATTTAAAGTCAATCGGATATTAACTTTGGCCTCCAGAGCGTCCACAAGATTTTTTGAAGTGATCAAGGGCCATAACTCTGGCAGTAATTATCAAAAATCGCTGAAAATAAATAGACTTCTTCGTCTCATGGCCTTAAACACTGTGTATAAATTTAAAGTCAATCGGATATTAACTTTGGCCTCTAGAGTGTCCAGAAGATTTTTTGAAGTGATCAAGGGCCATAACTCTGGCAGTAATTATCGGAAATTGCTGAAAATCAATAGGCTTCTTCGTCTCATGGCTTAAACACTGTATATAAATTTAAAGTCAATCGGATATTAACTTTAGCCTCTAGAGCGTCCACAAGCAATTGTGGATGCTGGACCGACAGACGGACGGGGGTGACGACAATATACGACCACATTTCAATGTGGGCGTATAAAAATGAAGATTAAATAGACAGGTACAATCTCAAATCAATGAATGCTTAAAGATACTTTCACACAAAAGTATGTCAATTGTAGTATACCGGTATGGAAAGTAGAGATACCCAGTCTTACTAGAAAAACACCCATGGAGCACGCACAGGACAAAAATGAGAGGGTGTCACTAATGAGCACCCTGACTATTAAGGACTGTCTGCTCGAGTGACGACTGCACGTGTACATTGTCTGACCTCTTGCCGTTAGAGAGCGCTTGATGTATATGTTCATAAGCTTGATGGTTAGTGGAGGTGGAAAGACTTTAAACGTACAACAGTTTCAGAGATAAAAAACATGTGGGCAGGGGATAATTTGAGAATTTGCTTAGGCTTCGATATTTATGATAAATGGACAGCGATTAAACACAACATCGTCTTTTATATGGTTGATTTGAGTAACTGTCATCATTATCTGTCTATTGTTCAATTATTGTAGAAACAGAACAGAAGGCTAGTTTTGATTATCTAAATCAAACCAGATAAAAGCAACATCTGTGTAGTGCCTACAGTTCATCAAAATTAGGTCATCTGGGATACCCAATGGAGCAGACACTCCAGATATTGTCTTAACAATGATTATATACATTCAAGCTGTACTGTTAGAGTTTAGGTCATACCTAAACAAAAGCAATTCTAAATATAGAAGTATTTTCAAAAGCTTATAAATTTTTAAACTGCAAAGCTTCTAGATAGCTAATATTAGCTGCAAGAGAAATCAACTACATGTATCTGTAAAAAAACCTAATTTTTCATTTATATCATTGCAAATACAGCAATAAAAGAAAAACTAAATTTTCTATTGAGATTTCTGGAAATTTATAACATAGTGATTATAAAAACAATAATATACTATTCAAAAAAAGTAGGGGATATTTGATTTTTAAGTGTTATTAAAGTCACCTAATGAAACTGACGAAGAAACAAATGACAAAATGAAATGAAGTTCACATTCATCGATTTATTCCAAATGATCGTTAGACTAAGTAAGGCACAGACTGACCATTATAAGGGTAAAATGATACCCGGGGTCAAACAGCAAAGTTACCACAGCATCACAAACAAGTCAGTAACGGGTAAATCCTCCTCTGTTTGCCAAACAAGCATTGATCCGACGTGGCATACTCCTAATGAGACGTCTAAGGTCATTTTGGTCCAGATTGTCCCATTCCTGTTGCAACGCAGAAGCAAGTTCTTGGACATTGGCAGGACGTTGTTGACGTTGACGTAACCTCTGTCCAAGCATGTCCCGGACATGCTCGATGGGGGAGAAGTCGGGATTCTGTGCTGGCCAAGGTAATGTGGTGATGTTCTGTTGTTGGAGGTAACCTGTAACGATCCTGGCCCTGTGACATCTTGCGTTGTCATCCTGGAAGATGAAACGGCGGCCATGACGTCGTGCGAACGGCACAACATGGACTGCCAAGATGTTGTCCCGGTAGTACTAACCTGTAACACGCCCTGCAACAACATGTAAAGCCGTTCTTCCAGCAACAGTGATGCCTCCCCACACCATAACAGAACCACCCCCAAATCGATCATGTCTGATGACGTTAACGTCTTGGAAGCGCTCGTTTCGACGACGCCATACCCTCCTACGTCTGTCCAAAAAATCAACAGTGAACCTTGACTCATCTGAAAACATCACATTGCTCCAGCGTCGATTATCCCAGTGTTGACGATCCCTACACCAACGACGTCTTGCCTGAATGTGATGATCTCTCAAACAAGGGATCACGCGAGGACGTCGGGGGCGAAGGTGACCCCTATGCAGTCGATTCCGAATCGTCTGGCCACTCACTCTCACACCAGTGTCTGTTTGAAGACGAGCGCTGATCTGATTTGCTGTGATGACACGATTTCTCAAGGCCAAGGTACGGATAAATCGATCCTGGGCTTGAGTTGTCGACCTGAGCGTGGTCTGTCCTGTCGGATTGTGTATCACGGTATCTGGACCATAGCCTGCTTATGACAGACTGAGAAACATTCATCGTCCGCGCCACAACCGCCTGTGTTGTGCCGATCTGTAGCATGCCAAGGGCACGTAACCTTTCATTTTGGGTAAGCCGACGCATATCAAAATTAGTTTTCTGGTCACTAAAACAATTAAACTGATGTTTCCACCCTGGAATTCAATGCCACAATGACTGTAACATTCAAAGTCAGAGTCGTGCAAATCTTGGGTTGGACCCCCATGATGATCCCAAGCATCACCTGCATTCCATGCGGTAGCTATTGGTGCGTTTGGGCGTCACATGTAACTGGAAATGTTTCTTCTGTTAGGTTCTATAGTGACTTTTTTCGTAGTCATTTGCATATTTTAGTATTATGCCCCCAAAATCAAATATCCCCTACTTTTTTTGAATAGTATATTTAGCAGCTTTTTATTACTAAAAGTTGTCAGATTTCGCATACAATCTAACTTGAGCATGTCAGATGTAACAATCAGTGCTGATGCTGCTTTCCAACTAAAGGAAGCGGCCAGAGTACATGAGACATTACAATTATTTCAAATTCTCCTTGTATCTCCTTGCTTTACGATTAATAAGACCAACTAAAGCAGAAAAAAATGTGTATTGTCCACAAAAATACAACAGATTCAAAATTTTCTACATACCATCCCTTGGAATTCCAAACATGGCAGAACTCTCTGGGCCAGGACCAGCTAGAGCCATAGCTTGTAACGATATACTATAATTTGTTTTTGGTTGTAGCTCATCAATAACATAAACACCATCATTTCCCTCAGTCTTGTAGACTCTTTTAGATTCATCTATAATATATAAAATAACATGGTATAAAAAAAAATATTTATCTGAAGTACTAGTCAAGGCAAAAGATTTTCTATTTATTATTACCGGTATTTCATTTGCATAACCATTTCAATAATGCCAGACACCATCCAGATGCTATACATAAATTGCAGGGAAAAAAAACAACATTTAACTTTTTAGAAGAATGATAAAAACATTGTTGATTTTAGATGGAACTTACTATTACAATCTGCAGCCTGACAAACTGCTATCTCATAGCCATATACGTATGCCTCAGAATCCAAGGAACAATGGCCTGGATTCCAACGTATTTCCAGAGATTTTGTTTTCTCTGTTATTCTGATACCATCAGGAGGCACAGGAGGCTCTACAAGAATATTAATGATTAAGAATTAATCACGATAAGTTTGATGTTTACTGTTTAAAGCAGGATCTGATCTTATTTAGATAACCAGGTCTGTCATGGATTCATTTGGTGTTTTTTCAATTCCCCCCTTGTACATGACAAGGAGTAGGGTTACCTTTCCAACCTTGAGGGTTTTCTGAGGGTCCCTCTCACACCTAAAGATATCGATGTTAACCATATGTTAGTCCCTAAATGACCTAGTTTTTGAATAGTGGACTTTAAACCTCATTTATCCATTTCTCTAACCTTATTTACAAAGATCTGATTTGTTAAACATGGATTTTAGATCTTGCCTCAATATCATCTAACTTTCACCGTAAAATATAAATTCAAATTACAAAATTATGCCTTATCGGCATAATAATTCAATTTCTTCTTTGATGTGTAGAAGGCATCAAAGACTTTTGCCTGAACAGCAACAGCATTTATTCTTTACAGTAAATACACAAACTATTTCCAGGTAGACCTGGATCTAAGTCTCATAAATGTTACTAGGTACAATTTCTATAGACATTTAGGAGTAACCAGGATTTGGGGTATTTTTCTGCTGGATATATGTATATTTTATAAAATTATCACTTCCAAAGTCCAATTCCATTTTCAAATAGTAGAAATCAGGCTTTGAAACAACAAAAACTTTCTAAATGTTTTCAAATTTGCAGCTGAATGATATCCACCACTAGAATCAGTCTAAGGGTGTCAAGTGGTCAGATTCATGTAAGGAGGAAAAATCAGTCTGTTATTTTCATCAAAGACAGAGCAAAAGTAGGAATTTCTGTTGAATGGCTAGTGAGATCAGATAAAGGAATACTTATTTAGACTAGGAGTACTCTGCTTAACTCTACCATTGAATCTATGGACAGCCCCATCTGGCCATCTCACAAATGTCTTAAGACAACAACTCTAAACCTACTTGTTTAAATGCTCATGTTTATAAACTATTTCCTGGACCTTTTGTCAGCAATCTGAGCAAACAATACTGTTTGAAGTCTAGCGGTATATATGAACTCGTATTTATAATTTTATTGCACGGATAATTAGCTCCCTAGTAAAAAAAATTTGGCAAGTATGAAAAACAGCCATTTTTAACAAAAAAATAGGAATAAGAAGGGGATGCTTACACAGACAAAGTAGGGCCACTTAACACTTTGTATTTCATAAATATTTTCACTTACTTGCAGTTTTCTTTATCCGACAATCTGTCCAATACAGACCACTACTCGCATTATCTTTCTCCGCAGAAATACCATAGTGATATTTACGCCAATTAGCTGATGTAACTGGTAACAGAAGTTGTTTTGAGTCCTTGATGGATTTCCAACTTACACCACTCTGTGCAATAAGAAAACAATATCACTATAAACATAATTATTCAACAGTTGCTGTTTTAATGAATCATAAATATATTCAAATTACATTGAAAAAGATATCTTATGAGGTACTCTATGAATGTATATATTGTGCATTTGCAAGAATGGGTGAGCGTTGTCATTATCAGGCAATCTGCAAGTAATTCAAGCGCTGCAATAGTACAGGAATAATGAACTTGTGTAATTTATTATGCAATTTTAATTTATAATTATTTTCTTTCCTGGTTCATTAGTATTATGAAATCTAGATAGAAATTAATGTAAAGTTAATCGGTAAATAACAACTCTATATGTAATTAGGTACCATTATATAGCTTCACAAATAACCAGTATGTTTCAGTTTTTAATCATGATCAACTGTTATGGTCAACTGGTATGTTTCAGCCAATCATGGTCAACTGGTATGTTTCAGCTAGTCATGATCAACTGGTATGTTTCAGTTAATAGATCAGTAAATTTCACATAATATGATCAACAATAAATAACACAAATGTATATTCTTATTAAAACACAGATCCTATTTTGTTTTGTTTTTCATAGTTCAAAATTTCGTTTTACTTGTCTTTACTACACTAGGATCTGGATCTGGTGGAAGTGACGGATTAGTCAATGAAACAGTCTGTTACGGCGAGTTCTTGGCGTGCTGTGCATGGAACTGTGGGTATTCCACCTGAAACATCAACACTGACTGGTTAATCTGGCGTCATGGGTTCAAAAGCCGCTTGTATGACCCCTGACGCGACCTTCCATTGCAACCTGTCAGATCTTCATGTAGTAGAGGCCAGCGAAAGTATAAAAAAAAAAAACGAAATATAGATCTGTATTTTAATCAGATTGATATATTCAATACCTGACAAGTTGATTCATGTGTGAAAAGACACCAGACAACATGGTAGCTAACATTTTGCCATCGGTGATCAACAATCCATTTAGCAACTATACTATCATTATATTCACCTTCTATTAGCTCTACTGTCAAATTATTTGCTACTGCTAGTTCTGTATGTGTAAATAAATAATTCAGTATTCTCAAGTACATAGAAATAATAACCAAATATAAATACAGAGTCTTTAAAGTAGTTGACATAATATTATGTCCTTGTCAATCAACTTTCTGTATACTACTGATGGTTAAAGGCTTGATGCATCATTTTCGCTAAAATATCAAATTTCTCACAGCTTAATCCACGCTAAATATGTACTCAGACTGATTATTCAAAATTTCATTAAGGTGGCATTAGGTAAAATTATATTAGAAAGTTTTCGTTATAATAGTTAAAAAATAGGTAATGAAAACAGAACCAAGATATTAGCGATTCAGTTTTAGGCTAGCCTTGATCGTCATTACTACCGTTTGGTTCGATAATAAACAAAGTCGTAATTATCCATTTATACGTTAGATCATCCATCACAAACGCATCCAAATCCACTAAATATCGTAGGCTAACGATGGCACCGAGACTTGATTATGGTCTTGAGCCTAGAGGGGCCCGGAGGTATGCTGAGTAATGTTTTTTTGTAAATGATTTGTTGGTATAAATTAATAAAAAAAAAAAAAAATACATTGTAAAAGATCGTAAAGTAGAAGAAAACCAGTGATTTTCCTGAATGTGGGTACCAGGTGAAATGGGTTGGATTAGAATCAGATTCTGTCAGTCCACTTATCATAAACTTGGTGAATTAAAAACTATAAGGCACCTGCCCGGGCCCAGCCCAGCAACATTATTTTGGGTATTGAAAAAAAAACCCAGCGGCTGCCAGGCAGGATACGCCCACATTTTCGAGTAAGTTATAAACTTACATTTCAAGTTTCAACAAAATCGGATAAAAGTTGTGACCTCTATAGGGTCCACAACCTTGATATACCATATTTTTACGCTACTTGAGAACGAAGGGCGGCCATTTTGTCTGTCAGTTTTGGGCCAATTTTTACGAAATTCGAACTCAGCCGTCCTTAGGGTGCAACGGTGATATAATAATACTGTTTTTTAAATCGGATAAAAATTATGACCTCTATAGGGTCCACAAGCTAAAAACACGATTTTTCGTACTATGAAGGGCCATAATTCAGGAAGTTACGGTCCGATATCTGCGAATAGCGAAAGGAACCAAGATCTTTGGGTTATAAGCATACATTTCAAGTTTAAACCAAATCGGATAAAAATTGTGACCTCTATAGTGTTCACAACCTAAAAACGTGATTTTTCGTACAATCAGGGCCCATAATCCATGAAGTTACAGTCCGATACATGCCAATGAACCGAGATCTTAGGGTGATAAACCTATATTTCAAGTTTCATTGAAATCGGATAAAAATTGTGACCTGTAGACTGTTCACAAACAAACAACCCAAAACCCGATAGTTTATGTGATGAAAACATTTTCTTTTTCATATTTTGACATCTGATGGTCAGGGTTTTTGTTTTTTCCATTTGCTTGCTTGCTTAAAATGTCCTGTTAAAATCGTGCGCATTAGATTATTATTACATCGGTAAAACTAAAACGGAGAACAAGTATTTGGTATATTTCATGCTAAATCTCAGTTTGTGTGATTTAACAGAGTGACCTCCAATTACCCCAGATACAAGTTAAATAAATGCTAGAGACCAAGTATCATTCAAAAATTTTCGAGCCCGGGCTGAGACTACCCCCCCCCCTCCCGGAAACAAACCCCTTGCCGAGTTGCTTGTCCCATCGCGGGCCTGTGCATAATGCATTTAATATTGCATTTGATCGGAATCGAAACAGCCGGAACTACAGCACTAGATGTGGCTTTTACATAGCGGGCAGCAAAGATCGATGAAATTTCAATTCAACATAACTTTATAACTACTCAATGGAATTGGATTATTATTATTGGATTGATATTCCCATTAGAGATTAAACTTTCACTATAGGTCTGAATGACACATCAAACCTTTAACTATGCATACTGACCATGGGCGTGGGTTGGGGGCGGTGGGATGTGTCCCCCCTTAGAATCGGAAAGGGGGACAAATAGGTATTTTTATCGCCAGGACAGATTTTTGGGTTTATATTCACATGAATGTCCCATTCTGAAGGCTATTTAACCACTGCCTTGGGTCTCGCCACAGTTACTGATCTTCCCCCTTTACGATATCTCCCCCCTTAATTGACCGATCGCAGCTGGCAATCAAAATAATAAATCAACCAATCAAAAAACTTCCCTTCTGCGCGAGCCGGCTATATTTCATGATCTACGAATATAAGCAGGTAAGTACCTCGGACATCCTTCAGCACTCTGCGCCATATCAAAACTTGGCTACGCAACTCTATGACGCAAACACAACTGACCCACCTGATGGTGTGTGCGGTGCATAATGACCTCCTTCATGATCAGGACCCAATGCATGTCGCCAAGATATTCATAGTAAACAGTCCTGTTCGTAGAATGAACATCTTTGCACGATTCACTTAACTTCATGAACAATTAATATTTGTGCAGCTTTGATGTAGATAGTCAATTTTTCCATATCGTCATCATATTAGCCCTAATTATTATTTTGGTTTGGTAATGAAATGTTCCGGGTTTCAGGATCCGTCCATCCCCACCAAAAGTTATGACAAATCCATGCCCTTGATACTGACTAATAAATTCTAACAGTATAATCTGATGAAAGTATTGCTAAATTACCTGTGTCTGAAGCAGGAACTGTAATTTTTGAATATTTTTTAGAGCAACCAATTTCTGTTTTAGAATAAATAATAAATGTTTGGTTCACATGACAATTGAGCTTTACTGGGATTTTTATATTATGGATTTCATTCGATACACTATAATTCTGGTCACCCTGTTGAATAAGATAACCAATTATTTCACCTTGTCGATTGTCCTCTTCAACATCCTGAAAAAATATACGTTTACGTCAATTCAAAATTTACCAGTTAGACATTTTACATGTGCTAATTTAGGTCGTTCACATCTGCAGATATATTATACAACCATAAGTGAAATAATTTTCTGCACCGTACAACTATAACTATTTTTGACATTTATTTCTAGTAAGGATTACATTTCTACAATTTCAGTACAAAAGCAGAATCACAAAGCTAATGTTTTAAATGTCATAATTATTAATAAAACAAGCCAACAGTGTGGCTGATGTTCCCAGCCGAAATCCCAAAATAAATAGATGACAAATTTTAATTATCAAACTGATTATCAACCAGTGATGGGATTTTGCCCGTATATTCCGGACTTGTCCGAATCTTTTTTCCAAACGCCCAAAATTGTCCGACCGGGAATATGCCCAATCGGACATCAAGACATGGTGAATAATATTCAAAATTCCGAAATTAATATAGTTTACTGAGTGTATAACTACCACTCAACCCGATTATCGTTGATAATACGCTGGGTTTATTAGGTAATTAAGTGATCAACGTATTTATCGTGTTATACCGTCTATAGTATAAACCTACCTTGATTCAACTACTTAATCTGCCTTGATTGACTGACTTAATCCTTTGTCGGACAATTCATCAATCTAATCTTAAACAGAAGTCATTGCTTTCCTTTTGTCGGACTATTCATCAATTCAATAAGAATGATTATAAACCTCGTGGTTTCTCATTTGTCGGGCATCTTAATCGCATTGATGTGAGCCGACATCATCTATAATAAACTAATCATAGATGTCACATATCGTACGAGCAAATAACACCCTAAATCAATGGACAGTCATTTTGTCTACGATATCTTTTACGTCTTTTAAGAATCCATATAGAAATTCTCATCCACAGTGGCACTTTCCCTTGATCTCGAGCGCGGCACAAATATTGCTTAACATATTATTAGGCAGTGCTTACTATGAAGCCGTGTGATGAGTCACGTAGGCTATTAGTCTCTATTATCCAGAAAAATATTCTATGAATATGTTGAAGACTAGGAGTTTCTGGGTGACCGAGACTAGTACGCACCCAGCAAAATAACAAAAAGGGGAGGGGCTACCAATAGCTATATGAGCAGAAATTCTTACGTATTTGTAGGCGTCAATCATTCTGCTGTGTTGCCTATGATGCCTGTCACTCTGTCGTGACTATCAAAGAGTGTTATTCGCTGAAGTTAGCTATGCCTGTTTACAAGTGATTTAACTATTTCGGAAGTTCTGCATTCATTTGCTGCCGTATAAACGAAGACACGTAATTCTAAAGGAATATTATGGTTGTGAATTTGATGCCGAAGCAGGATCGGCAAGCTTTCATTCAACATATCACGAAAATGCTTAATTTTGTAGGACATTTACTGACATAAATTTGAATGCCGTACGGGAATTAAGTGTGAAAAATAGCGAGGTCACCAATTTTTATTACGTACGGGATTTGGGGGATCACGTGGCTAAGTGGGTAAGACGCTAGCTCGCTAGCCTGGAGGTCGGGTGTTCGATCCCTGCATTGGCCGAGAAAGTTCATCCAGATTTTCAGGCGTGGTTCTCCCTTGTCAGTGATGCAGGACGGAGGGGCTGACAAGGAAAGCTGTCTAGTCGTTCGGATGGGACGAAAAACCGAGGTCCCGTGTACACATTGGCGTGCACGTAAAAGATCCCCTGGCAGTTGGAATTCGATATAAGAGTAGGCCGTAGTGCCGCTGTCCGGGCAAAAATTTCCCTCATAACACACTGTATGGCGTATGCCCGTCTTCATTAGCCCAGGTTAGGAGCAGAACAGTAGGACGTTAAACTCCATTTCATTTCATTTCATTTCATTTCACGTACGGGATTTGAATATTTTGTTGACATGTGGTTTTTAATTGTGGTATGAATTGAATACTGTACGGGAATTAAATATGAAAAATAGCTAGGTTCACCTATTTTTAATACGTACGGGATTTGAATATTTTGACATGTGACTTTTAATTGTGGTACGAATTCGTCTGCTTAAATAACGATAAGAGTTATGCCCCTTTATTTTCGGTAAAATGTCCGACAAGTAAAATTTTGAAATCCCATCACTTATCAACTATGCACTAAGTTTCATCACCCTCTATCAGATAGAATCAAAGTTATCTTGTCTTACCCTGAGCAGAAAATGCTCATTATCGAACTTAATCAAGGTATTGATGTAATAAAACTATACACCAAATTTCATCCCTCTCACTTAATTAGAACTAAAGTTATCGTGTCCTATAGCATCAACCAATCAAATTGCTTATCTTTGCTTAACCCACGCAGAAAAAGCTCATCTTCGAACACCATCCAGGCATTGACCTAATAAACATCTACACCAAGTGTGAACATTCTACCTCAATTAGAATTAGAGTTATTGTGTTTCAAAGACTCGGCCAATCAAATTGCTTATTATTATTATTATTATTATTATTATTCGCTTTAAATAGCGCTTCATTACACATGAGTGTTTTTAAGCGCATTCACAACAAAACAGTTCAAAAACATTTTTGAAATAAATATGTTTTTAAGTTAGTCTTAAAGCTCTGGATGGAAGAGGACTCTCAAAGAGTTTTTGGAAGATCATTCCACATTTTAGCTGCTCTGACAGAGAAAGCATATTCACGAGAATGTTTATTATATTTAGGAATCCTCAAAATGCTACGATCACTTGAAGAACGAAGGTTGGATCGCCGGGGAGAATAGAAATCAAAGAGTTCTTTTAAATACCTGGGTGATTTAAACACATTCACAAGAGCTTTAAATTGAACCTTCGCTCGAACTGGAAGCCAATGGAGTTTCTGTAACTTAGCTGATATATGATCAAATTTTCGCGTTCTAGTTATGAGACCTGAAGCATTGTTTTGCGCTATTTGTAGTCGGTTTAAAGCTGTTTCTGGTGCTCCTAATAGAAGAGAATTTGCATAGTCCATATGCGATGTTATCACTCTGGTTACCCTAAGCAGAAAATACTCATTATCGAACTTAGTCAAGGTATTGATGTAATGAAACTATACACCAAGTTTCAGCACTCTTACTTAATTAGAACTAAAGTTATTGTGTCCCATTAGAAGGAGAGTTATTGTGTCCCAAAAAGTGTGACGAATGGACGGACGGACGGACGGACAGACAGACAGACAAACCCATTTTAATAGTCCCCTGCTTTCTTCGAAAGGCGGGCGACAATAATAAAGTAATGAGAGTTAACACAATATTTTGGTTATCTTAAAACTTAACGTTTGTTTGCTTTCTTTTCTATGGTTAAGTGTGTGATTTTTTTCGGCCAATCATTTTCAATGAGAGACAGTCACCTCATTCTTGGAAGTAGGTTGGATGATTTAGCAACACTGTTACATGCATTTTCACAATATTACAGGGGCATTATGTAAGATTTAGATAAAGAGCTGGCCGTTTTAGCTATAACATTTAGAAAATAGATAATGCAAAATAAATATATGGAAAATATCATTCAAATTGCTTATTTTGGGTGAAGTTATTAATGGTTATAGTTCTGACAAGATGTGTGCATTGATCGTAACCATCACCATACTTCTCCATTTTTAAATTAAATCATTAAATGGCCAAACCGTTCTAATATACTTACAATCAGAGCCATCCGATGGCATCAAGAGTTGATTATGGTCTTGTCATCTTAATAAATGTCTAATTAATAATCTATATAACATTTAAGGCCCAAAGAAAGACATGCAACATGCATATTTAGCTCTTACATAAACACAATTTACCGGACTACAGAAATAAACTTCAGATCAGTTACTGGTGAAATATATTATAATCTTACCCCCCAATAGATCATAACACTCCTATGTTTACTGCTATCACACTGTGAAACAGAAAAACATCCAGCAATAACATCAGGTCCAGTCAATGGAACTATAAAATACAAAACAATCATCAAATAGAGATATCTATATCTGAATACAACCAAATATTACTTTCATACCATTTAGTATCAAATTATATTTGATCCTATGACATAATATATACATATACATACCATCTTGAAGGGTTGTCACAACAATATCTTTAACCTTACTCCAATAGCCATTTTCTTCAGGTTTACAACTGATATCAAAAGTGTAATCTGTATAAGGTGATAAATCACAATATCCTCTTGTGATATTTTGATCAGCAGTAAACACATCCAAAACATTGGTCTAAAATAAACAAATTCAATTATATTGGAATTACTATTTTATATCAATAAACCATTCTATACTGTAAAAAATAACTTTTGCCCCAATCCCCATCCCCCTCACACAACCATGCATGAAAATCAACAGTTTGAACTCTCTTATCGTATGAGGGTCCGTACCATATCAAGTATTGCATACTATGAAAAATGTAGTAAAGAGGTTAAATTTGGCCATTGCTGGATTAGCTTCTAATACTTGCGCTTTGGAGGGAGTGTGTCTATTCTTCCCGTTCAATCGAATCTATCCCCAAGCACAGCAACAAGACAGCCCTGCTTTTAATCAGAGGCCTTCCCTAAAACTTTGGACAGTAATATAAGGTATTGAAAACGGTGAAAGTGTTGTTTGTCTCAAAACAATATTGTTTACATTATATCCGTGTTGATAGCCTCGTTTGTCACACAATTAGTTTTTCTGAAATATTCTGCTATGCACTGGTTAATTGAGCATAATAAAATCTTGAGTCATGACGTAACGCTATGTAAACATATTTAGTCCAATTTGGGGGTCTGTTTGGTATTGCTACGCAGTTAGCTATTGGTTGTTAATAGGACTATTGACCAGTCATAATTTAGAACAAGAATTTGCTTTCTTTACAGCAGTAAGTAGTGGGATTAGCTCTAATCAAACGAAACACTGCGAGGAGTATGCGTTCGGATATGCACAATCATCAAAAGGAACCAAGATCTTTGGGATATAAACAAAAATTTAAAGTTTCATCAAAATTTGATCAAAATTGTGGCCTCTAAAGGGTCCACAACCTTGATATACCATATGTTTACACTATTTGCTTACAAGGGGCGTCCATTTTGTCTGGTAGTTTTGGTCCGATTTTCACAAAAAATTCAAACTCTACCAACATTATGGTGTAATGGCGATATGTTTTTAACATATAAAAATTGTGAACTCTTAGAGGGACCACAAGTTGAAAACGCGATTTTGCGTACAAACAGCCATAATTCGGGAAGTTATGATCCAATATACGCAAATATCGAAAAGAACCAAGATCTTTGGGTTATAAACATGCATTTCAAGTTTCATCAAAATCAGATAAAGATAGGTTGCCAGGCAATGAAACATATGCCCCCAGCAGCTAAATCCTTCCGGCAGTAAATCGTTGAAAACCAATAGTCTTCTTTGTCTCATGACCCTAAACACTGTGTATACATTAAACAAAATCAGATATTAACTTTAGCCTCTAGAGCGTCCACAAGCAATTGGATGGCCGGACAGGGGCGACAACAGTATACGACCACATTTTGGACGGCCGGACAGGGGCGACAACAGTATACGACCACATTTTAATGTGGGCGTATAAAAATTTTGACCTCTAGAGGGTCCACAACCTTGATATACTTTATTTTTACACTATTTGCGTGCGATGACGGCCATTTAGTCCGGCGGTTTTGGTCCGATTTTCACGAAATTCAAACTCAATCATCATTATGGTGTAAAGTTGATACATTCAAACAGTCTTTTAAATCGGATAACATTTGTGACCACAAGCTAAAAATACAATTTTTCGTACAATCAGGGGCCATAATTCAGGAAGTTACGATCCGATAGGCGCAAATATCAAAAGGAACCAAGATCTTTGGGTTTCCAGTTTCCTCAAAATCAGATGAAAATTGTGACCTCTAGAGTGTCCACAATCTAAAAACGGGATTTTTCAAATAATCGAGGGCCATAATTCAGTCATGAAGTTATGGTCCGATACATGCCAATATCGAAAGGAACCAAGATCTTTGGGAGATAGACCTTTTTTCAAGTTTCGTCAAATTCAGATAAAAATTGTGACCTGTAGAGTGTCCACAAACAAATTGTGGACGGATGGACATGCGTACTGACAGGGGCAACAGCATAATACGTCCACATGAAAATGTGGGCGTATAAAAATCAGCATTCTACCCATCAAAAAATGTAAATTATTGTTTCTTACCTTATTCCTTAAACCATACATCACTTTAAATATTTTCTTTCGAATGCTGTTGTGTGACCAAGTTATTGTTATGCATGTCCTATTCTTTTTTTGCAATTCCAAATGAACTATTGGAGATGGTTCCACTTCAAAAGTAAAGGAAAAGAATGGAGTTAAATGTATCATCATTTTAGACTGAAATACAGTTATTTTTCCCTATGGATATGACAATGTATATCCATTAGAAGCAGGCTTGAAAAAAACAAAAGTATCACTTAGGTCTTCTTGGTCCATGCTAAGATATCCACTGACAAGAGGAACAGCTATGCATAAAATTAATGGGCAGGTCTCATTTTTGATAGGGTGATCCCTTATGATTAAGCAAACAATCATACTGTTTATGTTAAAAAAGGTTTTGGTGACAGCTGCTCTAACCAGAGAAAATTATTAAACAACTCAACAGATTACCTCTTTAGGGCCCGTCAAACAATCCCAGCAAGTTTAAGATAGAAATCTTAACCAGCGGTTGCCAGGCAAGATACACCCACATTTTGCAAGAGATGGATAATAGAGTACAAGCTAAAAAAAAGTGATTTTTTGTTCCCGGAAGTTATGGTCCGATAAGCGCAAATATCAAAATCTCTGGGATATAACATATATTTTAAGTTTCATCAAAATCAGATAAAAATTCTGAACTCTAGAGATTCACCATATTCCTGAAGCAATGGCTCGAGAAATCCCTTTCTGGCCATTGCTGGATTGGCTTCTGATAAATGAACTTTAGAGGGAATGTTTCTATTCTTCCAGTTCAACCAAACTATCCTAAGTACAGCAACATGACAGCCTTTTGTTTAATCTGGGCTCTTCCCTTAAACTTTGGACAGTGATTTAACGTATTAAAAACAGTGAAAGTATTGTTCGTCTCCAAACAGTGTTGTTTACATTGTAGCTGTTTGATAGCCTTGTTTGTTATGCAATTAGTTTTTCTTCAATATTCTGATATGCATTAGTTAATTGGGCATTATAACGTTATGTAAACATATTTGGTTCAATTTGGAGCCCTGTTTAAAGCTGAATGATATTAGTACGCAGTTAGTTATTGGTTGTCAATCGGATTATTGACCAGTCACAATTTCGAACAGAAAGTTGCTTTCATTACAGCAGTGTTAAGTGGGATTAGGTCCAATCAATCGAAACCTTCGTATGACATACTTTTATACTATTTGCGTACAAGGAGCGGTCATTTTGTAGGGCAGTTTCGGTCTAATCTTCATGAAATTCGAACTCAACCATCATTAGGTTGTAACACTGATATATTGAAAAAAAAAAAAAAAATTAGATAAAAATTGTGACCTCTAGAGCCACAAGCTAAAAACTGGATTTCTTGTACAATCAGGGGCCATAATCCAGGAAGTTACCATCCGATATGCTTGAATATCGAAAGGAACCGAGATCTTTGGGATATAAACATATATTTAAGTTTCATCAAAATCAGATAACATTTGTGACCTCTAGTGGGTCCACAACCTTGGTATTACATACTTTTATACTATTTACGTTCAAGGAGTGTCCATTTTGTCGGGCAGTTTCGATACGATATTTACGAAACTCGATCTCAATCATCATCAGGGTTTAATGGTGATATATTTAAACGATTTTTAAAATCGAACAAAAATTGTGACCTCAACCAACATTATGTTGTAACGGTGATATATTTGAACGTTTAAAAACTGTGAACTCTTAGAGGGACCACAAGCTAAAAATGTGATTTTTCGTACAATCAGGTGCCATAACCCAGGAACTTTGGGACATAAACACATGTTTTAAGATTCATCAAAATCGAATCAAAATTATGACCTCTAACGACCACAACCTTTGTATCACATACTTTAACACTATTTGAGCGCATAGAGCGGCCACTTTAGAGCGTCTCGAGTTCTATTGTAAAATCTTAGGACATGTCTACTGCACATTAACACCCCTCTAAATGCGAAACAGGAAGTGTTTATCGACATTGTAACATGCTATTTTAGCATTTTAAAAGAAATTACTAAACCAGAGGGGTGTTATTGTCCAATCGACAGTATCTAATTGACAAATCAAAACAAGAGATTCACCCTTAAGCATGTTACAAAAGGGAGTAATAGTGAAACCTCTATAGTGTCCACAAGCTAAAAACGTGATTTTGCGAACAATCGGGGGCCATGATCCGATACATGCCAATATCGAAAGGAACCAAGCTCTTTTGGAGATAAACCTATATTTAAAGTTTCGTCAAAATTGGATAAGCATTGTGAATGGACATACAGACGGACGGACAGAAGTGACGACAATATACGTCCACATGAAAATGTGGGCATATTAAAATCACAGACCTATAGAGTATTTAAAGGCTTTTTTAATGGATAACAAACTTTAAATTACGTACTGGAATTGCAGACCAACTGCAGTGACAACATTTATGTGGGCATATAAAAAGAGTATACTATGAAGTATAATTTTAGTTCTGTTCTTTTTTATTCAAGAAGAACTTTTAATGGAAACAATTTTTCCTGGTAGTTGTACGTACCATTGTCATTAGTTATAAAACGTTGACTTGTGTAATTCACATCATTTTTAACAGTGTTATTCACAGCTACATGTATGTCATAATAATATGCACCCATAAACTCATCAGAATTCCATACACAACTTCTGTTTGTTAGATGAGGACAAAGGAAGCTGAATAAGAAATGTGAAAAAAATATGAGATTATTAACAGATTTCCCTGGTTTCCGTCTCAGAGGGTAATAAGTCTTGAGTAATCTCCGACAATGGAGAAACCATGAGGTAAACACGTAGATTAAAATCATATTCACTCTTATTGGATTGATGAATAGTCCGACAAAGGGGAAGCACTGACTTCTGTTTAAGATTAGATTGATGAATTGTCCGACAAAGGATTAAGTCAGTCAATCAAGGCAGATTAAGTAGTTAATCAAGGTAGATGTATAGACGGTATAACACGATAAATACATTGATGTATGATAATCAGGTTTAGTGGTAGTTATACACTCAGTACACTATATTAATTTTGTAATTTTGAATATTATATCACCATGTCTTGATGTCTAATTGGGCATATTCCTGGTCAGACAATTTAGGACATTTGGAAAATAGCGTCGGACATGTCCGAATTATACAGGCGAAATCCCATCACTGCTCCATATCCTCTAGAAAATGTACAGTGTTTTGAAGAGTGAGGAAATGAGAGAGAAGTTAAGCTGAATGTCCACTCAACATAAACTAAGTTGATTTGTGACTATATATCTGTGACTATAATCTGATTGATTGCAAGGGTCCTTAGCTGTGGCAGAAATCTACAAAGCCCAGAGAAAATCAAGAAGCCAGAAATACAACATTTATCCTTGTCATGGTCAAGCCTGGATCGAAACCATATTTGAATTGATGAAAAATTGTATTCACTAGGTTCCCCCAACCTCCTAACTGGGAATAACTCTGTAATTAATATTATAATAATATATGCTAATCAGCTAGTAAGTACTAAGTACAAGTAGGGTAGAATATTGATAATCAGTCAGTAACTCTAAATGCAGGCTATCCCTTCAAGGAATGTGACAAACTATGGGTCAGACTATGCACATACCGTATACAAACAAAATTTGGCTCTCTTAATAACAACATCGCCCATTCTGCCACAATTTTATTTTCCTTATACATGTAGTTGATGACCTAATCTTCACAGAATATACATCTAAAAGCTACATCACTGTAATCCGCAAGTATCGACAAATCAGCAATTGTTCTTCAATATTGTTGCTGACATTTATTTACAAGATTTGAATAATCTATTAGCATTTAATGCTAGGTCACAGATAATACTTACTTAATATATATATATCAATTTCTAGATAATAAAACAGGAAATTCATTCAAGTATTATTTTGCGATTTGTTATAATTATTCAGCTTGATATTGCATCTAAGCTTTAACTGGTGTACCATTACAAAATCAAAGACTAGATTGTCTTGTTTGTATATGCAGAGAATAGAGGAATTCATAGAAGGCATGTCTGAAGTGACAATTCAATTTACCGGTATCCATGATTCTTCAGCAGTTTAATAAACGGATATGATCATATAATACAGACTTGTTATCACAGGCTCTTGAAACTGAATTACCCTAATTTTTATATTATTGATGAATTAAGTGACAATCATTGATTTTGTGACTTACTGGACTTTTTTAGTGTATACCGCATAATAAACTTTAACAGAGATATCTTCACTATTTATATACTCAACACCTAGATTCCAGGTACATTTCATTCCTTTAGTCCAATCATATACAATACAGGTTAAATTTACAACTTTCTGTGGTGCATCTGAAAAACAGAATTTTTTTACAGTCTTACAAACTTCTCTAGGGTTATTTCATACCTCTGAATATGAGCACATGGTATGATTGTTAAACACATTTAACTGAAGGTCAGCAACATTTTGCTGGGAGTGTGACCTTTGGGAGAAACCTTTTACGGCTTCACAATAAATTGACTGATGTTTAGTGAAACCCATATCCATTTAATCAAAGAAACCTTTAGCAATTTAAATTTGCATTAACCATTTTTTCGTTAAATTCTTATATATCACAGCTACAACTCACATTCAATTGTCACAAATTGTGTTCCTATGATTTCCTTTTCACCTGTGACATTAACAGCCCAGCAGCCATACCTCCCTGCATCACTTGACTTATTTACAGTTATTTTCAAAAGAGCTGTAATGTTTGATGTGATGGTTACAAAGCTAGGGGAAATAACATCATCTCCTTTAGTGAAATAATATCCAGTACTAGGTAACTCTTCCTGTGTGCAGGTCAACTCCAGCTCATCACCAATATATATGTATGGCCGCTGTGGTAAGAGATCTCCATTCACTTCAATTAAAAAATTTTATGATCAATAAACTATAAATAACCAAATTTGGTCATAGGAACAAGGGCCCAGTCAGTGAGTTGGATTGGGCTATCAATATATTAAACATACATTACATTATGCAAGAGCTAAATGTGCGTATTGCAGGTCTTTATTTAGGCTTCAGATGTTATAGAAATTATTAATTAGACCTTTATTTACATGACAAGCTCAAAATCAACACTGTAGACCCTCTGATGGCTTGGATACAGCTTGGATTTAAACAGTCGTCCATTTAAAATTAAATCAAGAAATGGACGACCAAGCTAACGTTTACCGTTAGTCACTGACGTCACTACCGGAAACTGGTGATGAAAGGCCTGCCAAGCGAGGGTACCATAGCAATTGAGAATGTTACTTGGTAATCGAGAATAAGTGGGTGGTGTTATCGTCTGTCAATCAAACGATTGACAATTCTCGTAGACGAAGCAGACACAGTTGTTGATGCCTATTTCTAGTCTAAACTTCTGTTCAGAATAAAGTAATTTGACTGAAATTTTTAATATTCTCTTTTTATCATAGCGAAAATAGCCAACTCTTTATTAAACTCTTAACTAATGTATCTTTAATAACATCTCTATCTGTGAGAAAGAGTCTATATATGCAGCAATTTAAACAAATCTGAAAAAAGCACCACCAAGGCTATAAAATCAAATCTTAAAATGCTCAAAAATACATAAATTGATTTTAACAAATATGGATAATAAAAATTACGACATTCATTACATTGCATTGTTTTAGGACAAGAAGTTTAAAACATTTAAATTTCCCCCATATTTTATCTAATCTGAACAAGCCAACAATGAGCCTGGTGTTAGCTGGCAGGTTGATTAGGAATGGTAGATTAAGTAGTCTATCAAGGTAGGTGTATACTCCTGGCCTGTAATTGGGTTGATCACTTAATGAATCCTGCCCATTATCAACGACAATCAATCTAAGTAATAGTTATACATTCAATATCTGTGTAATCTATTGGAAATTTTGAATGTGATTCAACACATCTTGATGTCTAATTGGGCGTATTCCTTGTCAGACTTTTGACAATCCATGTAAGTCATGTTGGGTAAATAGGGCCGAAACAGCATCCCATGGACAAGGTACCATGCAAAAATCACATTATAAGTCACATGATTAAACATAGCTGCGACCAAGAAAAAGGAAAAAAATAACTGTAGTGGTAGGAATTTTAAAAATTTTACGCCGAATTTGTCTCCTCCCAAAAAATAATACGCTCTGATTCTTTCTTGGAATTCCATGTTTCAGTGATAGTCACCACTTTGTCTTAAAAATATCATGTGACCTTCTCGACATCAGTGGTGATTAGCTAATGAATTCTACAATCAAATGAATGCTTCGGTGAAGTGGACACACTAGGCAAATATAAACATGGCGAATGAAAATTCGGCCAAATATATCAAACATATCCACCGCATAAAGTTTCATACAAAATTTTAACTCACCTGAGAAGTTTCTGTCAATCATGAAAATACAGGTAATCAACACATACAAAACACTACCACTGTATCTCATCATTTTATATTTCATAAGAAGTATAATAAAATAGGTTACTTTAAAACTTCACTGATGTCTGTTCTGTAAACCCTAATGTGGGTCAAAAATTACAGTTTGAATAACATGTAACATGTAGTTGTTAATTTTGTTATTTTTATATAAACACACTTGCATTACAACAAAACATTTCCACGACAGGAATTTTTAAATTTGTTGTAACTGTATCTGAAATATAAAAGTTAAGAGTAAATAGCTCATGTTAAATTATTCTTGATATATACTTAAAAGGGCTAACTCTATTTGATTATGGCAAAATAAAGTGTAAATTAGGTTGATTGATCAGATGTGTTATTTCGATTAGTGAAGGACAAAATCTCATTTTACGTCTGATTTTGGTCTAAAATGTTGACAGTGGAACAGTCAATCAGTGATATCTCAACAGTAGTTCCATCTTGACCTCTCAAACAAATCAATAAATTATATCTAATTAAATAAAAACTCCTATTTTATACCCAAATCAAAGAGATGTCTTCTGTGGACTCTAGTCATAGTAATAATGTGTATATCTTAAATGCACTGTATCCATACTACTAAGGGTTATACTCAAAGTATGTACCGTAACAATTAATTCCCCCGATCTCTAGTTTGATTACCTCCCTTCAGCCTCACACCATAAAAGTAGGGATGGGCAAATGGAGGTCCAATTTAATGAAATGAAATGAAATGGGGTTTAACGTCCTACTGTTCTGCTCCGAACTGGGCTAATGAAGACGGACGGGCATACGCCATACAGTGTGCTATGTGTATAGGGCGTAATATAACGTCAAATTAATTACACAAAAGGGGGTAGTTAACGTTTTAAAATCGTCACGCTTAACGGGTTAAGACATTCACCCAATGAAAATCTACACCAAGTATGAACATTCTACGTCAATCTGCCACAGAGATCATATATTATGTTTCATTGTTCTGACCAATCAAATCGCTTATGCCTAAGCATAAAATTCGCATCATCACACTTAGTCAAGGTACTGATGTATTTGTGTTCTCTCTGGTGGAAAAGGCTCATCATTGAACTCTGTCAAGGCACCAACACCAAGTTTGAACATTCTAGCTCAATGACTAGGAGCATTAATGTATCCAGAATAGTGTGACAGACAGACAGACCCATTTTAATAAAATTTGAACTGACTGTAATACGTTTATAAGGTTTTAGAAATGAAGTGTCAATAAAGTCTGTAAATATACATAATTGTTGAGTTGCACTTTTGAATGGGTTCAATCGTTTGAATATCAAAACTTTTTTCTGCAACACTATAACAACAAGGACAACTTAGTAAATGATCACAGAGATATAAAAATAGCCAAAATTGGTTTTAGATGTTAAAGGGACTATCCCGATTTTAACAGAGTCTCAGAAATAAAGGTCTATGTAAGTATGAAATTCAAGCACCAAAATAAAGAGGAACGGTGTATTTACCTTGTTTCAAAATTTCAGCTCAAAATACCGAGTTGTTTGGACTATTATTTGAATCTAAATAATAGTTGGTATTTTATAAAATAGAAAATTAAGCACTTTGTCACATGTATGTGCCGTGAGCATGCCTCATTGCATGGAGTACTAGCGCTATATAAATGTACATATTTGGCCATATAAAAAAAGGATTCTGGTTCTCATATAAAAAGTGATGCATGAGCTGTTTTTATTTTTAAAAAAATAAAAACAGTCTCGTTAATTAAAGCACATAAATATTTACAAAGGGTACAGGAAGTAACACTATAAAAAATTTGAATGAATTCAGAAATGCACCGTTAGATCATCATCAAATACAAAACCCTGGTAAATATTGGTGACAAGCATAAATAATACTCATAATCATACATTTCTATAAATGACATGATGTGATAAATGAAGTGCCATGAAATGTGATTTTATGAGTCATTTAGCCCAGTAGTGATCCTTGGACAAAAAACACAAAAATAACAAGCGGTTGCCAGGCAAGATACGCCTACATTTTGCAAGAGATGGATAGAGAACAGGCTAAAAGCAAAAGCGTGTTTTCGCACAATCAGGGGCCATAATTCAGAATGTTATGGTCTGAAATGTGCAAATATGTAAAGGGACTGGGATTTTTAAGATATAAAGATATATTTTAAGTTTCATCACAATCGGATAAAAATTGTGACCTCTAGCGGGTCCACAAGCTTCGTATTACATAGTTTTACAGTTTAGATTTGATTTTCATTATTTAACTCGTTAAGCGTGACGTTTTTAAAACGTTAACTACCCCCTATTGTGTAATTAATTTGACGAAGTGACGAAGAACTATGTACTATGTTCTAAGAATAGGTTGGGGGAAATACCTCCAAGGCGTTATATTACGCCCTACACACAGTGAGTGGCAGTTGTCCAGGACGTAATATAACGTCCTACGTACATGCTGCGACTGTGGGGGAATTCCCAAAGGATTCCCCCAAGTGACGAACCCTGTTCTAAGAATAGGTTGGGGAAAATACCTCCAAGGCGTTATATTACACCCTACACACAGTGAGTGGCATTTGTCCAGGACGTTATATAACGACCTACGAACTTAACAGGTTAAATATTTAAACAGTTTTTAAAACTGGATAAAAATTGTGGCCTCCAAAGAATCCACAATCAGGGCCCATAATTCAGGAAGTTAAAGTCCGATATGCTCGAATATCAAAACGAACCCAAGATCTTTAGGTTATAAACAAACATTTCAAGTTTCATCAAAATCAGATCAAAATTGTGGCCTCTAGGGGGTCCACAACCTTGATATACTATGTCCAGCAGTTTTGGTCTGATTTTCACGAAATTCGAACTCAACCATCATTAGAGTGTAATGGTGGTATATTCAAATGTTTTTTTAAATCGGATAAAAATTTTAACCTCTTAGAGGGGCCATAGCGTGATTTTTATTACAATCAGGGGCCATAATTTAGGAAGTTATGATCTGATATGTGCAAATATCGAAAGGAACCAAGATCTTTTGGTTTTAAACATGCAAATCAAGTTTCATCAAAGTCGGATGAAAATTGTGACCTCTAGAGTGTCCACAAGCTAAAAACATGGTTTTTCGTACAATCTGGGTCCATAATCCATGAATTTATGGTCCTATACATGTTAATATTGAAAGGAATCAAGATCTTTGGGAAATAGATCTATATTTCAGCTTTCGACAACAAAATGTGGACAGATGTCTGGAGGTACAGGGGCTTCGGCATAATACATCCACATGAAAATGCTGGCGTATAAAAACCTCCCTCAAATCAGATTTTTGTTAACGATTGTCTGAGAACCATAATATCTTTTTATATGGCCTTATTATTATCATTAAGATATATAGATGATTTCAATTTAATTTAAATTGTAGTATAATAGGATCTGTGATTTAATCAGATTTGTTTTAACACAGACTTTTTTTTCATAGCCATTCTCTTTTTCATCAACCAAAATCAATTTGAAATAATCAGTTTTAATCATAAATCAATTCAATTACAACCCTCATTTCAACTTATCATACATGGAAGATATAAATCTAAAATGTTTGTCATAGATAATTCATGGTTATATCCTGTATGGGTTGGAAATAAACTTATCATTCAATAACTTTATACTGAATAATCCATAGTAATTACAGTGTATAGTAACTATTGAAATATACTTCATAGTTTTATTGATTTCATTTACCGACTGAAGGAGTTGAAAGCTGTTATCTACCAGGTCACATATAATGTTATTATGGTCTTTAAAATCATACAAAGATATATAAAATATTCAAGACGGCTCCATTTTATTTGATATTTTCAATCACATCCCTTTATTACGACCTGTAAATTCTGTATTGGCATGTAGAGAAATGAGGTTTAAGCTCTCGTGAACATTTCAGTTATTTTGAGTCTGACATTGAGTAATTTTTATTTCTATGGTTATGTGTGAATTTGCGAGATGGAGAATTCTCTTCTTTCAGCTAAGGGGCCTTTGACATGTACTTCCAATTGGTACATTGGACACCAATGTCAACGTCAACCGACAACACTGCAAGAATTGCCTGTGGCACTGCAAGAAGAGTGGGTCAGATTGCCCCAAATCGTGATTGGATGGTTGGTTAGGAGCATGCCATGACGAATTGTTGAATGTCTGAGGATTGGTGGAGTAATTACTCATTATTAAGACAAAAATGAAAAACGTCCATTTTCACTTTTGACGGTGTATCTCTTTGCGAGTGAAATGGGGCCGTCAGATAAGCCGTCCATATGAACTGTTTATGTTCACGTGTAGGCATTTGGGCTATTATTAACATACACTGGTTACCACTAATAAAAACAGCAGTGCATTTCCGCAGTTTTGTATTGTTTCTGAATATCTCTTACTTTTTTGAAGAGTCTATATACGATCCGTAACACAGCACAACATATATTTACATCCCTGAATTCTCCCCATTTCATATGGCTCATCCTCGAGTCTCAGCTATAACTGAGTCCAGATTGCATCTAGGATTTTTTGGGGGAGAGTAGAAGCACTCCTACAACTGAAAAGTCGATGCCCGATGGGCGCCAAATTTGACAAGGATCATGTTGGGAACCAATTCTGCGACCTCTAAAAAGTAAGCCAAAAGAACAGAATAATATAGGTGTCTCTAGTCAAATATTTACATCCCTGCGACACAGTTTTAAACAGAAAACTGTACAGACTTGATAGTTCTAATTAAACGAAATTATCTGGTAAGGATAATCTGTGTACCTAGGAGTATGTTCTGGGAACAAATTTTAGTTACTAGTAGTTGTCAAGTGTGTGAGACTCACTAAGACTTTTACTAATTTTTTGTACAATTGAATATGTACCTCATATTATATACTAGTAAAGGGATTCTAAACCAATCTGGAACTCAAATACGAAAAAATAGGTTGCCAGACAAGAAACCTACGCCCAAAGCCGCTAAATCATCCGAGCGGTCGACAAGGCTTGTCGCATATTTATTCTTTTGTAGGTAATTGGGGGCATTTTCAAGACAATTTCATACAGATCATATTATAATTTTTATTGTTTGAGGTTTCACAAGTTAAGGTTCTACAAACTGAAACAGGGGCCTTAACTCTAGAAGTAATTTACAGAAATTGTTAAAATTTGACAGGCTTTTTCGTTTTACTAATTAAAATAATGCATATAAATTTCATACAGATCGGATAACTTTTGTCATTCGATGTTCACAAGGTTCACAAAGCAAAACAAGAGCCATAAATCTAGACGTAATTGACGGAAATTGCTGAAATTAAATTGTCACGTATGACAATACCTTTATTAAATAAAAATAATTTAGATATAGTATGCTGTGGATGTACTAAATAATCGCTGTATATTCACACAGGTATTGCTGAATGTTTCAAGGTCACAAGTATTGGTACATTATATGTTATTGTTGTAATTATAGTTTATGACAACTGGTGAACATGTTTTCTGATTATGGTAATAAAGTTTGATTTATAAACATTTGATTTTATAGTTTATTTGTAAGATGTATGATAGTTAATATTTGCTAAGGTTGAGTAATTCACATGTCTGGTTGCAGGTATGATTGCATTGAATGCATGTAGACTGCCTGTTTTGTTGTCATGATTTGATTGGTTGCGAGTGAATCTGTAGTTTACGTGGTGGGAGATATGAATTTATATAGTCACTCTAACAATGATGGATTTTGGGAGAATGACATGTATTCATTGGTCATATAATTCATGAATCATTCGTAGATATTTCAACTAAATGGGTGTTTGACTATGTGTCTTGTTGGTTTGGACTGTGTGTCTTTATAATGGTAATCTGTGTGATTAATGAGTAATAATTAGTACATTTACTTGTAAGTATTGTTTGATTTTTGTAATGTTGATAATTGTGGAAATGTAGAAATATTTTGATTATTTGTTAAACATTGTTGTATGTTTTATAGGTGAACTGTTTCTGTTTCTGATAATGTTAATGTGCTACGGATAGTGTTACAGATATTGTTACTGTGATCATTACAGTGGTTCCAGTTATTTAAATGATGATTAAAAGATCTATATGAATAACTCACCAACCTTACCATCTTATTCATCTTCTTAAATGTGCCGTGGAGACTCTCCACTGGAGAGTCAAATATTTAGTGACTTTTGTGCGCATTTACCAACCAAGATCGTCATCTCATCAAAATAGAAATGTGGTTCACTGTTTTTTTAAATTACATGAACTCAATAGAGAATAATTACATAAATATATATATATATATTTATGTACGTGAACTCATTAGAGAATAATTACATATATTCAAAAAACGACGAACCACATTTCTATTTTGATGTGATGACACTGAATATATATATATTATAATTGTATTGTAGTAATATAAAGCTATTTTAATTATACTGTGTTTTTGTTAATGTGAACTATAAGTACACGACCGTCAATCCACTCCAAAAAGAACCAAAAGCCAATTTTGTGACATAAATAGACTTCTTTTTTTCACTAATCTAAATGATGCATATAAATTTCATACAGATCGAATGATAACATTTATCAGTCGAGCATTGACAAGGTGAAACAAAGTGAAACAAGGGCCATGACTCTAGACGTAATTAATGGAAATTGCTGAAATGCAATAGGATTCTTCGATTCACTAATTTAAATAATGCATAAATTTCACAAAGATTGGATGCTAACTTTTGGCGTTAGAAGGTTTACAAGGTTTAACAAAGTGAAACAAGGACCATAACTCTAGCCATAATAAATGGAATAAGATTCTACTTTTTACTAATTTAAATGACGCATATAAATTTCATACAGATCGGCAGATAACCTTTGATGTTAGAGCAACAAAGTGAAACAAGGGCCATAACTCTAGAAGTAATTAACAGAAATTGCTGAAATTTAATAGGCTTCTTCGTTTCACTAATTTAAATAATGCATATAAATTTCACAAAGATCAGATGATAACTTTTGCCGTTAAAGCGTTCACAGGGTTCAACAAAGTGAAACAAGGGTCACAACTCTAGATGTAACGAACAGAAATTGCTGAAATTCAATAGGATTCTTCCTTTTAAATGACGCATATAAATTTCATACAGATAGGCAGTTAACTGTGGATGTTAGAGTGTTCACAAGGTGCAACAAAGTGAAACAAGGGACATAACTCTAGAAGGAATAAACGAAATTGCTAAAATTCTATACGCTTCTTCATCTCACTAATGTAAACAACATATATCAATTTTAAAACAATCGGATGATAACTTTTGGCATTAAAGCTTTCACAAGAAATTGTGAATGACGGACCGACAGACTGACAGACGGCCAGAGGCGACGGTAATATACGTCCACATTTCCACATTGGACATGTACTCCAATATATAATATGGCTTTTCCTTTAATATTTGAACAAGTTAGCTATCATGTTATCAGGTCACATTTCTTATCCGATTTTAACGAAACTTGAAATATAGGTTTATTTTCAAAAGATCTTGGTTGTTTTCGATATTGGCATGTATCGGATCGAAACTTCATGGCCCCCCGATTGTACGAAAAATCATGTTTTTTCGCTTGTGGTCCCTCTAGAGGTCACAATTATTATCCGATTTCAAAAATCATTTGAATATATCACCCTTACACCGTAATGACGATTGAGGTCGAATTTTGTGAAAATCGGGCGAAAACTGACAGACAAAATGGATGCCCTACGTTTTCTAGTAGTGTAAAAAATATGGTATATCAAGGTTGTGGACCCTCTAAAGGTCCGATTTTGATGAAACTTGAAATACATGTTTATAACCCAAAGATCTTGGTTCCTTTCTATATTCGCACATATCGGATCGTAACTTCCTGAATTATGGCCCTTGATTGTATGAAAAATCGCGTTTAAACTTGTGGTCCCTCTCGAGGTAACAATTTTTATCCAATTTAAAAAACTGTTTGAATATATCACCGTTACACCCTAATGATGGTTGAGTTTGAATTTCGTGAAATATCATAAAAATTGTGACCTCTAGAGTGTCCACAAGCAAAAAACACGATTTTTCATACAATTAGGGGTCATAAACCATGAAGTTACGGTCCGATACATGCCAATATCGAAAGGAACCAAGATCTTAGGGAGATAAACCTATATTTCGAGTTTCGTTGAAATCGGATAACCAGCGGCTGCCAGGCAGGATACGCCCACATTTTCGAGAGATGGATAGAGAACAAGCTAACAAGAAAGTGATTTTTCCTACAATCAAGGGCCATAATTCAGGAAATTACAATTCGATATGCGCATATATCGAAAGGAACTGAACGAACGGCAGCCATTTTGTCTGTCAATTTTGGGCCGATTTTCACGAAATTCGAACTCAGTCATCCTCAGGGTGTAACGGTGATATAACAATACGTTTTTTTAAATCGGATAAAAATTATGACCTCTATAAGATCCACAAGCTAAAAACGCAATTTTTCGTACAATCAGGGGCCATAATTCAGGAAGTTACGGTCCGATGTGTGCGAATATCGAAAGGAACCACGATCTTTGGGTTATAAACTTACATTTCAAGTTTCAACAAAATCGGATAAAAATTGTGACCTCTATAGGGTCCACAACCTTGATATAACATATTCTTATGCTATTCCAGAACGAACGGCGGCCATTTTGTCTGTCAATTTTGGGCAGTCGTCCTTAGGGTGTAACGGTGATATAATAATACGTTTTTTTAAATCGGATAAAAATTATGACCTCTATAGGGTCCACAAGCTAAAAACGCGATTTTTCGTACAATCAGGGGCCATAATTCAGGAAATTACGGTCCGATATGCGCGAATATCGAAAGGAACCGAGATCTTTGGGTTATAGACTTACATTTCAAGTTTCAACAAAATTGGATAAAAATTGTGACCTCTATAGGGTCCACAAGCTAAAAACGTGATTTTTCGTACAAACAGGGGCCATAATCCATGAAGTTTCGATCCGATACATGCCAATATCAAAAGCAGCCGAGATCTTTTGGGGATAAACCTATATTTCAAGTTTCGTCGAAATCGGATAAGAATTGTGACCTGTAGAGAGTCCACAAACAATTGTGGACGGAGGTCGGGACGGACAGGGGCGACGGCATAATACGTCCACATGAAAATGTGGGCGTATAAAAATTGCGACCTGTAGAGTGTCCACAAATAATTGTGGACAGACATACAGGGACGATGACAATATTCGTCCACAGCGTCTGCAAGATTTTATAAAGTGATCAAGGGCCATAACTCTGGCAGTAATTATCAAAAATCACTAGGCTTCTTCTTCGCGTGGCCTTAAACACTACGTATAAATTTAAAGTCAGTCGGATATACTTTAGCCTTGAGAGCGTTCACAAGATTTTTCAAAGTGATCAAGGGCCATAACTCTGGCAGTAATACTCGGAAATCATTGAAAATCTGTAGGCTTCTTCGTCTCATGACCTTAAACACTGTGTATAAATTTAAAGTCAATTTGATGTTAACTTTAGCCTATATTCAATTGACTTTAAATCTATGGACAGCCGGACGACCGGACGGACGGGGGCGACACCAATATACGACCACATTTCAATATGGGTGTATAAAAACTATTATTTAGACATTTATTCACATGACAAGCCCATAATCAACTCTCTAGGCCTTTAGATGGCTTAAAATATAGGGCCTCGCCATTTAATAATTAAATAATAAAATAGGTAATCAAGACCTCGTGTATTATCTCAACATTGGTATTTGACAATCAAGAATATCTTGTCCAAACTTTTGACACTCAAAATGCTCAGAATAAAGTAATTTAATGAAATTTTCAATATATTCATTCCACATGATCTATTATGCCAGAATCTTGCATAATGCATCTTTAATATAAACAAATTTGAATAAGTACCATCCAAATAACACGTCATTAAGCAAGAGAAATTGTTTTAATGACATTTTGTACTACCCCTTCCCCTAAAGTACCATCAATGCAACATTTCATTAGGCAACAGAAGTTAAAAATGTACATGTATGACAAATTCTGCAAACAACAAACTTCTACAGCCCCTTTATAAGTCCAGATATGAGTATTTATAAGCCTACTTGTACTTACCTGCCTACAAATATAAAATCTGTAATCAGTTTTATGGCGATCCGGGTAGAGACATCTTTCTAACCTGTTAATTTGACCACATGACTTCCCTTTAATCCTTTATCTCATTTGCCATTGTTTCCTCTAGGAACGTGGTGATAACAGTCTATCTTAATTTCTGAAATTGATATGGGTAGACCTACATAACATTGTAGTCATTGTACAAAAACTTCAAAGAATAGGTACTGTTAAGTACTGTATCCATCAATAATAAAATTAAAGTTGAACACTATATGCATGAATAAGAAATTTGAAGCCCTAAAGGTACTATATCCATTAATAAGAACTTTGAAGCTGAAAATGTACTGTGTCCATCAATAAGAAATTCAAAGCTGAAGTGGTAGCATCCATCAATAAGAAATTTAATGCTGAACATGTATCAGTACTGTATCCATCATTAGAAATTTGAAGCTGAACAGTCAAAACCTTTAATCTGCTTAACTTGAACTCCCATCATATTCATAAAACATTCAATAAACTGGCCTCATCAGTGTAATGCAAGCAGGACAAAGGTTAAGAACATCAACTATGTACCGTAATTTACTGTTATCAACTATAAACTGATATTATATCAGGTAAAAACACTCTTCATACTGTCAGTTTATGATTTAAAATGTAAAACAAACAACTGCATTTCCTTAGACAGAAGCTATATATATACCCCATCAAAATGATAGTAACCAGTCATTTTTGTAAAAGAATATTCCTTCAATGCTAAATCTAGAAAATCATGGAATTATTGTAAAAAAAAATAATAGAATAATCAGTTGGAAAAACATGAGTAAAACCTAGCTACCTATAAGCATTTCTCTCTGATTTCCAGGAATTGTTCTGTAATGATCCACAAATGACCAATGTTTCATTTCTCATTTGGAAAACCCAACAGAAGAATTACTGCATTTCAGTGAAAGAACCTAAATGACCATGGAATAGTCTGCGGGTTAAACCATATGGTGTTTGGAATAGCACAGCCCCAGGTTGATTGGCATCAACGATATTATGCTTATCGTATGGAAGTTTTAATTGAAATACATTACACTAAATACTTCACATAATAACAAAATGCATTTTCGATATGTATTGATCTTATTTGCAAAGTCAGTTACACCAATAGCAAATGTTCAATCTTCTAGTTTCTGTATTATGTGATGTAATTCTGTTACACATTTGGAAAACCCAACAGAAAAATTACTGTTCTGTATTTCACAATGTGTGAATAATGATCAGGCTGTACATGTTTCAACTGTATATACACATATATTATACTATAAATGCTTTGTAAAACATACAAAGCTTACCTGTAATGTTCTTTAATATCCTAGTTTACCTTACTTACAGCATTGCAAATGCTGTGAAATTCAGGTACTATCTATTGATCAATTTCCGTGGTTTCCTATCCCATAGTTTAAAACTAATTCTGCATCCACTGTATGTGCCATGAAAACAATATCTATAGTAAAACTGCACCATGAAGCAACTATAGCAAATAAAATCTATTCCTGCCTAGTATTCTTACATGTCCTTGGTAACCAGTCACTTGTCAATCCATGAAGTTTGTTGTTTACCTGTCTTATTGATCTGCTTTCAAATTTTATGCTGTTGTTGATCAGTAACTAGGAGAAAAGGTATTATTTTATAGGTAATGCAAGCAAGAAACTGATCAAGTTGCCTCATTAAATAAAGTTTTTATTATTATTATTATTAATAATCCATGCAGTAATTATCAGAAATATTTAACATTTGATTGTCCCCCAAGGGTCTTTATGATACATTGAACCAGCATTTGCCAAGCAAATTACGCCCACATTTTGCAAGAGATGGATAGAAAACACACTAAAAACAAAAGCATTTTTTTCGTACAATCAGGGGCCGTAATCCAAAAAGTTATGGTCTAAAATGTGCAAATATTGAAAGGGACAGAAATCTTTGTGACATAAAGATATATTTTAAGTTTCATCAAAATTAGATCAAAAATTGTGACCTTGTATTACACACAAGTTGCGTACAAAGAGCGACCATTTTGTCAGGCAGTTTAGTTTCGATTTTCCCGGAATTTGAATTCAACCTTCATCATGGTGGAATGGTGATATATTTAAACTGTTTTTAAAATAAGATAAAAATTGTGACCTCTAGAGAATCCACAAGCTAAAAAACATGATTTTCGTACAATCAGGAGCCATAATCCAGGAAGTTACAGTCTGATATGCACGAAACCTTGATATACCATATTTTTACACGACATGTATTTGAGTATGTGGGGTGTCCATTTTGTTGGACAGTTTTGGTCCGAATTTCACAAAATTCGATCTCAACCATCATTAGCGTGTAATGGTGATATATTCAAACAGTTTTTAAAATTCGATAATAAAACATATACCGGTAATGAGCTGATCTTCAGGCCATAACAAAATGAAACATAGGCCATAACTCTAGCAGTAATTAACTGAAAATTGCTTATTCATCACATAAATTTCATAACTCTAGAAATAATAAACGGAAATTGTTGAAATTCAATAGGATTATTTATTTTACTGATTTATATAATGCATATAAATTTCATCATGCAGATCGGATGATAACTGTTGTCGACTGAGAGTTCACAGGGTTCAACAAAGCATAACAAGGGCAATAACACTAGAAGTCATAGATGGAAATTGCTAAAATTCGATAGGCGTCTTCCTTTTACTAATTCAAATAATGCATGTACAGATTGGATGATAACTTACGTCTTAAGTCGTTAGAGCTTTAAAAGGCTCAATAAGGGCCATAACTCTAGAAGTTATACATGTAAATTGCTGAAATTCAATAATCTTCTTTATTTACTAATTTAAATAACACACGTAAATTTAATAAAGATCGGATGATAACTTTAGTCGTTAGTGTGTTCACAAAGTTCAACAAAGTGAAACAAGGACCATAACTCCAGAAGTAATTAACGAAAAATGTTGAAATTAAATTGGCTTCTGGACAAAAGACTGACAGATGGGAGCGACGGCAAGATGACATTTCCATGTGGGCGTAAAAAAAATGGATGTTGTGAAATTATATGAATAAATTTATGTATTTTTGTTAACTCTGCCAATTGTAATTATAAAGTGAGATGCCTACAATTTATTGTTATACAAATTTTAATGACCTTTTTCTTTTTTTAGGTGGTTGTTGTTTCAAGATTTTAATAATTAAAAAAATAATGAATTATTAGCTACTCCTAAGTACTAGTTTATATGTCATACAATAATATCTGCTGTTATTTTTCTATTTAATAATAATAATTTATTTTTTTTAAGTGTCAAATCAGTTGAATATTTAGAGTTTAAACAACATATACAGATGATTCCTGGCCTACAAGGCCTATGAGACACTACAGATAAAACATTAAATGGATAGGAGTTTAAACAACATATACAGATGATTTCTGGCCTACAAGGCCTATGAGACACTACAGATAAAACATTAAATGAATAGGATTCTTTGTCTCATGACCTTAAACACTGTGTATAAGTTTAAAGTCAATCGGATATTAACTTTAGCCTCAAGAGCTTCTACAAGATTTTTCAAAGAGGTCAAGGGCTATAACTACGAAAGTAATTATCGAAAATAGTCGAAAATCAATAGGCTTCTTCATTTCATGACCTTAAACCTGCAATTTCATATTTTTAAGTTATATTTTTAAAATTTATTAAAATAAAGCCTTAAAATAGATGGTATCTATAAACAGTCCTACCTTGTTAAAGAATAATCCTATTAATCCTATAATTCACTATTGACAGTTGAGAAACTGGCAAAAATATCATTTTCAACTTTAAATTCAAACGTTTGAAGATAGCTATTCCATGGGGGGGAAAAGAAAAACAAGGGAGGCAATTGTGTTATTATTAATTTATGGATCAAAGGATTTTTAAGAGGGAGAATAATACCTATAATCGTATAATAGTGAGTTGACAACCTATTGCGCAAAAGACATAGAAATAATTATGTTTTGACTTTCTTAGAAAATATGAAATTATCGCTTTAAACAGTGAGTATAAATTTAAAGTCAAACGATATTAAAGTTGCAATTTCATATTTTTAAGTTATATTTTTAAAATTTATTAAAATAAAGCCTTAAAATAGATGGTATCTATAAACAGTCCTACCTTGTTAAAGAATAATCCTATTAATCCTATAATTCACTATTGACAGTTGAGAAATTGGCAAAAATATCATTTTCATCTTCAAATTCCAACATTTGAAGATAACTACTCCATGGTGGAGAATAGAAAACAAGGGAGGTAATTGTGTTATTATTTCCGGTGTAAATGAGTTTTAAGTGTGAGAATGACACCTATGATCGTATAATAGTGAGTTGACAACCTATTGAGCAAAAGACATAGAAATAATTATGTTTTAACTTTCTTAGAAAATATGAAATTGTAACTTTAACCTCTCGACTGTCCACAAGATAGTTCAAAGCGATCAAGGGCAATAGCTTTGGCAGTAAATATCAGGAATCGGTGAAAATCAATACGCTTCTGCTTCTCATGATCTTAAACACAGTGTATAAATTTAAAGCCAATCGGATATTAGCTTTAGCCTCTACATTGTCCACAAGATTTCTCAAAGTGATCAAGGGCCATAACTCTGGCAGTAATTTTCAGAAATTTTCAAGTTCCTTCGTCTCATGACCTTAAACACTGTGTATAAATTTAAAGTCAATCGGATATTAACATTAGCCTCTAGAGCGTCAACAAGATATTTCAAAGAGATCAAGAGCCATAACATAATCACGTATCTAAAATATCTATTCAAATCATAAAATTTCATACTATATTTTAAACCAATCATAAAAATTCTAAAACTTTCCAAAACTGTAAGGCAATAAATATAGATAAACAATTATGTATGTAACCAAATGTATATAAAATACCTATTCTAATAATAAAATTCCATCCTACATGTTAAAGATAGGTCGTCAGGCAAATAAACATTCGCCCACAGCAGCTAAATCGGCTGGGCAGTCAACAAGAGTTGTCACATATTTTTCTTTTATCGTTCTTGAAAAATTTATATTCTAAAATCTCATTAAGAGTAACAACTCACTAAATGCCACTCAAGGATTATATTTTAAACCTTCTTGATAATGTTTATTGCAACTGTTTTCAGTTTATTACTACAGGGTAATAAATTAATTAGTACCTGATTGTTCAGGGAATTAAGACTGTTGATTGGGTAATCAACTATAGTTTGTAGATAATCAAAGAAACTCAAACTGCCATTTAACATTGTGTAATTTTCACAGTATCTTTGATCCCCCAAAAAGTTCTAATAGCAAAAATTAATAGGGATAATGGAACTTGATCATTCGGATTTGTTTATTTCCCGTTTTTTTTTTTTATTCTGCTGTAAAAATTAGAACCACTGGACATTTCACAACGAAACAAAGAGATTATATACGCTGATATACGAAATAAAATGAAACAGGGATCAATGTCCTACTTTTCTGCACGGACTGGGTTAATGACCATAGGCATACATCATCATATGATGAAAATTTTATATCGATTCCAACTGTCAAGGGTTGTTGATACGTGCACACCAATATGTACATGGGACCTCAGTTTTTCGTACCATCAGAACGACTTGACAGCCCTTCCTGGCCAGGCCCTCCGTCCTGCACAACAACAGGGAGGAAACGATGACGAAAAATCACAAGGAACTTTTTGGGCCAACACCGGGAGTGAACCTGAGGCCTCCAGGCTAGCGAGCCAACGTCTCACTCACCGGGTCACTGTGGCTCAAGAACTGATAAAGGCAGGTGTCTATTTTAAATACTATTTAAAGACATGTATTCTATTCATAGAATATTTGCCACTGATTTTTTTATTTGTTGTTTGATTTAATTCAGACATATTTCACTATAAAGTATTCATTCAACTTAACGCATTGTGAGGAATGTAGTTTTTGGTTGGTTTTCTTTCATTATTATTTCATCAGTGTATATTTATTAAACAACAGTTTGGCTATGCTACTGATCTGCAATATTTCTTTTATTTTGTTCATATGACTATGCAGTTAAGTCATATACATGTTCAAATTGCAATGTATGCAACAATTCAGACAAATATGTCCATTCACTTTTTAAAATTAAAAAAGTTTAAGATACAATTGATGAGTTGTAGACCTCCACATTTTCAAAGTGTTCAGCAAACGCTGGTGCTTTGCTTTAAGTGATCACACTGATAATGTGTAATAAGGGACTCAAAAGACGAGGCTAGGCATATTCTACAAGTTATGTCAAACGGTGACGCTATATTCTTATCTGGAGAGCATGCCCAATAAATACTATCGGCGCGGACTGGAATAACCAGAAGCTAGAGATTAAAATTCGATTGAGAATACTGGGGCATGTCGCCGAACCTAACTGATTAGAAATTACAGTAAAAACAGAAACGATTGAATGTAAATCAATTTATATACATTCATATTACATTATTGTATGCTGTGCGACCCATTTGTGTCAATTTCTAGGTCCCAAATATTAGCGACTTAGCTCCTTTAAATCAACAACGAAAAGAAAAGAATGGGCAAAGTTGAAACAAGTAGTAGTATCTTAAAGAATT